AGAAGAAGGGCAAGAACAGGCTGAGAAATCAGGCATGGTCAAACCTTGCAATTCTCTGTACAATTCACCTTGCAATTCTAGAGGGTGAATTGCAAGGTGAATTGCACGTGCAGGTTTGACCAGCACACTTGTACATGCACGATTCACCTCAATATACCGACCCTTGATCTTAAAATTACATAATATAAAATTAAAGAAATAGTTTTTTTTTGTGCATATACATTTGGCCATGTCAAGAAGGACTTGATATGTGTGCAGTAATGTGTAAGAAGACAACAGAGCTTGGTAGCAGAGAACACAAGGATTTTTTGCAGAACAGAGGACAGTATGTATACTGTAGTGCTCACAAGGAAGAGGCAAATCATCTTACTGTTTTTGGAATTTAGAGGTGAAAAGAAGCTTAGTTTTATTTTTGTAATACATGTACATATTTGGAAATAGATATGAGTAGAGGTGAATTGTAGGGGTGAATTGCAAGGCAAATTGCATCAAAGTGTGATTCACCTTTCAGTGCAATTCACCCCAAATTGCTAGGGTTCTGGGGTCTGCAATTCACTTTGCATGAAAGTGAATTGTGCAGGTGAATCACACACTGAATTGCAAGGTTTGACCATGCCATTACATTGAGGTGCAAGAGACTCTGAGAGTTAAACTACTCTCTGTACCTATGCTTGTGTGTATGGTCCTGTGCACATCAGGCATTTCACAATTTCTTGCTGTGAAAAATAACTTACATAATGTTAAACATTATTTGTAATTAAATTTACCATTTTTGATTGATAGAAATCAATATCAGGAACAAAATTTCAAGTTTCTTCCATAATCAATACAAATACAGAAAAAACTTAAAATATTATTTTGAATTTCTACTAAACTGAAATGGTAAATTAAATTACAAATAATGTTTAACATTATGTAAGTTATTTTTTAAGGCAAGAAATTGTGAAATGCCCGATGTGGTGTTTTCCGGAATTAGCTGTCACGTGGATCGGATATTTATGAACAACTTGGAACATCAAGTCGCCATCACGTCAACCAAGCATGTATACATGTTTCAAATTATCTGGTCCCTTACAATATCACTACATTGTCCGAGCATGCAATGGTTTTACCACCAAACAAATTGAACGGGCAACATATTATATTTACGATTTCAACAGGACTTCAATTTATTCGATTAGTTTTGTTGCAAAGTTCATCCATGAGCCGGACCCTCTGGCTTGTGCACTTATACAGTAGCATAATTCTTATTGATCAAAAGTGCAAGGGATCAGGAATCACAAATCACGCCGTTTCAAACCGATACGACAGTCAATCGGCTTTCGGACGAACCCTTCGTGAACGCCAAGCTATTTTCCACCAACAAAATGAAAAGGATCAGATAAATGAGAGAAGCAAGAATGTCATACGATGCAGCTCACGGGCTTGTCTGGCTCTTCGAGCACAATATCATAACGACGAAAGATGGAAGCAATGATAGTTTGCAGCTCCATAAATGCTAGATTGCGTCCAGTACACGCCCTTCGTGCCATATTCGTTAGGTTGCACTAAGAGACAAACAATCGTCATATACTGACCTAGGTCCAACCGAGAACGGACCGAGAACTTTCTGCATCGCCGACTTCATCACCAAATCGAACACGAAAATGTATTGGAATTTACTGCTAAGACATATATTTTTTACATATTGTGGATCCTTATATTTGCTTATAAAGTCTACATGTAAATATATTGCCTTGTCAGACTCTGCACGTTTTGGTGATGTGAATGCCAATAAAAATAGGCACCCAACGTTGCGAAGAAATTGAATGATGGACCATGGTAAACAAGTTTTGAATTGGGTTATTATTTTAATATTAAAGAACAAGGGTTTCGGCATGTTCCGATGCCTCTGTTGTGCGAGATATGTAGGCCTTGTCCAAATTAGTGGCGTGTAAACTTACCCTCGGGCCTCAACATATCCATCCATCAAGTATTTTCGACGTGCTTTGGCCTTGATAAAAGCTAGACCCGAGTTGCCCATGCTTGTCATCAAACTGTATCCGCGTATGTGCGGAAATGGCGGGGCGATTTCGCCATACAATCCCTATCTTGCAGTCGACTGACGTTGTCTATAGGCGCCATAACTTACCGCGGAAGCATACACCCTTCTTTTTCTACCTATAATGTTTAAAGCCACGGTATGTTCTCGAAATATCTGCAGCGTAATTCTGGATTTTGATTTAGGTTTGATGTTCATTGGCCCGTCGCGACGGTGCCTTCATTTATTGTGTTCAGTGCTTAAATAAAAATCGACTTCAGGATCAACACCTCCAATTTCCTCCCGTCAGTGCTTCTGCCCCACTTCCCAGCATGTTGAAACGTTCGAGAACGACTCGTCTTCTAGACACCTTGCATATCAAAAAGCTTCCTAAAGGTGATTGGGATCATAGTCTTCCTGTCGAAATCCTAGAGGAGATTTTCGCACTTGCAATGGAGGACTATAACAGAGTCCGGACACGTATTGCTTATCGGCGGTCAAGTCTACAGCCACTTCTTCGCAATCTGGCATGCGTTTGCCAGGTGTGGTACAGCATGATAACGCCCATACTGTATAACGAGATATACATATCCTCGCCGAATGCATTGGCTTCTCTGGCACGAGCGGTCACAAAGCACCCGCATCTTCAGCCGCTTGTGAATTCCTTCCATTATTCGAGTACGATCTTCAAGTCTGCGAGTATAGAGGATTCGCCAGCAGATTCGTGGAACACCAAGCGGATCTACCGAGCATGTCCAAACTTGAACGCGTTGGTTTTGAGCCGACCTCTTAGCGGCTTCCCCGACACGGACGATGGTGCCATGAAAACCTTTGGTCTTACTATAGCCATCATAGAGAAACTTACACGCCTGGAGATTGACCTACCGGACGGTATACCCTGCGACGGCAAGCTAATTTTCTCGGTCGATTTAACCTTCCCCGCTCTTCAAGAACTCGCATTGAACATCCAACCGTTCGAACTAGAACCAGAGAGGAAGTACGCTTATTCTCCTCCACAGCACCTTATGGAATGGCCGAATATGCCGAAACTTGTTCGGCTGCGCATCACCAACTGGCACGTCAAGCATTCATGCTTTTGCTTCCCACCAAGTTCAAAGAACCTGCGCATCATCGAGCTCCTTGGAGGGAATTATTCTTCTATTAGGCATTTCTTCGAGAAGCAACTCGAGGCGTTTACGTTCGACCTGGAATCACTCACTATCACAGCAATGGATGTCGCGTGTGAGGATCGGTTGATGGGGACGCATCGATGTTTGTTCTTAAATACTTTCTACTCAATGAGCGAGCTCTGTATCCCGTTTAGGACCTTTGGAGAACTCTCATATTTCGCTTTTCCCGACAACCTCCAGGCACTTGTTATTGCTGCCTCTCCAGACGAAGAGTTCAACATTGGGGATTTAGGGGTATTTCATAAATTCGAGGAGAACCTACTCAAATATCTTGAGCAGAAGCGTGCAGGTCAAATTCTGAAGCATCTGAAGGTCGTCCGGGTAGCCATGAGGTCGCTATGGATGTTTTGGCTAGAGGCAACATTCAGGTCCGAAAGGATATCTAAGACGGCGGAAGCTGCGGGAGTGAGATTAACTTTTGGGTTTCTTCCAGGCGAAGAAAGTAAGTTACAGTTGAAAATGTCTTATTGCATAACGTTGGGAGAGGGCTAAACCCAATGCATTATACAATTTATGCATTATGACAATACATTTTGGCTGAGGACCTGAGTTTTGGTCTGGCCAAAAGTCTATGCATTATGCCATTTATGCATTATGATGTGATGCAATAAGACATTTTCAACTGTAGTTTCTTCCTCTTGTCCGCTTCCATGAATGTTTATTTTTTTTCCGTCTTGCAGATACATTTAAGGAAAACTTAAGGGAAAAGCTATTTGATAAATTCCCTGTCCTGGAGCGCAAGCTTCAGTAAAGTAATCCATGCTTTCTTTCCTAACTACGTACTCTGTACAGTTTATATGCAATGATACCCCAATTCAAAACAACCGAACTACAGAGTAAAGCGACAATGTTCACAGGCGGTACGAACTTCAGAAGTAGACTGCTTCAGGTTTATGCACGGCCGTCTTCCCAGACTTCGCGCTCTCGAGAATAATGCGGGGATCATTCTTAGAAGCCTTGACGTGCTTGCCGCCAACATCCTTTTCGGAGTAGGCGACTTCGACGACAGTGCCTAATACATCTTCAACTTCAATAAATCTGCTACTAAAGGTCACACCAGGCGCACGTACCTTCCACCCATCCTGGAGTGGCCCTCCAGAATACCTTCTGTCCTGCCTCAGGAAGGCGCGTTGCACTGCAAGGCTGTCCGTGCTCGTCATCTCCTTTCTTGTTTTGCTTGCCCTTTGGGTGCGTCTGGGTAGTCCTCTTCTCACCCTTATTAACCTTGGCTTGTTTCGCTGCTGGTTGACGCTCTGCCTTATTGCCGTCTTCTATTTCGGAAAGAAGCTCTTCTTCGATAGACTCGGCTTCGTCTTGCGACTGGTCGTTAGCATTGCGCTTGGTGCCACGTTTCGGAGAAGACTCTTCTTCCTTGTGGTGATGGGATGTTCCGTTCTCCTCTTCGCCCGCTCCGTCAGCCACCTCCGGTTCACTTATCTCTCCTTGAGTGTCCTTTCGTGCCTTCCTTGCTGCGGCCGTGTTTGACACATACTGTGCATGAGATCCAACTAGTCAGCATGAAATTCAATAACGGGACATCCTCAAGCAATAACAAACCTGTTCGCCCCTTGCACTCCCTTCTAACTTCTCCTTATTCGTCTCCTCTTTCTCTTCCTCCGTCATACTCTCCCAAGCTTTCTTCGGCAAGTAGCGCTTCTCCGTACCGTCATCTTGCTTCGCGTTGCCACTTGCATCACTCGTTTGCCACTCTTCTTTCGTCCAGTCGTTAAGATGCTTTTGAGACTCGGACTGCTCAGACTTTTCTGTGGTGTATGGTTCTTCGTCACGCTCGTGCATGGCTTTCTTGTATTCTGATGCCATCAACTGCATAGATAATTGGTTTGAATTAGTTGGTTAGTAGGGCTGGGGAAATATCAATGGCCACTGACCTGTGCTTTGCGAGCGGACCATTGTCTGTTGAGTATGGAAAATTAAGCATGCATTCGGCCGTTCTTTGAATAACATTTGACCTACCCGGGCTTGCCACCCTTGTCACCTGCTTGCACGGCATCCTTGATCTCAGTGCGGAGCTCTGTACTTGCAATCTTGCATTAACCTAAGCACAAAACGTACAATAACTTTAACGTACCTGGATCGGTGTACTTGTTGTCGTTCTTAGTCATATCCGCGCCAACGTTTCTCTTGTATCGTTAAACAGTGAAGAAAGGTAGGAGTTGGGGTCCGAGGGGAGATGCCCGTTGTTCTAAGAGAGACCGTCTTAATATATGTTTGAATGTGACAGCCTGCGTAATGTCAGTCCGAGACAGAAACATCCTTATATTGGCTGACATCTCAATTTCAAGAATGCGTATGAACAAACCTGCGTCGATCAAGGCTAGCACAACGTGACCGTGTTCCTCGCCATCGGGACTGGATACGCATCGGAAACGGAAACATCTGTGCATTTCTACAGTCTAGTAGCTCTATTATCACTGTGATGTAATCCGGAATCCAGAACATCATCAACGCACTAATCACTAATCTCTAATTCCGTTAGCCACTCTGCTCGGGTATCATCAACAACAATTTGCCTTCCATCGACAATAACGCTGCGTTGCGTGCGCTTCAATAATGGATCGAACTTGCCCCTCTCATAGCGCGAAAGACGATGCAACTTAGCTCGCGTGTATTTATCTACACCTCTTTTAAAAAGCCCTTGCTCAATCATGCGATTTTGAATTAAGCGAGCCTCGCGATACATTGCTGCGTTGGTGAATCCTCGCAGAACACTGTTGTAGGTCGTTAAAAGTGTTCGCCAGTTCTTTTGGGCGAGTCTCTTCTCCTCTTTCGACTTCTTTTTCCAGGACTTGCTGTCCAGTAAATCCTTGTCTAAGTGATCGAGAATACGCAGAACCCGAGAAAAGTCCCCAGAACGCGCATATGCACCAGCTAGTGCTCCCCAACTGTCGTATGATGGTACAAGGCCTAACCGCTGCATGTCGTGTAACACCTGTGCTCCCTTTCGTGGAGCGTGGCGAGTCGCATAGGCGACGACGAAATGGTGGAAGAAGTACGCGTTCGGAAACACAACTGGAGGAACGGCTACAGTATGACTGGAGTTATCGTAGTAATACTTATCTGCGACCACCATGTCGGTTGTTCTTGATAATTCATCCGCAAGCCGGGTTGGACTCAACCGCGTAGCTTCAACATGCTTCAGAAGATGCTCGTAAAGTCGATCAACGTCTCGTTTCTTTGAAAGTTGTAAGATCGCTTTCCACGCAAGGCTCATACTGAGATTAGTCGGCCAGATTTTCCATTCTACCTTTTCGGGCTTCTGTGAGACTTTCCAATCCTTATACCTTCGCATAGTATCCCTTTGCTTTCGCCAATACGCCAAAATAGGTCGAGCTTCCGCGGCGAGGACGCTATCGGCGAAACAATAGTTCATATACGTTCGGAGAACAGCAATGGGCCGACCTCGTATGGAGTAGGCTAACTGCTCTCCTGCGATCCAGCGAGCGCGTACAACATTCGAACTGTCCTTGAAGACTTTCTTGCGGAGCATCCGGATAGCGCGTGAACGTCTTCCGTGTAATTCGTATGCGTCTATGAATTCCGCAAGAAAAGGCTCAAAGTGAGGTGGTGGAGCGCGAGAAACGACTATTTGTCGAAGAATGCGAAGTTCCCGAGCTAGCTCAGATAAGGGGCGGCGTCTATCTTTTACTGCTCCAGAAGAGTAGAGTGCCTTTGTCGTAATTACTTCCGCTGGCAATGCGTTAAATGATGTGTCCGTTTTCAGGGAATCCGCAATGCGACGATCGATGATGAACCCATCTACAGAAGCAGCATTCAACATCTGCCTCGCGATTTCTTTACGCCCGGCGGCCAAGTGCATCCGAATGGCCAAGTCCCGCATGGACATCCAACCAATCGGAGAGCCATCGCTGACGTGCTTCTTTGCTTCATGTTCAAGCTTCAATAAGAAAGCAGCTGTTGCGTTGGGATTCCCATAACGAAAGATGTGCATAAACAGACGTGACTGCTCTACGACGGAATGAATGACACCGGCTTTAGCGCAGACGATGCAAAAGTCCATGAGCAACGGAATATCAAACGGGTGGTCCATCAGCTTCGAACACGCCAAAGCTAACTGTTCTGGACATTCGTTTAATGGCACAAGTGACCACCATGCGATGAACTTTCTACTCCGCATCTCGGGGTCGGCCGTGGACAATTCGGCGATAGCGGCTGTGGCAAAGGCACGATCCTGAGCGATTTCAATACCAAGCTTTACGAGTTCATCCCTCGCAGCTAGCGCTCCGTCCAAGTCTCCCTTTGTGATCAGCCGAAGGATAACCTCAGATGCCTGGACGCCGGGTAAAGGTGCCACGTGATCATGAAGTACTTCACTGTCCTGCAAATCGCCATATTCCTCTGTTGGCTCCTCAAGGAATGTAGCCTGGATTTGTCCGGGTTGTTCTGGTCGAATTTGACTAGGAGGGTTTGCTGGGAACGCGTACGACGTGTTCGTGTACCGAAGTGAGGTGCTTTCGCTGCGCAGATTCAACGAGAACTTCCAAAAGTCTGGAATGCGAAACTGAATGCGGGCGAGAGGTCTAACTATCGGGAGACCTCTTGTCAGAACTAACATCCGTTGTCGTCCAGTGAAATGAAAAACTGGAAGGTTCTTTTATTTCAGTGAGCCGGAAAGAAAATCTGGAATATAATACCTGCAGCCCAAGACACTCGAGCATCTGAGCATTCAAAGAGCTCTTCGTGATGAAGCTAACATTGGCTACGATTTGCTTCCAGCGCAAAGGCGAGTCGTCTCAGTGTCAACGCTGGCCGAAAATATTGATTACCAAATGTTTACCCACGTTGTTGATGTGACATAATGAGCAAGAGCAGACGAGTCTTGACTTTCCGTCACGTCACGGTCGCTGTGCTGCTTGCTGGAGGCTCGCCAGCAGCTGTCAGAACAACAACAATGCACCCGTATAACTTACCATAAGCATGTTTTGAGTTGGCTTGCAGAAGCAGAGGTGGAATCATTCAATATTGACACAGTGGCAGTGCTAGACCAAGAACTCACTGTGGCCAACCGGATTTAGCAAATTTGCAACTCCGATAATTACTTCATTTAGGACATAAAGCATGCATTTGTGCAATCTTTTGATTCTTTTCTATGCCTACCCGCTTCAAGGCACACCATATTCTTGATTTTCGGCGCGTCTTTTCGGCGAGGCAGAGGATGCACTCCGACAATTGGCTCCGATAGGAAGTAACAGAGTCAGTTAGGAGCATTTCAGCAACCTTTTTCTCCTATGTTTCTATGCTTTCGCTGGTAGCGGGAAGAGAACTCACAGCTGAGAAAACAACTCCGGGCTGAGAAAAGAACTTAGGTCTGACTCGTGCCAAGCTTCCAGCGCAACCGCAGTGACTCTGCCTCAGCGGGTCGTGCGTTTAAACGAGACCCGAGTCACTCTACGGGAGCGGGGGTGGAGTCATTCATGATTCAATGGTGATACGGAAGCGGTGCTGTGCCGAGAAATCAGAAATTGGCCGACCAGATGTAGCAAATTTGTAACTCCGATAGTTGCTTAGTCTAGGACATGAAGCATACATTCGTGAGTCTTTTCTAAGCCTACGTGCTCGCCCGCCTCCCATAATCAAACAACTTATCTCCAGGCTTGTAAGCAGGGTTGAGCAAAGAACTGGCTCTACTCCTGCAGAAGTTTCCTTGGAGAGGAGTGGGAAACTCCGCCAGTCAAGGGGGAAGTTGCGCTGAACAGAAGGGCGGCGAGAAACAGAGAATCGTGTGGGGTTGCTGCCGAGAGAAACGTGTAAAATAACTGGGTCCTTACACAACGGCGGTTTTGGTCCGTTTGTCCTTGCTTTTTTTATATATCTCCCAGATTGTCCAGCACTGTCTGTAGTGTCCTCAACCTCTCATTCGTGCTAGAAGCTTGCTTGCTGCCTTTCCTGTCCCTTCCCTTCGGCTGATCTTCTTTAGCTTGTTGTCTCCTGTCACTCGACCTTAAAACAGTCATGGCATCGTCCCAACCAGATACAGCGGTCGCGGCCGCGTCGGAAGCGCCTAGTATACTGAACAACGAGAAGTCCGACCTCACACCCGATGTTTTGACGGACGGGCAGACTACAGCATCCGCAAGGCGCAGCTGGTTCTCAGGACGAAAGCAGGACGAGAATTCTAAGCGACGCAAGAAGCAGGTGGACGTAGAGGATGGTGACAGTTCTGAGAAGACAGCGGTGGACAGTGCCACAAAGCAGGTCGACTTCACGGGATTATTCAGGTATGTGGCAGTCGTTTCCTTGATACGCTTGCCTGGCCTTGCTCGCCTGATGATCGGAAGGATGACACTGTTTTTTTTAATCTCTTTAAACGTTTTGTTTGTATATCGATTATGTCCCGATATTTTAATCGACAAGGTTCTCGACGAGGTTCGAACTTCTCCTGGACTTCGTTGGTATCATATGTTCTGCCACTGCTGGAGCTGCGCAGGTGAGTTCTATTGATGTATTTGAATTACCGTACAAAAGCTCATATCAGCCATAGCCCGTAATGGGTATAATCTTTGGTAATCTTACACAAAGCTTCGTCGACTTCGGTTCGGCAGTCCAGGGCTTACAAGATGGAACGGCCAGTCCTGACGAGGTCGAACAGGCAGCGTCAAATTTACGGCACGAAGCTTCGCTCGATGCCTCGTATCTCGTTTATATCGGCCTTGGAACATTGGTCTGCACTTTCATTCATATGTACACATGGGTCTACACTGGAGAGGCCGCCTCCAAGCGTATTCGCGAGAAGTATCTGAGCGCAGTATTGCGCCAGGACATTGCTTTCTTCGATAACGTAGGAGCAGGAGAAATCTCTACTCGCATTCAGACAGACACTCGTAATTGACATTCCTTCCCCATGTTTCTACAATATTGATTGCCATTTCAATTCTAGACCTAATTCAGCAAGGCATTTCAGAGAAAGTTGCGCTCGCTGTCCACTTCTTAGCCGTGTTTATTGCTGGCTTCATCATCGCATATGTCCGATCATGGCAACTCGCTCTTGCGCTAACATCGATTTTGCCGTTCATCAGTATTACCGGTGCTATCATGAACAAATTTGTTTCCAAGTTCATGCAGACCTCCCTCAAGCACGTCGCAGAAGGAGGCTCCGTAGCGGAGGAGGCCATTTCGACGATCCGGACTGCGCACGCCTTCGGTACCCAGCATATTCTCTCGGCATTGTACGATATGCACATTGAACAAGCTCATGTTGTGGACCTGAAGTCAGCGGTCGTTAGCGGATGTGGACTCTCAGTATTCTTCTTTGTTATTTACTCGTCGTATGCGCTTGCATTCTCATTCGGCACAACGTTGATTATCCACGGACATGCTACTGTCGGCGAAATCGTGAACGTCATCACCGCAATACTGGTTGGCTCGGGCTCGTTGGCCATGTTAGCCCCTGAAATTCAAGGTCAGCAGAATATTCCTACTATAACCATTAATTATTGACCCCACTTTTGGTGCGAAGCTGTTTCGCAAGCTCGAGGAGCTGCAGCTAAGCTATGGGCGACCATTGACCGTGTGCCCTCTATTGACATCGAGAATGAAGGCGGACTGAAACCAGAGATTGTTATAGGAAAAATTGACTTCCAGAACGTCGACTTCAATTACCCTTCACGTCCAACCGTGCAGATTGTCAAGAACCTTAATATGTCATTTGCTTCTGGCAAGACGACGGCGCTTGTTGGTGCATCCGGCTCCGGGAAGTCCACCATCGTTCATCTTGTCGAGCGCTTTTACGACCCACTGAACGGCTCTGTTCGCCTTGACGGTGTTGATCTACGTGATCTCAATCTCAAGTGGCTACGTTCACAGATTGGACTCGTTTCACAAGAGCCTGTACTCTTCGCTACGACGATAAAGGATAACGTTGCTCATGGGCTGATCGGCACAAAATGGGAGCACGCTTCCGAAGAGGAGAAATTCAAGCTGATCAAAGAAGCGTGCATAAAGGCTAATGCTGACGGATTTGTTTCCAAGCTACCGCTTGGTTATGAAACTATGGTCGGTGAACGTGGGTTCTTGCTAAGCGGCGGTCAAAAGCAGCGTATTGCCATCGCTCGTGCAATCATCTCGGATCCACGAATTCTTCTCTTGGATGAAGCAACATCTGCCCTGGATACTGAAAGCGAGGGCATTGTGCAGGATGCGCTCGACAAGGCAGCTGCTGGTCGTACGACAATCACAATTGCGCACCGCCTGTCCACGATCAAGAACGCAGATCAGATCTTTGTTATGGATCAGGGAGTTGTCCTTGAGCGTGGTACACACGACGAGCTGCTTGCGAACCCGGATGGACATTATGCACGTCTCGTTCAAGCTCAGAGGTTACGTGAGGCGGAGCAACGAGCAGGAGACGAAGAGTCCGCCGTTACTGTATTAGAAGGTGGTGCAAATGACAAAGAATCACGTCGTGACTACGCGGCGGAAGCGCAGGAGGAAATTCCACTCGGACGCAAGGCATCTGGCCGTTCTCTGGCGAGTGAATTGGCTGAAAAGGGACAGAAGGAGAAGACGACAGAAGAAAAGGACCTCGACCTGCTCTATATCTTCAAGCGTTTTGGTGCAATCCAGTCTAATGTTTGGAAGAGCTACGCGATTGGCGGTGTCTTTGCTATACGTGCGTACGAAGTGATTGGTGTCTCTTCCGCTCAGAGCTGATAAGGTAATAAATCCATATTATTCATAGTAACTGGTCTTGCGTATCCTGCCTATGGCATCGTTTACGGTAGGTGATACAGTGTGCTATCGTTCCCTAATGCTATTATGCTAATGCTTGCGCAAAGCACTTGCCATTACCACATTCCAGAATACGGATGATCATCATGCCCTTCGACACAACGGCGATCGCAATGCATTGTGGTTTGTCGACTGTTAAATTCTTGGCCGTTCCGATTTACTTATGCCTCGTTTGCTGAAATTCAGGTTCTTCCTTATTGCGATCTTATCAACGATATTCATCGGATTCCAGAATTACGGATTTGGAGCAGCGGCAGCGAACTTGACAAACAGGTTAAAAATGATGCTTTTCAAAGCAATGCTTCGGCAAGATAGTACGGGCGCTTTATTCTCGTCGTTGGACATCGCTTACTTGCAATGAATAGTTGCATTCTTTGACGAGGACAAGCACAACGTTCGTTCGTTCCAGTGTGGTGACGCTTTCAGGGTGCTTACTTGATGCTTAACAGACTGGAGCTCTGACAACCAGCCTCAGTGGTAACCCACAGAAGGTCAATGGGCTCGCAGGACTCACTCTTGGAACGTGAGTAATCGAAGCTACATCAGCTTAGTTTTAAAACTAAATGTGAGCCGTGAAGTATTGTCCAGAGTTTGGCGACTGTCGTCGCAGGTTTCATCATAGGTCTTATATACCAGTGGAAGCTTGCTCTTGTTGGCATTGCTTGCACTCCAATTCTGATCTCAGGTGGATATATCCGCCTCGTGAGTTTGAGTGCCTCTGCCGTCTGTATTGTTCTGACAGTTTGTGTGCAGCAAGTTGTCGTCCTGAAGGATCAACAGAACAAGAAAGCACACGAGCAATCCGCTCAAGTCGCTTGTGAGGCTGCTGGGGCGATTCGTACAGTCGCATCACTGACTCGTGAAAAGAACTGTCTCGAAATCTATAGCAAGTCTCTTGAGGAGCCGCTTCGCCGTTCCAAACGCACCGCGATATGGTCCAACCTCATTTACGCGGCGGCACAAGGCTCCGCCTTCTTCATCATTGCACTTGTATTCTGGTATGGCGCACAGGGAGTGAGCAAACTTGAATACAGCACGAACGCCTTCTTTGTTTGTTTATTTGTAGGTATTATCATCTTGTCTGTCATGTAACGACCTAAGATCCCCATTCTAGGCCATCACATTCGGTTCAATGCAAGCAGGGGGTGTGTTCGCGTTCGTCCCGGACATTTCGTCGGCAAAGGGCGCAGGCTCCAACATCATTCGTATGATGGATTCCATGCCAGAGATCGATGCTGAGTCCAAGGAGGGTGCTGTATTGAAAGAGGCACAAGGGCACATTCGTTTTGAAAACGTGCACTTCCGTTATCCAACACGTCCTGGTGTACGAGTACTTCGGGATTTGAACTTGGACATTAAACCTGGCACGTATGTGGCACTTGTCGGAGCTTCGGGTTGTGGTAAGAGTACCACGTACGTTGTCTTCAATGGTACTCGCTTGTTTATACTGACGACAAATTGCAGTATCCAGCTTGTCGAGCGCTTCTATGATCCATTGTCAGGTAAAGTCTACGTGAGTTGACGTTGAATCCATTTTTCGTCATAAATTTATCTTGCCTTGTTAGCTCGACGGACAAGACATCTCAAAGCTCAATGTCGAGGAATACAGGAAGCATCTCGCCCTTGTTTCTCAAGAACCTGTGTGTTTTTGGTTTCGCAGTATGACATGCGGTGAGGACTAATTATCATATTCATATAGACTCTTTATGCGGGAACGGTCCGTTTCAATGTTTTGCTTGGAGCGACAAAGCCACACGAAGAAGTTACTCAAGAAGAGATTGAAGCCGCTTGCCATGATGCCAACATTCTCGACTTCATTAGTTCATTACCTCAGTGCGTTTGACAATTTTTGGAAGTGCTATTCAGGTGCTTAACGATACATGCAGGGGTTTCGACACGAATGTCGGAGGCAAAGGCTCTCAGCTCTCTGGCGGTCAGAAACGTGCGTATCCTGCTTAGCGTTTGTCATTTCTATTTCTAAAATTTTGATTGCATACAAGAACGTATCGCCATCGCACGAGCTCTTCTACGCAACCCTAAAGTGCTATTGCTGGATGAGGTATGGAAAGGTTTCTCTAATGCCAAACTTCGTATGACCTTCTCATATATGATCTCCTTAGGCGACGTCTGCATTAGACTCGAATTCTGAGAAGGTTGTGCAGGAGGCGCTTGACAAGGCCGCTAAGGGTCGAACGACTATAGCTATTGCACACCGGCTGTCTACCATCCAAAATGCAGACTGCATGTGAGTTGTATTAGTGTCTCTTCTACCGGTGTCACCTGATCTTCGCTCTTCAGCTACTTCATCAAAGACGGGCGTGTCAGTGAAGCTGGAACGCACGAGGAATTGATCGCCCGAAAGGGTGATTACTACGAATACGTCCAGCTACAAGGCCTATCAAAGTAGTTCTCTGATTCTCTTGCTTTCCGTGTTTTACGAGATACTCTCACGTCAGGTTTCTGTCGGACACTTTTCATGGATTTCATACCCTCCGTCTGCTAACATCTCGATGACCTGGAAAATTCTATAGAAAAAGATTGACGAGAATTACACTGCTTTGATTTTCCCCTTGTTTGTCTCATCCCCCTCCCGGACGTTTCACCCCGGTATCCCTCATCTTTCTCCAACCCTTTTGATTTATTCCGTGACGTTTTTCTCATGTGCGATGTAGATGCATTCATGACGGATATTATCTGCAGGTTCAGGAACATGGATAGATTAGCAATTATAGAGGACTAATGTAGTGAAAAAAGAACACGCAAGGCATTGATGCCTTTATTCAGTGGTTTGGGAAGAAAAACCAGTATTACACACCCGTAGTTCAAGACATGCAGGCACAGAGTCTTCACTCAACTAGTGAAAACAAGTATTACTTATTTAGTTATTGTACTACGATGCGTCTGCTGACTGAAGATCCCCTTTATGTAATGTATACTCATGAACTGCAGCATGAACTGAAGGAACCGTAGTCAGTTCAGCGGTGGTGGTGGCAGCAAGGGCACGATCTTGTGCGATTTCAATAACAAGTTTTACGAGTTCATCCCTCAGCAGCTAGTACTCCGTCCAAGTCTCCCTTTGCGATCAGCCGAAGGATAACTTCAGATGCCTGGACGCCAGGAAAAGGTGCCGCGAAACCATGAAGTATTTTATCATCCTGCAGATTGCCATATTGCTCTGTTGACCGAATATACATATTGTTTGACTTTGTAATGAGCTAATGTGAATTAGCTACCTGTACCCCGTCTTTGGCCAAATACTTCCCCTGTGAGTCTGGTACAGAATGAATTTCAAGATAAGATAGAAACTCATCGAAAACCTTAATTACGCAATAGCAATACTTACCCACGTAATTGATGTGACAGGGCAAGAGTGTTCGTCACGTCACGGCCACCCTGCTGTTTGCTGCACACAACCATGGACTCTCCACGGGTCGGCAATTCCTATGGACAACGCGTCCATGTCACACTCACTCGGTAAAATGAATAAGCAACATCAGAGTTCAAAAATAATGCACAGAGAAATGTCGGCTTTTTTATACTGAGTATCTAGCAAACAATAACAAATAAACTGGCCAAAAAAAAGATATATATTATTATTATTAATACAAGTTATTTATTATATTTGTCCGTGAATAGAATTGCGAAAAATTGTTTTGTTGAATTATTCCGCTGAAATGTTCTAAGTGTAAAAATGCATTATATTATGCAAAAAAAGGAGTAGTTTATATTTTCATAGTCTGAAGCTACTCATCAAAAGAGCAGCCAAAAGGTGGGAAAATGCAACCACGTGATCTAACAAATGAAGCCACGGATCGTTATTTTGGGCCATGACAGTGCTGTCTGGCCAATTGACATACCTAAACTAGACTGTTGGACATAAAAAATGCTTAATAAATTAATTTTAACTACATTCTGGCCAGTATATTGATTTGAGAGGTAAATTTTTTGCCACTTATATTTATTTATGGTATTCTATCTACTAAGATTCTGATTCTACTTGCGACAAGGATTTGATATTTAAACTCCGAATCAAAAAAGGCTGGACGCGTCACCCGTAGGAATTGCCGACCCAACTCTCCTGGTCTCCAAAACGCGCAGGCTCGCCAGCAGCTTCTAGCACAACAACAATGTATCTGTATAAGCAGGGCTTGAGTTGTCTTGCAGGAGCGGAGGTAGAATCACTCAATACACTATCATTATGGCAGTGCTGGACCAAGAACTCAATGTGGCCATCCGGATTTAGCAGATTTGCAACTCCGATAGTTGCTTCATTTTAACATGAAGTATACATTTGTGAGTTCTTTTCTACAACCACCTGCTTGCAGACCTCCCGTAGTCCCAACAACTTATCTCAAAGCCAGTTAAGTAGCAGGGTTAAGCGGAGAACTGGTTTTACTCCTGCAGATTTTCCTGGGGGAGGGATGGGAGACTTTGACAGCCAAGGGGGGAAGTTGTGTTGAGTAGAAGCGTGGCGAGAAACAAAGAATCGTATGGGGCTGCTGCTGTTGCCGAGAGAAACGTGTGCAACAACTTAGGTACTGCCGTTTTGGTCTGCCTGTCCTTGCCTTTTATATGTATCTCCGAGGCTAGCACTTTCTATTGGGTCCTCAATCTCTCGTTCGTGCCAAAAGCTTGCTTGCTGTCTTTCCTGTCCTTCCTTGCTTGTTGTCTACTGCCACTCGGTCCTGACATCCATGGTATCGTCCCGACCAGACACAGCGGTCGCGCCGGAAGCGCCTAGTATACTGAACAACGAGAAGTCCGACCTCACACCTGATGTTATAGCGGACGGACAGGCCACAGCATCCGCGAGGCGCAGCTGGTTCTCAGGACGAAAACAAGCCGAGAATTCTAAGCGACGCAAGAAGCAGGTGGACGTGGAGGACGCTGACGGTTCTGAGAAGCGAGGGGCGGACAGTGCCACAAAGCAGGTCGACTTCACGGGGTTATTCAGGTATGTAGTAGTCATTTCATTGATATGCTCGCCTGCCCTTGCTTGCCTGATGAGATCGGACTGATGACACTGTTTTTCTTTTTTTTTAAATCTTTCTAAACATTTCGATTGTGTCTTGACATTTTTCATGGGCAAGGTTCTCGACGAAGTCCGAACTTCTCCTGGACTTCATTGGTATCATATGCTCTGTCGTTACTGGGGCTGCGCAGGTTTGTTCTATTGTTATATTTGGATTGCATTTAAAAGCTCACCAGCCATAGCCCGTAATGAGTATAGTCTTTGGTAATCTCGCACAGACCTTCGTCGACTTCGGTTCGGCAGTCCAGGGCTTACAAGATGGAACGGCCAGTCTTGATGATGTCGAGCAGGCAGCATCACATTTCCGGCACGAAGCTTCGCTCGATGCGTCGTATCTCGTTTATATCGGCCTTGGAACATTGGTCTGCACTTTCATTCATATGTACACATGGGTCTACACTGGAGAGGTCACCTCCAAGCGTATCCGTGAGAGGTATCTCAGAGCCGTATTGCGTCAGGACATTGCTTTCTTTGATGACGTAGGGGCAGGAGAAATCTCTACGCGCATTGAGTCAGACGCTCGTAACAGATATACTTTCACCATATTTCTACAATACTGATCACCATTTCATTCTAGATCTAATTCAGCAAGGCATTTCAGAGAAAGTCACACTCGCTGTCCACTTCTTAGCCGCAATTGTTACTGGTTTCATCGTCGCATATGTCCGATTATGGCGGCTCGCTCTTGCGCTAACATCGATTTTGCCGTTCATCAGTATTACCGATGCTATCATGAACAAATTTGTGTCCAAGTTCACGCAGGCCTCCCTCAAGCACGCCGCAGAAGGAGGCTCCATCGCAGAGGAGGTCATTTCGACGATCCGGACTGCACACGCCTTTGGTACCCAGCATATTCTCTCGGCATTGTACGACAGCCACATCGAACAAGCTCATGTTGTGGACCTGAAGTCAGCGGTCGTTAACGGATGCGGACTCTCAGTATTCTTCTTTGCTTTTTTCTCGTCATATGCGCTTGCATTCTCATTCGGCACAACGTTGATTATCCACGGACATGCTACTGTCGGCGAAGTCGTGAACGTCATCACTGCAATGCTGATTGGCTCGGGCTCGCTAAACATGTTGGCCCCTGAAATACAAGGTCAGCAGAATATTCCTACTGTAACCATCAATTATTGACCCGAGTTTTTTGTGCGAAGCTGTTTCGCAAGCTCGAGGAGCTGCAGCTAAGCTATGGGCGACCATTGACCGTGTGCCCTCTATTGACATCGAGAATGAAGGCGGACTGAAGCCAGAGGTTGTTATAGGAAAAATTGACTTCCAGAACGTCGACTTCAATTACCCTTCTCGCCCAACCGTGCAGATTGTCAAGAACCTTAATATGACATTTACTTCTGGCAAGACGACGGCGCTTGTTGGTGCATCCGGCTCCGGGAAGTCCACCATCGTTCATCTTGTCGAGCGCTTTTACGACCCACTGAACGGCTCTGTTCGCCTGGACGGTGTTGATCTACGTGATCTCAATCTCAAGTGGTTACGTTCACGGATTGGACTCGTTTCACAAGAGCCTGTACTCTTCGCTACGACGATAAAGGATAACGTTGCTCATGGGCTGATCGGCACAAAATGGGAGCACGCTTCCGAAGAGGAGAAATTCAAGCTGATCAAAGAAGCGTGCATAAAGGCTAATGCTGACGGATTTGTTTCCAAGCTACCGCTTGGTTATGAAACTATGGTCGGTGAACATGGGTTCTTGCTGAGTGGCGGTCAAAAGCAGTGTATTGCCATCGCTCGTGCAATCGTCTCAGATCCACAAATACTTCTCTTGGACGAAGCAACATCTGCTCTGGATGCTCAAAGTGAGGGCATTGTGCAGGATGCACTCGACAAGGCAGCTGCTGGTCGTACGACTATCACAATTGCACATCGCTTGTCCACGATCAAGAATGCAGATCAGATCTTTGTTATGGATCAGGGAGTTGTGCTTGAGCGTGGTACACACGACGAGCTGCTTGCGAACCCGGATGGGCATTATGCACGTCTCGTCCAAGCTCAGAAGTTACGTGCAACCGAGCAACGAGCGGAAGACGAAGACTCCGTCGTGATTGCGTTAGAAGGTGATGAAAATGGCAAAGAATCATGCCGTGACTGTGCAACAGAAGCGCAGGAGAAAACTCCACTCGGACGCAAGTCGTTTGGTCGTTCTCTGGAAAGAGAATCAGCTGAAAAGAGACTGAAGGAGAAGGCAACGGAAAAGGACCTTGACCTGCTCTATATCTTCAAGCGTTTTGGTGCAATCCAGTCTGATGTTTGGAAGAGCTACGCGATTGGCGGTGTCTTTGCTATACGTGCGTACGAAGTGATTGGTGTCTCTTCCGCTCAGAGTTAATAAGGTAATAAATCCATATTATTCATAGTAAATGGTCTTGTGTATCCTGCCTATGGCCTCGTCTACGGTAGGTGATACAGTGTGCTATCGTTCCTGATGCTAATGCTTGCGCAAAGCACTTGCCATCACCACATTCCAGAATACGGATGATCATCATGCCCTTCGACAACAAGGCGATCGCAATGCATTATGGTTTGTCGACTGTTAGTTTTGGCCATCCCTACCTACTTACTTATGCTTTATTTTCTACTGTTCAGGTTCTTTCTTATTGCGATCTTATCAACGGTATTCATTGGATTCCAGAATTACGGATTTGGTGCAGCGGCAGCGAACTTGACGAATAGGTTAAAGATGTTGAGTTTCAAAGCAATACTTCGACAAGATAGTACGGGCCCTTTATTTTCGTTGTTGCCCATTGCTTACTCGCAGTGAATAGTCGCATTCTTTGACGAAGACAAGCACAACGTATGTTCGTTCCCGTGTGGTGACGCTCGCCGCAGGGTGCTTACTCGATGTTTTACAGAGCGGAGCTCTGACGACCAGCCTTAGTGATAACCCACAGAAGGTCAATGGGCTCGCAGGACTCACTCTTGGAACGTGAGTAATCGAAGCTACACCAACTTGGTTTGTAAGCTAAATGTGGCCCGTGAAGTATTGTTCAGAGTTTGGCTACTGTCGTTGCAGGTTGCATCATAGGTCTTATATTCCAATGGAAGCTTGCTCTTGTTGGCATTGCTTGCATGCCAATTCTGATCTCAACTGGATATATCCGCCTCGTGAGTTTGAGCGCCTCTGTCATCTGAATTGCCGTAATAGTTTGTGTGCAGCAAGTTGTCGTCCTGAAGGATCAACAGAACAAGAAAGCACACGAGCGATCCGCTCAAGTCGCTTGCGAGGCTGCTGGGGCGATTCGTACAGTCGCATCGCTGACCCGTGAAATGGATTGTCTCGAAATCTACAGCAAGTCTCTCGAGGAGCCGCTTCGCCGTTCCAAACGCACCGCGATATGGTCCAACCTCATTTACGCGACGGCACAAGGCTTTACCTTCTTCGTCACTGCACTTGTATTCTGGTATGGCGCACAGGGAGTGAGCAAGCTTGAATACAGCACGAATGCCTTCTTTGTTTCTCTATTCGTAGGTATCCCCTCTTGTTAGTCATTCATTTAACTGCCTAAGAGGCCTCTTTTAGACCGTCACGTTCGGTGCAATGCAGGCAGGGGTTATATTCTCGTTCGCCCCGGACATTTCGTTGGCAAAGGGTGCTGGCTCCGACATCATTCGTATGATGGATTCCGTGCCGGAGATCGATGCAAAGTCCAAGGAGGGCGCTCTGTTGAAAGAGGCGCAAGGGCACATTCGTTTTGAAAACGTGCACTTCCGTTATCCAACACGTCCTGGTAAACGGGTACTTCGTGATTTGGACCTGGACATTAAACCCGGCACGTATGTGGCACTTGTCGGAGCTACGGGTTGCGGTAAGAGTACCACGTACGTTATCTTCAATAGTCCTTACGTGTTTTATACTGACAAGAAATTGCAGTATCCAGCTTGTCGAGCGCTTCTATGATCCTATGGCGGGTAAAGTCTACGTGAGTTGATGTTAAATCCATTTTTCGTCGTACGTTTATGTTGTCTTGTTAGCTCGATGGACAAGACATCTCGAAGCTCAATGTCCAGGAATACAGGAAGCATCTTGCCCTTGTTTCTCAAGAACCTGTGTGTTTTTGGTTTCGCAGTATAAAATGCGGTGAGGACTAATCGTCACACTCATATAGACTTTATATACGGGAACAATCCGTTTCAATGTTTTGCTTGGAGCGACAAAGCCACACGAAGAAGTTACTCAAGAAGAGATTGAAGCCGCTTGCCATGATGCCAACATTCTCGACTTCATTAATTCATTACCTGAGTGCGTTTGACAATTTTTTGAAATGCTATTCAGGTGCTTATCGAAATATATAGGGGTTTCGACACGAATGTCGGAGGCAAGGGCTCTCAACTCTCCGGCGGTCAGAAACGTGCATATCCTATTTATCGTTCGTCATTCTATTTCTAAATTCTTGATTGCGTTTTAGAACGTATTGCCATCGCACGGGCTCTTTTACGCAACCCTAAAGTGCTATTGCTGGATGAGGTATGGAATACTTTTTGGTGTCAAACTTCGTTCGACCTTCTCATATATGATATCCTAAGGCAACGTCTGCACTAGACTCGAATTCCGAGAAGGTCGTGCAGGAGGCTCTTGACAAGGCCGCTAAGGGTCGAACGACTATAGCTATTGCACACCGGCTGTCTTCCATCCAAAACGCGGACTGCATGTGAGTTGTACTGGTATCCTTTTTAGCAGTGCCGTCTAAACCTTGCTCGTCAGCTACTTCATCAAAAAGCGGCGAGTCAGTGAAGCTGGAACGCACGAGGAGTTGATTGCCCGAAAGGGTGACTACTACGAATATGTCCAGTCGCAAACCCTATCAAAGTAGTTCTCTGATTCTCTTACTTTCCGTGGTACGGGATACTCTCGCAGTAGGCTTCTGTCATACACTCTTTATAGATTTCATACCCTCCGTCTTAACAGCTCCTTGACGATCTGGAAAATTTTATTACCAAAATTTAACAAGAATTACATTGCTTTGCGTTCCCCCTACTATCCCAATACCCGTCATCTTTCTCCTTCCTATTGCATTATTTCGTGGCGTTTTTCTCGACTGAGATGTCGATCCATTCATGACGGATATTATCTGCAGGTTTGGAGGCGTGGGTGGAGACTATAGAGGACTAATGTAGTGAAAAAATAGAGACGCAAGGTCTTGATGTCTTTATTCAGTGGTCTAAGAAAGACCAGTATAACATACCCACGGTCCAGGACGCGAGGGTACAGAGTTTTCAGAGGACCATCGAGAGCAAGCATTACTTGTTGGGCTAATGTGAATTACTTAGCTACCTGTAGCCTGCATTTGATCAAACACTTCCCCTCGCGTCTACACCTCACCGAATGAATTTCAAGAGAGAGAAACTCTCAAACCAATAATTGAAAACCGTGATTACATAATAAAAATACTTACCCACGTAATTGATGTGACAGGGCGAGCAAGAGTGTTCGTCACGTCACGGCCGCCTTGCTGCTTGCTGCACACAACCATGGACTCTCCAAAACGCGCAGGCTCGCCGTCGTCGGCCGCACAGGAAATAAAGCGTGTCAAGCTCACCGTCCCAGAGCAAAACCAAGGCGTTACTCCAGTCGACCCAGAGAATGCGCCTGGCAAGCGCTCAGAACTCGAGCCTCTGCAGTCTGGTGACATTGCAAACTTGCCCGCTGAGCCAGCTCCGGAAGCGCAGCCAGAGACCAGTGGCAGTACGAAAGTAAAAGTCCAGGGCGAAGGTGATGAGGATGGTGGCGACGTCTCGATGAATGAAGGCGGGGACGAGGAAAACGAATCGGGCGAGGACAACGACGATGAGGACCCGGCACAGCTCGAAGCAACGCGTCTCCGTTTAGAGGAGCAGGCTCGAAAGTACCTTGCCGCACAAACACACGAAGTCATCATTCCCTCATATGCAGCATGGTTCGACATGTCGAAGATCCATGATGTTGAGAAACGGGCCCTACCCGAGTTCTTCAACTCACGTAACCGTTCGAAAACGCCATCTATATACAAAGACTACCGTGACTTCATGATCAACACGTACAGGTTACGACCATCGGAATATCTCACGTTCACTGCTTGCCGAAGAAACCTTGCTGGAGATGTTTGCGCCATCATGCGCGTCCACGCTTTCCTTGAGCAGTGGGGCTTGATCAACTACCAGGTACGTCGAATGTTGCTCAACGCGATCGTGCAATTGACCTTAGCTCGTCACAGGTCGACCCGGACACGCGACCAGCAACCCTTGCTCCACCATTTACCGGGCATTTCAGAGTTGTCCTTGACACACCGCGTGGTTTACAATCACTGCATCCCGGAACACGTCCTTCAGCCAAGGAAGCCACACAAGCCGTGAACGGCGCACCAAAGCTAGTTGCGTCTGTAGCAGGTCAAGCCTCCCTGGAGCTACGTCAAAACATCTATCAGACAACCGCAAAATCATCACGCGAAATCTCGTCTTCCGAAGCCAACGCGCTCACAAACGGCACCTCTCAGTCCGCGGCGCGTGGAGCTAGTTTCTCTTGCGACACATGTGGCGTCGACTGCACTGCTGTGCGATATCACTCCCTCAAACAAACCAACTTTGAGCTCTGTCCTCCCTGTTATCTCGATGGACGCTTCCCATCAACAATGTTCAGCGGTGACTTCGTGAAACTCACCGCATCGCAAAGTAATGCAGTAGACGACGGCTGGACCGACCAAGAGATACTTCTCTTGCTTGAGGGTGTCGAGATGTATGATGACGACTGGTCCGCTATCGAAGAACACGTTGGGACACGCACTGCACAACAATGTATCCGCAAGTTCCTTGAACTTCCTATAGAAGATCCCTACCTGGAAGCTGAAAGCGAAGGTACCAAGGGTCCTCTACGCTATGCTAGGTTGCCGTTTGAGCAAGCGGACAACCCCGTTATGAGCGTCGTCGCCTTCCTTGCTGGGGTCGTTGGGCCGGGTGTAGCCGCTGAAGCGGCTAAGACAGCGTTACACGAACTCACGGATGGGAATAAAGAGAAGAAGGAAGGAGAGGTGGAGACGACCAAAGACGCAACGAAAGAAAATGGCGAGGAAGAAGAAACCGACAAGGAGCAAAAGGTGGAACAATCAGTCGAACCTGATGCAACATCCACAAGCGCCAAAGAATCCGGAGAAGGCGGAGACAGTATGGCAGTCGACGAACCCTCCAACCAGCCCAAACCAACAACTCAAACACCAGGAATCCCACAATCCAAAGTCCAACGTGCCGCTCACCTCGCTCTCCAATCCTCCGCAAAGGCAGCAAAGGCACTTGCAGACGCAGAAGCCTCCTCCGTCCGTACCGCCCTCACTCAACTAATCAAACTCACACTCAGCCGACTCGAGCTCAAGATGAGTCAATTCGAAGAGATGGAGTCCGTACTTGAAGAGGAACGACGTGCGCTTGCTGCTCAGAGGGCTGCGCTGGCGAATGAGAGGACGAATGTGAGGCGGACGTTGGAGACTGTACGTGCGGAACTCGCGAAGAATGGAGGGATGTTGCCGAATGGCGCTGCTGTTGCGAACGCTTTGGCGCAGAGTGCGCCGCAGGGGACGAAGATGTCGCCTGTGGATGGTGGGGTGTCGTTAGAAGGAGATGCTGGGCCTTCGACAGAGGGTAACTTCCAGCAGCTCGGTTGAGTGAGAATGATAATAGTCGAGGATTTTTCTTCCTTGGCTGTTGTTGCTCACCCCCACTTGCTGTAGCCTATTACGAGTTGTAATTTGTCTGTCTTTATACGTTCCCATTCACTTCTCATGTCTCGTTTTGTTTGTCTTTTGCTCTGATAATCTATATATTGTTTCGGGCTGCCAACTTGGAAGATCAACAAGATCAACGTTACAAAGATTGTATGTTTTTTAAATTTAAAAGAAAAGGTTAGTTGCTCAACATCCTATCAAGGGTATTTCTCACATGTAGGTCGAGGGATATTCGTCTGTTCACAAAGAAGTTATCCTGCCCAGAAGACAGATGTAAAAGCAAACCAGTAACCATGACTATTATTACAGTAAGAAATACGAAGTTTAGTATCTATGTACAGCATCAAAAAGTAGAACAGAACAATGATAACATGATCAAGCCCCAAGCGATGAAAACAAATACAAAACATGTACAGTAACGAAGCCCTTTGTGATACTATGTGATCGAAAGATAGCATATGATGTGAGAGTAGGTGAGACGCCTCCATGAGATAACTTTGGCAGTCGTGAATAGATCTCAAGAGAATTGGGGAGGAAAGGGGAAAGAGTAGCAAGATAGCATAAGAGGAGTAGGAGTATGATATGAAACGGGGAGGGGGAAAACAACTGCAACATTCATCAAGTTCTGCGAAGTCCACAAATCCAAAACAAACCATCCAAGACAAAGCAAAAGTGCATCCCTCAAAGCACATACCGGAACGCCAAGTTCTCTCCATCCGTCAAGTCCAAGTAATTCTTATCCACTCTCTCCTTAATAACCTTCCCATCCTTCTCCACCTCCACAATCGCCCACTCTTCGAACCTCTCCCTCCCTACACCCGTCCTTTCACTCTCTCGCTTCAGTGCCTCGCGCCGGTTGTTCTCGCGTACGAGTGTGAAGCGCAAAGCGAGGGCGAGGATGATGGACATGAGGTGTGACATGAGGATTATCCCGAAGGGGACGTGGTAGGACGGTTTGAACCTATCTTTCCAGAATTGTGTGCAGAGGATTTGGCCGAGGGAGCCTCCAACGAGGAAGACTGCTCGGACAACCGTTTTCTGTGAGTATAATGAAAATAAGGGGAGGAACGAAGATCGTCAGCAACGTTCTGGTGGGGAAAGCCCTACGAGAATTTTTTTAAATACCTTTGTATGCCCTGAGACAGCCGATGTCACCCAAGACATCGCCATTACGTACGCTGGAGAGCTACCTAGGACTGTACAGAGACGAGACCAGTATTTCTCAGTCAATTCGTTCAATGGAATATCAGACGGAGAATGATACATACACATGAGGTAGACACCAACGAGGCGAGCGACTCTATTGGTTGTCGGGGCAGTGATCTCTATGAGGCATGAAACGATCGATGGGATCCACCCAATAATGCCAATCCAACAACGAGAATTCTATTTTTTCCCGTTCATTAACGTCAAAAATAGGTGATAAGAAAGTGGGGGGAAAGTACGCACAGGGAACATCCTCAAAGCGAAGCAAGCCGCTGTAATCCCAATAATCTGCGCAACACCATTCGGTATGCTCAATAAACTTGTTTCAAGGGTCGAGAACCCAAAGCTCTTGATCAGCAAACTATACTGTACGCCAATCCCTCCGATCAAGTTCGCAAATGCAGCAAAGAAGCCAAACAACCATGTCTTTGGATCCTTCAATGCCTCCCACATCTGATAACTCTTCCACGCCTTCGTCTCAATACCATTCTGATTGGCCTGTACACGTCGTACAGCAGCCAATTTCTCCTCTGCAGTTAAAAACCGTGCAGTTGTCGGGTTGTCCGGGAAGAACAATAGGAATGCCAGGAAGGGGACGAAAGTCATGAGAGCGGTCGTTATCATAAGCCATTGCCATTGATTTGGTTTTTGGTGTGGTGAGGTGTGAACCATTGCGAATTGGAGGAAGGAAGAGACAATGACGGCGAAGCCGTTGCATTGGAATATCCAGCCTATCCGTTCGCCGATTTCGCGACGGGTGTAGAACATCCCGCAGACGAGCATGAGTCCGGCTGTCATGCTACCTTCGGAGGCACCAAGGAGGAAACGGAGCGCAACTATCCAACAGGGGAAAAGGAAGTCAGCACAGCAGATCTTCTTGGAAAGATCATTGGATATGTACATAGTCCACCGAAGTTGTGGCAAACTGCATGAAGGCCTAAGAATAGACTCCTGCAAAGGTGGATCAAATTGCCAATCAGTTTCTTGATCAATCTATCAGTTCCAGTAAGTTTTAAAATGTACGGACCAGAGGAAGATGTTGAATGTCAGCCACCGGCCAACGGGTAGTTTTTGTAGCGCCCAGTTTTGTGGCCATGAGAATACCAAGTAGCCTGCACATAGAGTATAATATGAACAGTGAATATGACAACATAGCAGATAATGAAGGAGAGAAAGGAGCACACACCAATGTAGAAAGCAGAACTTAGAGTATTGAATTCGTCGGTACTAAGATCGTTGTCTGTAAGGAGCCCAAGGATGGATGTCGAAGCAAGTGTACTCCTGTTTACAAGATAATGAATGAGTGATTAGGTTCGTCGACGCCGGAGAGGAAGCAGTAAAGGAATCGCCCGAAGACGAAGACAAGGTGCGCGCTTCACGTCGATCCCGGACTAGAAGGGAAAGAAGACAGCCCTCGGACTCACTTGTCCACAAACTGAACTATATACATTCCGCAACACAAATCCTGCATTCAGCATATATCCACATAGAAATGAAAGGGTTAATGAGCAGTGTGATAGACATACCGGTGTAAATGATACAAAGCATGGGCAACAGCCGCCAATCGATCTTCCGTCGGAGGCGTTTCGATTCCGCCGGTGACACCTCTGGTTCATCGGTGTGCCCAGAGACGAGTCGCAGCCCGACGTCGAGACTCTTGTACGTCCCATGGATGAGCTCCGCGTCCGACGCGTTAGCCTTCTCGTCCGTGAACGAGCCACTGCGAGAGGGGTCGTCACGCAACGACACCGCTGTCTTTTCCATGTCGTCACCCATCGCCGTGTCTGTGTTTCGTCTATTTACGGAGTCGAGCAGCACCCAAACCCACAGAAGAAAGGAGGGAACGAAAGAGAAAGGGGGGAAACGGCGTGCCAAGAAGGCATATGAATGAGGAGGGATACAGATATACAATTCCAAGGGCCGGGGGCTCGCTTGAGCTGGGATGGTCGTTCTGGGAGCGAAAACCCTAGAAAACAACTTGTTTTGTTGTTGCGCCCTTAGCGGATCCAAACTAAATTCATCATCTCAGATTTAGCACCCATCACTAATAATTTTTATGTACATCCCCCAGGACCCTCCCTTCCTCGTGTCTCACCAGCCATGCCCAAAGCGAGTAAATAAGCGTCTGATTGAGGAAACCCAACGATCCTTCCCCCGTGCCTGGATCTCGTTTAATCCTATCTGTTTATTTTTTTCTCGCAATTTCTCTCGATTTCCTTTATTCGGCTGGTCCGGGTCACATTGATGGGCTGATGTGGTGCTTTCCATATATGCTTACATGAAGTGATTTACGGCGTTGCAGCGTTGATGGCGGCCCGGAAGCAAAGCTCGAAGACTCGAGTTCAATTTGAAATTGCCTGTTGAATTTGAGAATTTGAAAGGACGCAACGGTAAGAAGGGACGTTTGAGAAATTGACAGGGATGAAGAGAAGAGAAGGATCGACATTATCAATATTTATTCAATGTTATCATACACACGCACGTGTCCTTCTCAATCTCTGGCATGTGCTCAACTCGAATAATTTCAAAAAAATATGATGATAAATCTTATCAAATACTGCTGACCTCTTCCTCTTTTTTCCTATCAGTTTACCGTTGTCGTTGGATTCAAGGTTCATCCAAGATCAGGCTCGATACTAGTCAAATATAAAGGGAAATATATTCGACCCAGCTACTTGGCCTCGACTCAGGAGAAGCAGACACGCCGCACACCAGCAACAGGTGTCGTCGACACGTTTCAGCCCTCCCTGTGCGGATCCTTCACATGCGATGTGCGAGAACTTCCTTCCAATACAGCTTTCATCATGGTTTAGGTCAATTCAATGCATTAAGTAACTAACGGTCCGTTTATCCTCGGACAGCTTGCATCAGAAATCTAACTTCGCGCATATCTTGTCTCCTCATGTGCGCTGTTGTTGGCACTTTAGCTTACGCCCTGATCTCGAGGATATAAATGACCTTTTCATTTCATATAAGATATTGACGCCTATCTAATCCCCCACGATACTCACTAGATCATTTCAAGAAACCAAGAAACCAAATTTTGGCTCATGTCTAGCGCGAACCTCATTCAAACTCCTTTTTCATCTAACCTCTTCCGAGGTGAATCCATATATTATATAACTTTTCGGGGCTCTCGTTCCTCCTATTGACTGGTTGCTTGAATGGATGCTGGAGTCTTGAAGGAGCGGCGTAACGGCACACCCGGCGTTTTCTTTCCTTCATGTACACATGAATTTTTTTTCTTCTTCTGTTAAAAGAACTTCCGACTCGGGCGCCCGCCCTGGATTTGACTGAACTGCGCGGAGGTCAGTGGAAGCCGCAGGTCACCAGGAGATCCTATCCGTCCATATGTGTATTATGCGTGTATTCTAATGGATGAGGACCAGAAACTTGGTGTCACGATTTACTGGTAATCATCACTACATTAGTATGTAATAACCTCAGATATAAATTGCTGACCTGTCCTGGAGAAATTAGGAGAACCTGGAGATATGGGGAAATTCTTCCTCAAGAAGGTAAGAAGGCGAGACAGTACTGAATTAGGAGAGAGCAGTCGAACTTCGAGATGCTCGTCCGGGATTCGAACACATGTCAGGGGTTTATTGAACGTATGTCTCCGTCCGTTTTGGTCCGCTTGAGATGCTCGTCATGTGTCGTGCTGGAGATGAAGAACACTGGACAGTAGCCACTCACAAACTATCTTTATTAAGTACAACGATCTCCCTTCTTGCCGCGGATGGACATACTGTCATGCTTAATGTGTACATGACTTCCACGTACGTACAACCTGACAACCGAATATCCATGCAGGCCCTGGTCTCAGGGTATTATTGCAGAACCACAGAACAAGACATAAAGAGAAACTCACTGCAATCACTACTTCCGGAAGACTACATGACTGAATGACTCCTATACTGTCAGTGAGGGGCATCTGGACATACAAACGACCATAAGGATACATAGACAAATTATCTTCTTTTTCTTCCTCAAGTCCCTCTATCTTCGCGCCGCACATCGCCGCAGATACTTGCATGGTGTTTATGTCAAGGCATAAGCCGTGATACATGAATTGCGATGCATGATATCATCCATCATACCTCTCCAAGAAAAGAGAAGGGAAAAACTTTGTCCTCCAGTCGTCCAATCGGAGCGAAGTTGGTGTCAGACCGGGTATCATTCCAAATGCCCTTAAGGCTACCTGGCTGGAAAAACTCTCGAGGGGATCCTCGCATTACGGATCATTCAAAACGTCATTGAACTTTGTCAACTGATCTTCCAATGGGTAAGTCGGAACAAACAAACAAACAAGGCGAGCATCAATATCACCATCACTTTCATCAACGGAGCGGGGTTTTGGATGAATTGTACATATTGTGTTTTTTAAATAAATAAAAAATCGACCATTGACTTGTCTGCAGACTTCGGTTTGAGTCCCTGGACAAGAGGATTAGTCTAAATACTCATACCCATTCGCGCCGTATGGTCAGTTGGTCCAGCACTAGTCCAAGTCTAAAATACAGAACAGGAAATGTCATGAGTCGCCCAGGTTCTCGGGGTACTGTGCAGGGCTCTTAGTTCCAGTCCAATTGGAAGCGATACTTTAAAATTCTACCGCCAGGAACGAGGCTAACGGAGAGACGGAGCCAGAATTGAGGACGCCATCAAAGGTTAGCCTCTTTGTCTTCGTAATAATATAAGCTACTTCATCTCGAGGATGTACCTTTGTTTGAATCCGTCAAAGAGAATACGTGAATAAGAGAAAATGACGAGGGTATAGAATAGGGATCAAGTCTAGGCACCGCTCAACAACTTGAGCTGGCCAGGCCTGCGGTTCCTCGGACGGAAATGATAGGTAATTGTTGTTGGTTTTATTGATCCGCTCATGAATCTTGGTGTAATATTTGAACTCCTCTTGAAGCTTCTGTTTTTGATGTTCGTTCATTCTGTGCTGGCCTTAGTCCGTGCCAGCATCAGCATCAGCATCTCTGTGTGCATTTCTAGCATTCGACAAGAGAATGCTCACCTCAGTACTACTTTGTGCTTATTGTACAGAAATGGTATGGTGTGTTTGTGGTGCGGAAGCGTTTTGTCGCTCTGCATTCTAGGTATGTTGACGTTCCGAGTCGCCTGTTCCAGTGGCGAGTTGTAGTATTACAGTTGAAAATGTCTTGACTCTTATTGCATAACGTTGGGAGAGGGCTAAACCCAATGCATTATACAGGTTATGCATTACAGCAGTACATTTTGGCTGAGAATCTGAGGTTTGGTCTGGCCAAAAGTCTATACATTATGCCATTTATGCATTATGATATGATGCAATAAGACATTTTCTACTGTAGTTGCTGTTCGTTCTCTCGATCACGTGAGTCGAAGAGCTCAACGTTGTGACGAAGTTGTTTGAGCTGCACCATGTTTGGACAGAGCCCCCATACCTGTGAACAGGCTGTGATGTGTATCAAGCAACTTTGTGAGATGCCAAAATGTAGTCATGTTGAAGGTTGATCCCAGGCTTGTTGCACAGGTTCTGAAGCCAAAGGCGATTTCTAGACTTCCATATAAATAATCAATGTAGCCTAAGCGACATTGACACATACGATAAGCATTGCCTTGACTATCCCGGTCACGACTCACTAGTACTGCCATGCAACCGCCTCGCTTGCTAATATTAGCAAGTAATAATCAGCCGCACCCATCCTAAGTATAAGAGCTTGCTCTGTAGAGGATCATGTGCCAGAGTCCAACCTTCTCGCCCATAGCCATAATCAGTTCCACTAAGGAGACTCCATATGCCTTCGTCATTCCCCGTATATGACTCTGTCCTTCAGACAGACGAGACGGGTCAAGTAGAGAACATTCTAGATGAAGGTGAAGGTGATGCTTACACCTTCGATCTCTGCTCACAGTTGTCATCAAACGACACTGCTTCTAACCTGCCTGGCTCCGGTAGGACGATTGGTCTCATCTACTCGCGTTTGGGACGTGCTCTTGAGTTTACCATTGGTCGCCTCGCACACCAGAGTGGATTCGGTCCAAAGGCAGTGGCTTCCCGAATTAAGCGTGTGGAGTTTAAAGGAGTAAAGGTTTCAGGGGACAATGAAACAGGAAGGGAAGGTCGCCTTCGGGGAGTCGTACGCTGGACTGTGAAGGACGGAGGTGAAGCTCAGCTCCGTTCGGACTGTCGGAAACTCGCAAAATACGCTACGTGAGTGTTGATGTGCAACTAATCAAACGACTACTAAAGGAATGTAATCTCTTTCACTGCATCAGTGCAGAGGTATGGGAAACGAGATCTGAAGCATTGGTCCAGATCCTTCAGCTAGTCACAGCTGAACCACGATTACGTGCCTATTTCAACACGCCACCAATCCTTCTGGATTTAAAGAACGTTACACAATCATCATATATCTCTAGCGATGGATCAGCGTCGAAGGGAAATGAACACATTAAACATAAACAGACAGTGCACTGTGCAACACAAGCGCTGCTTGCCATTGAGGTCGGCCCTCTGAACGACGTCATCGAAGAATTTTTGCAAACGTCGTTTACGCTTGATGATCCTCAACTGCTGGAGATCAGCAAATGCAATCATATCATAACAGAACTTCTTGAATACTGCCAGTAAGCCGTGTCTTTGCGCTTAATTAGCATATATAAATTAAAATACTGCATTTGCTAGCAACCCTCGTTATTCATTCATAGCAGGATATCTCAAAACCCGCATGATAAAAGTTACGAGCGACATTGCAACTACTTTTCACATTCGTTTTAAGCTTCATGGACAAATTACACATCTTCATGGAGCTATCGAATTATACCGTGCTGCCCTGCGACTTCTCTCCAACGGCCATCCCAGTCGCTTCCAGTTTCTGGTTAGCATTGCGAGTTCCCTTCGAACTCGATTTGACCAGCATGGGCAGACTGCAGACATCAATGAAGCAATTGAGCATTATCATGCTGCCCTGCGACTTCTCCCCGACGGCGATCCCAATTGTGCCTCGTCTCTGAATGACCTTGCGAGTTCCCTTCGAACTCGATTCGACCAACATGGGCAGATTGCAGATATTGATGAGGCGATTGAGCATTGTCGTGCTGCCTTGCGACTTTTCTCTGACAGCCATCCTGATCGTCTGTTACCTTTGACTTCTCTCGCAATTTCCCTTCGAAGTCGATTCGAACGGCATGGACAGACTGTAGATATTGACAAGGCAATTGAACACTATCGTGCTACCCTGCAACCTCTCTTCGATGGCGATCCCCACTGTTACTTATATCTGAATCACCTCGGGAATTCACTTCGAACTCGATTTAAACGATGTGAAAAGACTGCAGACATCGATGAGGCGATTGAGCATCATCGTGCCGCCCTGAAACTCCTTCCCGACAGCCATCCCGATCGTCCGTTACCTCTGAATGATCTTGCGAAGTCCCTTCAAATTCGATTCAAGCTGTATGGGCAGACCGCGGACATTGAAGAGGCGATTGGGCATCATCGCAGTGCTTTGCAACTCCTTCCCGATAGTCATCCCGATCGTCCCTGGTATCTAGATGATCTTGCGAATTCCCTTCGAACTCGATTCAAGCGGTATGGACAGGCAGCAGACATTGATGAGGCAATTGAGCATCATCGTACTGCCTTGCAGCTTCTCCCCGAAGGCCATCCCAATCGCTTCCGTCTTCTGGTTGCCGTTGCGATTTGCCTTCGAACTCGATTCAAGCAGCATGGACGAACTGCAGACATCGATGAAGCGATTGAGCACCATTGTACTGCCCTACAACGTCTCCCTAAAGGCCATCCCGAACGTTCCTGGTATCTGGATGAGCTTGTGATTTCTCTTCGAATTCGATTCAAGCAACGTAGGCGAATTGCATGCCTCAATGAGGTAATTGAGTATTATTCTACTACTCTGCAGCTTTCCTTCTAGGTTACCCTTGTTGGAGGACCAGACTGGCATCTATCAATCCTTATCTTATTTTATTTTTGGAATTTTGCATGTACTCCTTGTTTTGCATTCACATTACCTCGGTTCAATCCTAGTTTCCAAATGTATAGGATCAAGTAGTCAAACGCAATTGTAATCGATTCTGTCATCATACCCTCTGCTCGAACTGGCGTACAGAACTATTTTTCAATACCTGAAGGTTACTATTAGGCCAAACATGCACGCTGCAATCTCAGAGTCCGGTGAAGACGAGGTGAAGAATGAGGACACCATTGAAGGCTAGGTTCTTCATGAAATTCATTGGTTTTTTGCACTTCGTGGAATTACATAGAATTGAGGTATAAAAAAGAAGAATGATGGTCTAGGATGGAATAGAGATTTATGCAACCGTCTAGGCTCCACGCTGGACAGCTCGAGGCGTCCATGGCTGTGGTTCGTCAGATGAATGTGATTGTCGTTGCTCTGCCCATGGATTATGCTTGTAATGTTTGGCGTCCTCTTGAAGTTTCTGTTTTTGTTGTTCTTTCAGACTACGTTCGGGGGCACTAGCATCATTAGCATCTCCCACTCCAGCGTTTGATGGGAGAACGGTCGTTTCAACGTTATTGCGATGCAGAGCCTCCGAGTCCCTATCGTTCGTGCCGAAGGTCAGTCGAAGCCGCTGTGCACGTTCTTCGCGATCACGAGCTTCGATGAAGGCAACGTTGTGGCGGAGACGTTCGAGTCGTGCTACATCTGCTCGCAGTTCCTATATTAATCATACGTACGGAATAGCGTATATCAGCTTCCGTGAGGTACAAAGACGTAGTCGTTCTTTAAATATGGCGGGTTGATATGTATTGACACGTACCTCAGGCGTAGGCGGATCGCGTCGCGTATGTGTGAGCCAAGCTTTCCATTGGACTAGTTCTTCGAGTCAATGAAGGTCTTAATATATTGAGGATTCGTGCTGCGCACCTGCGAGTTGTCTACTTCTCTCCGCAACGGCAAGTGTATCCATCTGACCTCGGTATTTCACGACACGACGCGTTCTGCGCGGGTCTATGCGCCAAAGCAACTAATTTAGCAGGAGTTACTATGAATTATGAAGGGAAGTGCGCACCTCCCGTGGTTGAGGCATGTTCGTAAAAGTAGTTACCTGCAATTCACTTCTTTAGTTCATTGGTCTTCGTTAGATAGAGGTGAAAGGGTACGGACCTTGTAGGTCTTTGCCTACGTAACCTGTCTGGCGGGACATATATTAGAGAATACCCAATAAAGTAATTTATATTTCACTTACGGGTCTACGGATGAAATTCCAGAGGCGGGCGAACATGAACGACAGAAGTTAAGTAACAAATGTCAGATTACACTGACTAAATAAGGAAAGTTCCCACGAATAGAGATATTCATAGCATGAAGTTAACGCGAGGATGACGCGTCGCGCACGTACTGTCCTCTGTCCTCTGTCCTCACTCTCTTCCTCACTCTCCTGCTTTGCTACCCACCACCATGGCACCACCGGACGTCGAGATGAAGTCCGAAGACCAATCCAAAGACAAAGAAGACAAAAAGAAAGACGAAGAGAAGGAAAAGGAGAAGACTCCACCACCTCTAACTCCCGTACAAGAAATCAAAGCCAACGTCGCACTCATCGAGCGTGGTGTCTCGACTCTTGAGCCGAGGTTCACGCATAGGGTGTTGAGGAACTTGACTGCACTGCGGAGGAAGTTGGATGATGGTGTGTTGAGGGATGCACTTGGGGAGGTGTATGTGAAGGGTAGGCTAATTCACGTTAGTATGCGAGCGAGATGACTGACTACATGGTGTATTCGTGCAGACTCGTCCGAGAAGAAAGCACTTCTCTCATGGCTCCCTGATGCACCCGAAGGCGAAGGCGCAATGGAGATCGATGGCGTACCCGCTAACAACAACAACGCGCCACACCAACAAAAGTCTGGTACATCTCCACAACCACCAACGGATCCTCTCCCAGAGAGCGAAGTCTACCTTCGCTTGCTAATTATCCACCATTTATTGAACTCACCTGAGACGCGTCCGAAGGCGTTCACACTTGCTCATGAGACGGTAGATAAGATCCAGGCGTGGAATCGGAGGAGTATGGATCCGCTTGCTGCGCGTGTCTGGTTTGCGCTTGGACGGGCGTATGAACTTGCGGGTGAGTTGGAGGATGTGAGGCCGTAAGTGTTTATCTCTTCTCCATTTGACAAACGATAGTAATGCTAGTGTCCGCATAGACTCCTACTCACGGCACAAAAAACTGCTTCCCTTCGGCGCGATGACGAATGTCAAGCAGTGCTCATCAACCTCTTGTTACGCAATTACCTGCATTACAACCTATACGACCAAGCAGACAAGCTGGTAGCGAAGACGACTTTCCCGACTTCTGCGGGCAACCCTCAACTTGCGAGATACCACTACTACCTCGGTCGTATCAAGGCCGTACAGCTGAACTACTCCGACGCGCATACAAACCTTCAACAAGCGATCCGTCGTGCACCTGCAGCGAAAGCTGCACCTGGGTTCTTCCAAGCTGTACACAAGTTCTTTGTCGTCGTCGAGCTGCTTATGGGTGACATACCCGAACGCGGCCTCTTCCGACACCCGGTCCTCGTCGACGCCTTGGCGGGTTATTTCGAGATCGTTCGGTCAGTGCGGACGGGTAACCTCGCACAATTCCAAGAAACACTCCGCACCTACCAAACTCAATTCGCGTCTGACAAGACACATACCCTGATCGTTCGTCTCCGACAGAACGTCATCAAAACAGGTGTTCGTCGGTTATCCCTCTCGTACAGCCGGATTTCTCTGCGAGATATTTGTTTGAAGTTGCATTTGGATTCGGAGGAGGATGCGGAGTATATTGTTGGGAAGGCGATACGGGATGGGGTGATTGATGGACGGATTGTGCATGAGAAGGGGTGGTTGGAGTGTGGTGGTGCGAAGAGTGGGTATGGGGCGGATGTTGCGGAGGCATATCAGAGAAGGATTGGGTTTTGTTTGCAGTTGCATAATGAGAGTGTTAAGGTCGGTGTTCTCGTCCTCCTTGTCCAAGTTCTTCGACGCTAAACCTCACGTTAATTTTCTTCGATTTGTAGGCGATGCGATACCCGCTTAACGCACACCGGAAGGAGCTGGCTGCTGCTGAGGGAGCACGGGAGCGCGAGAAGGAGTTGGCGATGGAGATACAGGATGGGGACCTTGATGATGATGACGGTCTCGGGGACTTCTAAACAGGTAGATAGGAGTTAGAAGGTGTTGCTCTAGATGATAAACGATATTGTCAATGATATGGACGTGGCCTTTCTTCTTCATACCAATGTTGCCATTGTCAATGCATGCATATACATAAGTTTTAATGTTATGAAATTGTATACATGTATTTCATTTCATTTCGGAGGCAAAACCACGTGCATACAACAGCAATGAGTGATTGTCGGGCTGGAGACGCGTCCGTCTGCTCGTGTGCTTTGCTTTTGTACATATCCTCTCCTCTCTCTTCTCAATCTGCTTAAGTATCAAACAAGCAACAAGGAATAAGGTGATAAGTGATAAGTGGACGAGGGGTATCTGAAGGCGAACGGAGACGACGATGAGCGGGACAACGAGCATGGAACACTGTGCGTTCGTGCTGTTAGCCGAGTTCGATATCGACCGCGGGGCTCAGCTCACGTACCAGTTTCCTCAGCCTTTGGGGACTGATGAGGGGTGCGTCCACTCTCCTTCACTCTATCACTCTCCCTTTCTCTTCAATTTACTCACATTTGTTTGACATTATAATGTGATAATGCAATCGTGCGATTGGTTTGGATGACAATGGCTGAAGGCTCCTTGCACACCAAATGCTCCCTGACGGTGCAGACCGACAACTTGAAGATTGGACGATATTCTTCCTTAATCAGACACCGTTTAATAGGATTGAGCCGGTGCTTGCTCTTGAGTCTTCTTCTTCTCGTTCAATCAAAGGAGATTCGACTGCCTCTCTCGGTCAGGCTGGAGAAGGGGATGGGGTAGGGGTAGGGGATGGGAAGGAGGGGGATGGGGAGGAAGAGGAAGGGAGTGAGTTGTTGTATGTGCTGAACCTTGTTAGGACGAAGTTGGATGCTACTGCGAGGAGGTATGTGATTCTGTGCTTATTCGTATTGCGCTGTGCTCATTTGAATTGTGTTGGGTGAAGAGGTGCGGAGGTGAAAGCTATGGCGATATGTACAAGGCATCCGTTCATCCAGATCTTCAAGGTCAGTCCGCCTCTCCCTCCACTTTCCTCCCTTTCATACAAAATACTAACTTCAGAACAATAACGAATGTAGCCCGTCCTCCTAATGGCCCTCCACGACTACTTCTCCGACCCTTCCCAAGAATGCCTCGCTCGGCTGTTTGACGCCGTAAACGCGATGGACATCTCAGGCGCACCGACGCTCACGAGGGATGAGAAACTTATTATGCGGGTTACGGAGAGGAAGGATATCTTTATGGAGAAGTTCGCTTCGCCTCCTCCTTCTCAGAATCAACCACAAAGTCAGAGTGCGGGGTCGAAGAGACCGTCACAAGGGAGTACTCACGCCGCACATCGAGAACGAGAGAGGGAGAGAGAGAGAGGAGAGAGAGACCGCGATACGTTGGTAATGCATCAGGGAGAGGGGGGGTCGAGGTCGAGTTTCGAGGGCGGGAAGACCCAAAGTCAAAGCCAAAGTCAGAGCAGGAGTCGAGCTGATAGTTTGAAATCCCACAAGAGCGCTGCAGCGTCTGAAAGTTCCGGACCTGCCTCGTATGCGAGCGGTGCAGCGTGGGCTGGAGCTGGGGAGGACGGCGTACTTGCGCTTGACGGGCTTCACATCACCACCACCACTACCAGCAACAGCAATAATAATAACAGCAATGGGAACGACTCACACTCGCGGGATCGAGCGCAAAGTCAGATTACTCCCCAGCCGACTCAGACTCAGACTCAGACGCAACGTGGCCGACGATCGGTAGACTCGAACTCGACAAGCTCACATGCCCGACGAGATGAGTATGCTGCTATCCCACTTGTCGATGTGAATGCTCGTGCGCCGAAGGATACGCATTTCTATACGACGTCGATCGTGTATCGGGGACATACGTTGCCGATTAAGATGCCCTTGGCTACGTTCCCGGAGGAAGTTGGCGACGTAAGTCTTCTCATTCTTTTAACCCTTACACATATCATCTAGAATTTAAGATTTAAGCTAATGAATTTTCTTTTACGTTTGAATAGTACTCCCTCATCTCCCTAATCCAAACATTCAACTCCCCCTCCACAAGCATCTCAGGCCCCCAACACCCCCACCTCCACACAAACGGCGACCGTACCCACCCAATCATCCTCCTCTTCAACGCACTCATTACCAACAAACGTGTGATCTTTCTTGGGTATCAGAGACCTGCGGGACAGGTCGCTAGTGTCGTGTTGGCTGCGTGTGCGTTAGGGAGTGGATGTGGTGCGGTTTTGAGAGGGTTCATTGCTAGGGCGTTCCCGTATGCGAATTTGACGAATCGGGATGAGTGGGAGAAGATGTGCGTGACAAAATCTATCTTTTCAAATTATCCATCGTGCATACAAACAACTGACTAAATGATCTCATGAAATCCCTACAGACCAGGCTACATAGCAGGCGTAACCAACCCCATCTTCGAACAAGCCGGCGAATGGGACCTTCTCTGCGACATCTCTACAGGTCGAATGGTCGTACACAAAGATATTCATATCAATTGGCCTGTTGGATCTTTACCTTCCTCTTCTGCTCCTCCGCCTGGTACGGGTGGGATAACGCGTGTGGGGACTTTGCGTGGTGAGCCTTCATTAGGGATGGGAGGTGTTGGTGGGAGTGAGGAAGAGGTGGGAAGGATGAGTATGAGTACACAGGTGAATGCGGCGCCGATTGCGAGTGTGAAGGCGGATTATTCGGGGAAGGCGGATAGTCCGGATAATATTTTCATGGATGATGTGAGTTCCCATCTTTCTTCAGTCGACAAGTAGAAAAAAAATGTGAGAGAGACACTAACGCAAAGACGGCCATTACACAGATCATCAACGCAATCCAATACCACTTCGGCGAAACCCTCGTCCGAGCCCGTTTCACAGAATACGTCCTCCGTTTCGTCCGTCTCGTCGCGCGGTACGAAGAAGAGTACCTCGGTGGAACAACCAAAATCGGGTTTCCCACAGTCTCGTTTGACGCGTATGCGTATCCAACAGTTCAGTTGGGCTCGGGTATGATTTTTCAGGATGATGTGAGTGTGGGGAGGGAGCTTGTGGCGAATGCGAGGAGGATTGAGGGGTGGAGGAGGACGGAGATGTATAGGTTTTATTTGTCGGTGCGTTTCTTCTCTTTTCTCTTCTCTTTTCTTTTAGTCTTTATTTTCGGTGGTCTTTGGTGAGAGAATGCGAATGCTGATTGAGTTTGGAAATGAAATAGGACTTCCAAAACGCACTTCAGACGAGAGCTATACAAGGCTTTGACGTCTTACACCAGATCGTGAGGTTAAAGACGGCGAAGAGCATTAGTGATACGGAAGTTGAGCTTATCATGCGTTCGTTAGCTGAGAACGTGCAGACGTACGATCAGGTTGTTGAGGTACGTTCACTCACTCCAGTACATGTACATCTCTAACTCCGAGAACGTTTGTTTCATTTTTTAACTGGATTAATTTGCTACTGAATTGCAGCTGTTGTCGTTGCTACCGCAATACCTTGGTGGACTCCTCCCGTTAACGTTTGGACTCTTCCATCAACAGGAGACGATACGGAACTTGACTGTGGAGTTGTTGACGACTCTGCGAGCGTTTCCCGTACGTCCCTCATTTCCACATCCACTCTTTCTGTAGCATGAGAGATATATTTTATTTAGATTGGCGTCCAATTCCTACAAGGCCTAAACCACTTCCACCGATACGCCTTCGTCCGGCAAGCACACACCCGTGAAACTAAGATACTGCGTGACGCCGAACGACAGCACACCAATCAACACAATCATACGAATAATCACAATCACAGTCATAATTCCAACCACGGCAACTACGCTAATAACTCGCACCACACCAGTAACACCAACAATAACGTGAATACGAACCATACCAACCATACCAACCATGTGAATCATATGAATCATAATACGTTGTTGTCGCCTCCGTTACCTAACTTGGCTGCGTGGACGCCGACGAATCGGAGTGAGTCGAGTTTAGGTGGGGTTGCTTGAGGTCAAGAGGCTGTGGTTGAGATTTTCCTTGGTTCGTCGGTCTCGTTGCTAGGCAAACCCGATTCACATGTGTCTTTTGGCATGGTGCGATGATGTGCAGTAGATCTGTGCTTTCTTCATCTCTTCAGCTATGACTCGCGTGCTTAATTAAATTTTAAATTATCTCGTTATATCTGTCTTTTTGTGGATGTATATATGCGTGTATGTATGTATTCTTTCTTTATCTATACCTAATTCATTTATTCCGCTGTTCAGACTCGTACTTGAATTACGCATACGACCTATGTATCGCAATATATTTGCTGTATGAGGCGGACCAAAGCAAAATACCTAAAACAAGCAGTGAAGTAACTACCGCCTCTGCAGCACTAATACCAATATCAAAGCGGTTCTTCCTCACCTTACCTTCTTCAAAACTTCACCGCACCACAAAGGTTGGAAAGATACGAAGATGGATAGACGGATAGATGGGATAAACACCTGGTAAGTTTCATCATAGAAGAAACTTACATAACGAACATTCATCGATCACTTTATTTAAAAAGCTTGCTGTCGGGGATTGGAAGGGGTCAATGCTCTTTCGTTTCGTACCATGACCACCTCTCTTTCCCCTTTCCCTTCCCTTTGTCTCTCTTCACCATCTACCCCTTGCCCACTGTCTATCACACATTGCTCGGCTTCTGGTAATGCAGTATGCCTCTGTTGGATGACTTTCAGCCTGTACGAGGCTTGCCTCCATTGTCCCGTCAATAACCTGAGTGTTCGACTCTGCTACACTAGTCTTGCCTTCCTCTGTGTTTGCACAAATTACCTGATCATTTGTCATTCTCCTTCCATTGCCCCAAAAAAATCACTCTTATTTCTCAATTCTTTTGACAGATAAATTATAACATAAAGCCACAACATACCTACTCTCTGCATCCCAGACCCTGATCGTCCTCTCGTCATCATAATCCCGTCCAAATCTTTTGGCATGGGATCTGGATGGCAAGAACAGTCAGGGTCTGGCGAGCATGGACGAACTGCTGGGCTTTGAATTATATTTCATATGAACGCATATAGCTGCATAGACTGGCTTGGTTTCTTATTCTTGTCGCTTCCTGTATCATTTCATTTCTAGCAGATACCTGTAATTTAGTATTTTATTGTTACCTTGAGAAAACAAGTACTATATTACAGTGTCTGTGCATTGTACTGATCCATATAAACAAAATACTGCCTATATGCTCTATTTTCCGACGTTGAATTCTTGGTCAGTTGTCACAATTTTCCGTTCTTAATATTTAAAGAGGTAAACATGTATATGAATATGCAATGCGAGTTCATGTCTGGTCCATACGTGGTGTCAGACAGGGTCTCTAGTACAGGGAGCCGTTGATAGGTTTTTGTAATAGTATGGAATAGTGTGGCATGTCGTGTTTCGTGCTAAAAAAATTATTCATGGATTAAATGAGGGTCCTGTGTTCATACATCTAGTGCGTCCAACGGGAATATGGCAAGATATGGACTAATGGATCGAAGTAAACTATCTGAAGAAATAATTTAGAACGTAAACGGCTCGTCAAGAATCTCGTCCTGGGGTCACAGTCTGAGTATTGACGAAGATATTGTGTATATGCACGTCTGAACTTACCAGGGGCCGAAGGCTTCCAAGCTATTTCCAGATATTGTGAGACAAATTCATACAGAAAACGGTTTAGGGTACGTACACATGGCTTTGGCTGTGGGAGTGCCCACTTTCTCTTTTTGAACTCGGGCTTTGCTTCATAAGCCAGATCAAATACCCTTTTGCTGCAGCAGTGATTTCAGAACATCAGGTTGAGAACACAAACTAAACAACACACTTGAGTTCCTTTAACATCTCCCTGTTTGTCCAGGGATGTCCATCACCTGAATGTGGAGTCATTGGTTTCTCTCTCTATCCTCGATTCTCAAAGGCTTACAAAGTAACTGCACAAATGTCTGAAATAAATATCATTAGATACATCATCTACAAGAGCGGACTGGGACTTACATCCGTCAGAATGCCCCCATTGTTGCTATCAAGACCCAGTTGGTCATCCGAGCATGCAGACCAGGACGTCTATTAATTATCAAGCCTCATTAGATATTCTCAAATTACAATGATGTGCGTTCCATACTACATGTGCAAGGTCCTCGACCTTTTTCTCAGATACGACCTTTGTATCAACAGATACTTCTTCAGTCTGAGCGACAGTCGCTCCATTAGGCATGACCGAAATAAGACCACCACGAGCCATATATGGCATCTCTGCACATCAACAGAACGTAATGGACACTTAACACAGATGTACTCTGTTAGAAAATGAGATAGCCTACTCATGCTCCCTGTTCGTTTTGGATTCCTCTTTAACATTGATGATTTTGAGTCCACTGTAGAAGAACGTGACTCGCTAAGTATAACGTTTAAGGATGTCGTTCGTTCCGGGTTTGTTTTTGCCCCGTTTCCTAATAACCGACGAGGGAGCCCAGACGGGCCTAAGTCGACAGGTGAAGAGACACTGAGTACAGCGTCAAGTGATACGGTTCGTTCCAGGTTTGTTTTCGTCTCGCTGCCTAATAACCGATGCGGAAGTTCAGATGAACCTAAATTATTAGGTGGAGAGACACTGAGTACAGCGTCAAGTGATGTGGTCCGTTCCTGGTTTGTTCTCGCCTCGCCTCCTGCTAACTGGCGAGGAAATTCAGGCGAATCTAAATTGACGGGTGAAGAGACCAGAGAGGTACTTGGTGACCACTGGCTGTCAAGACTATTGTCGGCTTGGTGAAAGGGTAAGTCTGCGATATGTTCCGCAAACAATATGATAAGGAGTGCAATAATTAGATTGGCATCTCAAGGAGAAATGAATAATCAGGCCTACCGGCTCCAGTTCCTGAATGACAGCAATCCAGTAAGACCTATACAATGAGATCGGAAGAGATTCATCAGAAGAGAAGAACAGAAAAAGTCACTATATACTGTGACAGTAGAAAACGAACCGTGAGATGAGCTTTTGGCGGCAAATCGTCAACCAAGATCCTTTTTAAGTCCTTTGCAGCTAGTCAGAATCGGGTGAGGGAGTAAAAATGGCTGAGTGAAACGAACATCATCCATGATGTAGTTGGTTGCCCTCTCAGTGTCGCTCTTACTGGGGTCATATTGCACGTCGACAGGCCAAAACACTGCATATATGAATGATAAAGCTGAAAGCTTTGGAGACGGAATAGAAGCTGAGTACCTTCATCGAACCCATCTTCTTCCGTGCCGTCTTCATTCACAATTTGCGAGCCATGTCCCGAAACTGTCAAGGAAGGTGTCAAACTGGGGTTCATAGTCATATAGACGAGTACTTGCAGGAAAAGACGAAATGGTCTCCAGGCTGAGCATCTTGGACAAGTGCCTTCATTGCTTTTATCTGGAAAAGAAAACAATAATCGTAAGTGCAATTTGCTGGGTACATTCATGAACGAACCATTGTGTCGTTCGTTGGTCGCACGTGTTTATCGTCATCCATAAGAATTACGATGTCTTTTTCGGCATACCCGTACCTATCTGGCAAACAATGACACGCTTGAGCTTAAATTTTTAGCGGGTTAGAATTTGCTCACCAATGAGCAATCTTCTAATCCTCGGAGGGTCGTGTTTAGTACCGGGTAAGAGGAACGGTGGATTCTCGTCGGGATGATTGTCGTGTAACTCTTGGTACCTGACAGCGACAAGAAGTGCCTTTTTTCTCGGGATAACGGAAATGATGGGAGCCATGTTTGACTAATTGAGTAGAGGGATATGTTGATGTCCAGGTCCAGGTGATAGTTGACCGGAGAGATACGCTGATGAGTAGGTCCAGGAGGAGCATCGACAACTTATATACAATTCACGTTGCTATGTCCTAGGACACATCGAGGCGATACAAATTCATAGCCATGTCCTCCATGCATGCTAGGTGATGCTTAGGTGTCGGATGATGACGAGCGGCGACATCAGACACAAAGATGCGCATGGCTATTGCCTATTCCCAACACGAAAGAAGGTTCCACTTCACCACTGCATATTCGCGCGTCTATCACTTTTCTGTACGCGAAAAGTGAAACGTGCTTTGTAATGGCCATCAAAACGTAATTGATAATATACGAATCTAGTGATTATACATCAAGATATGAATTTTGCCACGAGAACATGCTAAATTTATATATACGTCAAGAAATGAACCTATGCCAATTAAATAGTGTGCCATAGTGAAAAGAGAAAGAAGAAAACGAGTACAACGCGGCATAGTTAATGCGGTGTCGTGCCTTACCCGTCGCCTTCCAGCTATTCATAGAACCACCGCGAACAAGAGAAGAACCGGACTAATATGCCAATGAATAACCGATGAAGGGAGGAAGGTATTCAGAAGGTAAACGGCTCGTCGAGAATCTCGTCCTGGACTCGTTATCTGAGAATCGAGAAAGACATTGTAATATACATGTTTGAACTTACCAGAGGCCGAAGACTTCCAAGCTGTCTCCACATATTACAAGGCAAGGTAAATAAATTGCTGAGCAAGGAACAAAATGTAATACAAAAAATACTTACACTCGGCTTAGGCTGAGGAATCTCTCCGTATCCATTTTCTCTGAGCCAGCGTTTTGCATCTTTTGCTTTCTGGAATAATTCTCGCCTAGAACAAAGATAAGTATTAGACAGATGGACGGTAGTAAGAAAACACAAACGTCAATGCTTCAAGCATGTCCTTGTGGGTCCGGTCACTGTTCTCTTCTGTCATTTTGTGTGCTTTATCAGTACTGTATTCCTTTCTGTTTAAGTGTAAGTCACAAACCAAGCAAGGCAACAAAAATCTATGATAAATATGTCAGAAAATAATTCATAAACATGATGTCAGCATAGATATACCTACTTTTGTGAGGATGCCGCCAGTAGAGCTATCAAGGCCAATCTCACCATCTAAGCATGCAGACCAAGATATCTAGGTATGATTGTCAGTCCTGTGTGTAATGTGCAAAAGCAACCAGAAAACTGTATACGGCATGAGCAAGTTTTGTCGGGTCCTGTTCAGGTAAAGCACGTTTGTCGATATTTTTATTTAGTACTCCATCCTGCAAAATGCTTTCACCATTTGCTTTTTCTTTGATGTCAGGACCACGAATCCTATAGGGCATCCCTAATATATATTATATGCAGTGAAATTGTTTATTTTAACTAGAATAATGAGACGACAATAAGCAGAACTCACGCATGTTTCGTGCCATCCCCTTCATATTCCTCTTCGATTCTCCACCAGTGCTTTCCATAGTGGAAGATCGCGAAATATTTGGGAAGGAGTCCTGCCTCATTGCACGTTGAAGGTTTGTCTTTATTATGCCCGACACAGGCAATCCGTAGGGAGATTGTGTGACTGGTGAAGAGACAGGTGACACAGTAGGCGATACCCACATATGATCAAAGCTATTAATTGAGTGACTATGGGGTAAATCTATATTTGTTACAAATAGTGAGGCAAAACTCAGGAGTAAATATTTACCCGAACTCACCGACTCCAGTCCCTGAATGGCAGCAATCCAGCAGGACCTGCACATCAATAATAAGTAGGTATACAAAAGTAGACACATAAGAAAGTGCCACAGAAAACGTACAGTGAGGTGGGCATTTGGTGGCAGTTTGTCCACCAATATTTCTTTTAATGTCTTTGTAATAATAAGTAAGGAGCGAGTTGAATAGAAAGTTTGAATGAAACAAACATCGTCCATGATATAGTTAGTTGCCTTCTCATAGTCGGGCTTGGCAGGGTCATATTCCACATCGACAGGCCAGATGACTGAAATGAAATGTGATAAAGACTTGATAGCATATACTGGAATAGAGGCAGATTACCTTCGTCGTATCCGTCTTCTTCTGTGCCATCGAGATTCTCGATTTGAGAACCGTGTCCGGAAACTATCATGAAAAGTGTCCAATTAGAAAGTCGCCGTATTTTGGAAGTGTACTTACAGGAAAAAACGAAGTGGTCTCCGGGCTGAGCATCTTTTACTAGATCCTTCATTTCTTTTTCCTTTACCAAAAGCAAGTCTCGTAATTACAAATCCGCTATATGCTTTCACGAACAAACCATTGCTTCTTTCGTCGGGCGTGTGTGCTTATTGTCGTCCATGAGAATAACAATATCTCTTTCGGCATATCCGTATCTATCTGTCGAACAGTGAAACTCTTAAGCTTGGAATTTTCTGAGAGAGTTAGTGATTACTTACCAGTGAGCAATTTTTTAACCCTTGGGGGATCGTAATGTGTACCAGGCAACATGAACTCTGGTTTCTCCTTGGGATGTTTGTCGTGCAATTCTTGATATCTGACGGCAACAAGAAGTGCCTTTTTCTTCGAGATAACGGAAAGGGTGGGAGCCATGTTTAACTAATTGAGCAGAGGGATATGCTGAGAGTCAGGTCCAGGTGAAGCTGCTGAACAAGCGCATAAAGCATTGTATCTTTATATAAACTTGGTCTCTCTGATCCTGATCACGCTTTGCTGTGTCCCGAGGCAATATGGCAGTAACCGTTATGGTAGTCTTCAGTACATACTTGGTGATGGTGCTTGAGAGTCGGATGATGACGAGCGGCGACATCGCAACACGAAGATCCGTACGAACCTATGTACCGTGATTGCCTAAAGAAGTTTCCACAGGTTTACTCCATACGCGTCTATCAAGCCGCCTTCACACAAAGATGAAACATGTTTTGAAGTAGCTATCAAGACGTAATTGATAATATACAGATCTAGCCATTATACATCATATGAATTGTGCCACGAGAGCAAGCTGAAATTATATATGCATCAAGAAGTGAACCTGCCGATTAAATTGTGTGCCATGGTGAAGGGAGAAAGAAGGAACCAGAGTGCAATGAAGCACGGCCCATGCGGTGTACCGTTTTTTCCATTGGCTTATAGCTATGCAAAGAACCATCAAGCATAAAAAAAGACCCGGACTAATATGCCAACGAATACCAGTAAAGAAGAATTAATTTGACTAGGCTGCAGTGCGCATAGCTCAGAAACTGAATGGAATCGGGTAGACAACGTCCTAGTCAAAGCGGAGCATCATTGAGTATTATAATCAAGTTCATGTCCAAAAAGGCGCTTACAAGTTTCTGAAGGCTGGCAAGCTATGTATTCCTGGATCAGATGCACAACAACGTGGACAAACAGGATTGACACTCACCACCGGTTTAGGGCATCCCAAACCCATTTCTAACACTTGCTTCTTGCCCGGTCTGACTGTTTTCACCAGGTGCTCGCTATGAATTCACATTAGTGAAAATCAAATCATACACCGCACCATATATGCTTACGAGATTGCTTTAAAGAGCTCCTCATGCGTCAACTTTCGGTTTTTGCCTGTTTCTCAAGTTAGCCCGTCATGTAGTACTTAGGAATTTTGAAGTCTACGCACGTAATACGTTCCAGAAGGCCTGATGAACGTATGACAGTTAGTTATTTTAAAATGAATTCATACAGTCAACAGACAGAACGTACCATAGTAAGCATGCCTCCATCCGGACTCTCAAGCTCAAGCGTGTCGTCGACGCATGCAGCCCAGGATGTCTTCGAGTTGGAAAGAGGATAAGTCCTGAATCTGCTGCAGAATTGAGTGTACTTACAACATGTTTCTCGCTACGAACTTTCGCTTTAACTTCTTCAAATCCCTCCACGACACACTCCTCGAGAGTTTTCAACTCTTTCACTATTTCACCGTCTTGCATCATATGTGGGAGCTCTGTTCGCTTTGTAAGCGCCGATTCAAAGAGTCGAATCGGCAACAGTGGATACTAACTTAGCTGGAACGAACCTCTCGTTGTAGCTGGTGCGAAAGGTGGCCTGGACTTGGCCTTCGGAGTGATAGGGGACCATATCTTGTGTAACGTCTCCTCGTCCTCGCTTTCTGGGCGTGAATGTGGCAAATCTATACGAGAATTAATGTCAGACGAGATTGGACATACAGAAACTCATTTCACAAGCACTTACCGATACCAGAACCAGAGTGACAACTGTCGAGGATCACCTGTCGAAGTGGACAATCAATTCCCGCAGACGGACAGGAACGAAGAAGCATAAGCATACAGTGAGGTATGTCCCGACTGGAAGTCTATCCACTAGTCTCTCTTTCAGTTCCTGTAAAAAAAAACTCAATAGGTTTCCGGAAAGTATGACAGCGAAGGAAGCACGCACGTCATCGACGATATACCTGTCTATGCCAGTTCCTTCCTTATCATCATATATAACGTCGACCGGCCAGATGACTTCGTCCATTCCATCTTCCTCGTCTCCATTCTCATCAGGTATCTGGGCACCATGTCCAGAGACTAGAAGCACGTCAGGCAAGGTCTGGCGTGTTGTCAATCTAGTTGACTTACAGTGAAACACGAAGCGATCACCAGCTTTAGCATCCTTGACAAGCTCATCAATTGCTGTCAACTGCATGAAAACTTCACATCAGCTACAAGGTCCCACTTCTCGATTAAAGACGTACGATGTTTTCCCGAGTCGGCAGTGTATGCTTCCCATCATCCTTCATAATGACGATATCTTCTTCCTTATACCCATAAAATTCTGCAAAGGAATGAGCTTTTCAAGGAACTACAAGGGGTGTGGTATACTTACGGGTCAACATCTGTTTTACCTTCTCTGGATCGCCATGAGAGGCGACGAGTTCGGGGGGTGCGTCTCTCCCGGAATACTGCACGGCATCCTTGTAGGTGATGCCAATAGATAACGCCTTTCGCGCGACGGCGTGCATCTCTGGGCCATCCTTGTCAAGTCCTGGCATCCTCGTAAACGAATAGACTAGCTGAAAGTAATACGATGCAAGAGCGGAGGTGTGAAGGCCGCAGAGTTGAGGCAAGCTTGACACCCAAAGGTCAACAACGTTCACCCTAGCTTTATCCCTCTTGCAAAGAAACTCAAAATGCACACCAGTCGGCTTCCGTTCGCATTCCTGCGTCTGGATTGGATGGATCTTGATAAAGCAGTGTCATCCTTGTCTGACCGATGCGCGATGCGCGAGCGCACCGCCCATCAAAACAGGTCCGTGATTGACGCCGTGCTAGTACAACATTCAAAACGTGATCTCAATGCAACGAACGGTCGGCGGCACAGCTTTTCCGGTCATTCGAAGACGTTGTACTCCCCTATAGCTAATAATTGCCCAGTCTTCCGAGCAAAAACTCGGGCTTCCCAACGCTAGAAGTTGAAATGGGCCACCTTTGGAGCAGTTAGAGCGACAGTTAGCTAGGACACATGAGGCGAATGGACGAATCATGTCGACTTGACTAGCTTAGACGCGATCCGGATCGCCGGCCTCGTGCGGAACTTGCCTCATCTTTACATAGACAGAGCCAGACGCCCATTAATTCGTGAAGAATAAGCGTATACTCACGCGCCGTACTGCCAGTGGGAACAAATTGTATTAAATTGCTGTCTATTAGGTAGTGTTTTACAGTGGAGCATGGGCATATTAATACATTAGGTATCGCAAGCCTCACATCTTTTCTTATACGAATCTCTGATTTCCTTCGTAGAAATACAGTTGGGAATACAGTGACGAGTTTCTTCAAGTAGTAAAGCGTACGGGAGGTGGGGTAACAATTGGTCCATGGTAGGCCAAGATGGCCAATTCCCTTTAGCTCATCGAAGTGACGACTTAGAAAGGAACGGTGTGCTCCTATTCGAAGATCCCAGTGAAACGAGTATTGTCCATTTTTATATCTTGTTACCAATGATACCGTCGTTCCTTTCCAAATCTCCATCACGATGAGCGAAAGTCCGAAAAAAAGAAAAACAAGACAGCAAGGCACCCTGGAGATGGAGAGCATATGCAACGCCGCACAGGACGGCAACAATCAAGCCAACAAGGCCGCCAGCAACAAAATGATTCAAGATGGGAACTGCTTTGAACAGAGCAAAGCCACCTTGCAGAATTATAAGGCCGGAAGACCAGAACAGGACTGCTTTGGGAATGCTGTACATCCACGAAAGCGGAGCGAATCCAAATACGGAATGGCACGTCCTGTCTAAGAATGAAGCCTATGAGAGAAAAAGAACATCAATATGAAAAACGCCTCTACAAATCGATTAAAACTAACTGCTTCCAGAGTCTCATAATTTAAGGACATCTGATGATAAATGCTGAGCGCCATACTAATTATGAATCCTAATATTGAGAGCGCTATTGCAGCGATGCTAACTGTCGAAGACCCAAGTGCACCAAAGTAGATCATTGCATGCATACTTCAAGGCACAATTAACCGATGCATACGAAAAGGAACTGATCCTACTCACGATGTCAATGCCGTAGTCCAGACTGCTGTCTCTTTCCAATCCTCAGTCACCCGTTTTACAAAAACTTTCCAGGGTTCTGCGTAGACAAGATTGTCTACCCACAGCCCGTCAAGTTCGCTTGAGTATTTTTCCGGGATATTGAAGAGCACGGTTCTAGAGAACATCTTGAACAAGAACGGCAGATCTTTGGGAGCATTGTTCACAACACGCTGGTCCCGAGAGAGACGTGCGTTCTCCTCGCCGTAAAAATTCAGAAACCTGTGTCGAGCTGACATATGAAACTTCAGCACAGCTATAAGAAAAAACTTGTAATGGAAGACTCACCAACTTGTCCCCATAAACGAGCAACTACGCAGATAATATACCGATCCGCAAGGACCTCACTTGAGCCTGAGACATGATCTCGGAGCAAGTCCATAAACTCCTTGCACTGTTCTGCACCGTACGGGAATGTTCCAACCGTAGAAGTCAGATGATCTATGAATGAAACGGATGAGTAAACAACTGCGGAAGGCTATGGAAGGGGTCCGAGAGTGAGGCGCTTACCTGCCCTGGCATGAGTCAAAATACTGAACAATTCGCGCGCACAGGACATCCGGATACCCGGAAGATGTGCAGAGAAGTACTCAACATGAGTCCAATAAAATTCATTAGAGTTCCAGCCTTCAAGGACTTCAGGTCAGTACAATTTCGAACGTTTAGCTGAGAATAGGCACTTACGCAGCTGGGTCATTGATACTGAAGCAGGGATGTCCAAGTCTTCGGAGGATACATCCTGAAGCCAGAAAACAGTCCTATTGTCATGGTCCACAACATAATATCCACAAGAGTCGTCATTATCGTCAAGTTGGAGCATAACTTCAATGGAGTTCGTAATCATGAAGTCCTGCGCCTCAGCGAGTTTACCCGCCGCAGCCATCCAGTGCGAAAGGCGCTTCAACTTCTCCGCGTCGTAAATGTTTGTCTCAGTGACAAAACGCAACTGGCTATGATAGAAATACAGCTGTCCCTCTGCCTGAATGTGGCTCGACCAACCAAGTGAGAGGTAGCTAGGCCTAAAAATCAAGCAGCGTCGGTGAACACGCATGATGGATATTTTCCCCAATGATTCTCACTCTAGCTCTCCCTGGCGTGAGAAACATCCCGCAGGAATGCTCTTGCAAGATGGTAGGACTCTGTCGATGACAATTCAGTCACAAAAGTCAGGAAGGATTTGCTGAAAACGAACCCTCCAGGTTTTGAGTAACGAACCGAGTGGGCCGGTGTGATTGGACGTAAACCGGCAAAGTCAACAGGGTTGGCTTCCAAAACACGTTTAAGCGAGTAGTCCATTTCAAGAGTCCAGCAGAGGGAAGCAAGTGCTGTGGGAGCAGGTTGATGTGGTTGTACTTCCGCTGAGTTGAGAGTTGAGCCCTTATAAAAGACGGACGACCCATAAAAGTAAAAAAAGCAGTGCACAGTGCACACTGCCTCTAAATCGGTACTGAGTTACGACCTGTCATTTTTAAGCGAAAAAGAACATACGCTGGTTCAGCCCGTGCAGTGGCCTTCAGAAAAGTGGCTTATAAGCAGAATAAGAGCTCTAGCACCAAGGAGACTTGTTCATACTGTAGCCTGCAAGTTACACAAAAAGACAACCGCCTTTGGTGATTGCCTAATTTAGCGATTCCTGTTCCACTATCTTCCGCTGTCTTCTGTGCAACCATGGAGATTAACGCCCCGCCTGGCTCCCGCACGCACAGCATTGGCCCCTGCCACTGTTCACTCACTTCCTGTATTCATTTTTCCAGAACTAGATAGAATAGCCATGGCGATTGCTTGAGGCGTCCTCATTCCGACTTGGCCTAAAGTCACATATTTAGCTCTATCAGTGGGAAAGGTAATAATCGATGAGGGAACACAAGGTCATTAGGTGCTGGTTAGTCTCATTCAAATTTGTCAAATTTGCTGCGGAATGCCAGTTGCGCCGAGCCGTAATGACCCTTGCCTTGGCCTAGGGCACAGATCCGTCAGAGTCAGAAAGTGTGCTCCTTAACATTAATATTGCTCGGAAGACGGGCTCCGACCAGTTCATAATACATATGGCACTCAAAAGCACTGCATTCACGGGGTGCGTTGTCGCCTTTGCGGATCGCTTGTAAAACCATGCCGACGTAAAAACCATAGCTTAGTCAAATGCTGTTGAAATAGTTATAGGTCAGGCAAGAGCCTTCATCTCAGCGGTAATGTGCTCTGCCCCTAATTCATAGAAGGACAGTCTCGCTACCATTCTCAAAATTTGTACCGACCGGTTCTTGTTTTGCATTGCGCTGCCTCACGGCATTTACATTTTTCGGGAATTGCCTTAAAGGAAGGCAATGCTCTATAGTATTTGTACACGATACACTGCCATGTGCGTTCCTATATTCCGACACTTCTGATTAGATAAGAAATAACTACGTTTTGCCTTGGATCTTGTCACATTTCCGAATTTCACGCATCTTCCTATTTATATCATTAATCTAGGGCACTTATTAGCTTCTCACTCATGTCTTTAGGGTTGAGGAAGGCGCCTCACTTTCATCAGAGAATCCTATGTAGAACTCGAAAATATAGCGCCGAATATAGGTATTCACAGGCACCAGTCATTTGTCACACTGTCACACACGAAGATAATCGTTCACACGTGCTCTGCATGTGAAGATCAGAGGCCGAGTATAAAAGACTCTGGCAAGAAGGCCTAACACTGCACTGATGATGCCTGAACTACAAATGGCCAAGATCAACTGTGCACTCGATCGATGGCTGCGAACCGACTGGTGGAATTGTATGAGGTTTTGAGTACCGAACAAATTCCATTTCTATCCCTGTACACTTCTTGCCAAGTTCTTGGTTGGGATGTTTCTATTGAACAGCACTGCTTGATGACGCTAGCACACAAATACATCCTTGATGATGATCCTGGTCTCCACAAGGTTTGACTGCTGTACAGTTTCTCAACAACCACGTTCCAGAACAAGTGATTAACGTTTCTATTTTTGCCAGATGACCAACGGTATCCAATCTTCTGTTGTCAGTGACTGCAGACCTGTGTTACCTATCCGCATGTATATCCCGGCATAGGTGAGTATTCTATGCTTTCATTACAACATAGTCGACTGAAAAATGCATCATTATTAAAGGCCTATCTTCTGACTGCTCCACAGTTGATTGCATAATATACTGTAGCATGTAATCACGTCACCACCCTCTAGTCAACTAAAGTTGTAGGTCTGTGCAAGGTCGATTATTCTTGTATCAACACTGCTTAGTTCGAATCCGCTTACCTGCGGTCAGAACCGGAGAGGAGGTAGCAACTAATGCTGTTGCTCATCATAGGACAAATTCTGATTGAACGACAATCCTGTGTGCAATCGGACAAGCATCTGTGCGAGGTCTGCCAATTATTACTTGTTGACAAGTTTACCTAAGGATTCATCTCAAAACATGGTCAATACCTGCATACAAGTCGCGTGGAGGCTGGAACTGAAGAAGATGATTGATGTTTATGTGTACTGAAGCTTACAAGACGCTGGAACACGTTGGTTGACGGATTTATCTTACTCTTATAATATAAAAAGGGGCAGCTGACGCTTTACCAAGTAGTTCCCATCACTTGGACACATTTCAATAGGCCGACCAATTCGCATCTAAAGCTCTTGACTATCCAACATGGCTGAGCATAGCGTGTTTGACGTGCAGTGGGTTACTTTCAAAATGTATCTATTATAGCACCATGTGAAACGATAACCCGTCAGCGTTCCTATAGAGCATACTGCCACCGATAAAGAGAGTATTTTGGAGAGTACAACCGACATGGCAGCCGGCTTTGATGGCGAGGATCCAAACAAATCCGTCTCGAGGGAGACCACTTCTAGCTCCTTAGGGTAATAGCCATTTCTATTCCCCGTGTGTTTGTATTCTGAAATCCACGATCTCCGGCTGACTATAGTGGAGAGGCTCCACCTACTCATGCCAAAAGCTCCCAAATGCTGAGTTCTTTTGAGTTCTTCTAATCTCCTACTGAAAATTTCCTTGCAGTAGTCCTGCACTGGCCACTATTCAATTTAGGCCAAAAGGAAGAGCCGGTTACACGACGGGTACGAAGCAAGGCTCTTCAACGAAGCCACCGCCGCCGCCACCACAAGGAAGACCGAACTGTCCGTCCGACTCTAAGACGAGCGCGAGCGTCACTATCCTTAAAGTTCCTGACAGAAGTAAGAAGTAGGGTCCGCGCTAAATTACGCCGCCCATTCCTTCCTTACATACATTCTTGTACCCGATCGACACTGCTTTTTAATTCTATCACTGCATTCAGCGTCTATACTTTCTAGCTCTTTCTCGTTCGATAGTACCACGGAGTAATTTGATATTGTGTTGCCTTCTCATTCTCCCACAGCTTGAGACTAAATGAATAGAGGTGAATTTTATTTTGATCCAAACTCGGCAGAAAATGTGCTTCTCGAGGGCATGCAGCATGCAGCGCGCGTACTGCTTGTGGGCGTCTAATGTCAACATCTGACACTGCTGTTCAACGCATAGATCCAGATACTGATTTCCAATTGTTAGATCATCTTCTTGATGTTACTTGCTTCAAATTCATGCGACGGTTAAGGAAGCTAGGTAGGTGCCTCATCGTCTAGATCCTCTTTACATAAGAATTAGAGCCATCACGCCCGCCCGGTGTATAAAAATGTGTAAGTGGCCAAACCTAGGAACCCCCTAACTTGAATCCAGCTGAAACATGCCCAACATCGTCGACCCCGATTCTCCTACAGGAGACAAGTAAGCCATTAGGATCGTCATTTCTATTGTCCTGACCTGTTTCCTATTGCCCTAGCACCGTCATTGAACACATAATCGATGGAGAGGAAAATGCCGAAGGAACTCGACTGGTAACGGCGGGCATTGTTGAATCCACGATTTCCTACGACTCCGTTTCAGGGGAATCTACCCCAAGCTCGCTGAGGTTCGTCTACACTCTCCACCGTCTCTCTACTGCGTGTGCAATTCCCCTTTCACTAAACGATTTGTAGCGAAGAATTTCTTTTCCCTACCGACATACTTGGTGATCCCGAGCCTTTGGCTGCTTCCGACTCCATCAAGTGAGTTGCATTCAATGCGGTTATCCTGTAGCTGTTATTGATGACCTCCTAATAGCACATCTTCACTTCAAACAACCGTGATACAGTTCAGACCCAGAGGGAAGCTCGATAAGAAAAGTGTTACTCAGCCAAAGAAGCCAAAAAAGAAAGACTCTCAAGGCGCGGGGAAACCAAATCCACCTGAGCCAGTTATTAGTTTGCCGAACCCAGCCAGCCTACCAAGCCCCTCTGATTTACCAAATATTCCTGATCCACCGAGTCTTCTCGGTCTACCAAATCCTCCCGAACTACCAAATCTCCCTGACCCACAGCCTCGTGAGCCAACATCTACTGACCTAAAGAGGGAAGAAGGCAGATAGGTATAGATCCGAGTCATCCGACAACACAGCAAGCTATCAAATACACGCATTTTTATGGTCCTATTCTCTAGTAGTACAATTAATTATCAGGCTGCCGCTTGCTTTCCTTCGCGTGTAAATCAGTGCTTCTAATGGAAGTCAATATTAATATGCTTTATTCAGTGCATTTCCTTTTTGACTTCATGCAACGACTAAATCACAGAATATGTATTCATATACAGTGCAAGTTCCTGAGATTTCAGATAATCCAGTAAGGCAATCTTCCCAAGTAAAATGCAAAAACAATTATAACAACACAGGCTTTCGACTACTAATTACTGGTTCACTACTATCATGACTAATGATTACCCAGTGGTAATAATTTTCTGTTATTAAATGGCCCCTTCAGACCGTTATTCCCCTTCCAGCCGAGTTCATTAATCTACTTACATACAACAACCAAGCTTCTCGTCTGAATATAATTAACACACAGCCAAACATAATACGGTCGGGTCAAAAGTAGTATCAGACTTCTAATCAACACTTACGGACCCTATTCTATTAGAAGAAGCAGCAGTGCGAACCCAGTGGTCCGGTTCAAGAAGGCGATGAGTAATGATTAACTGATTAAGGGGTGAACGTTGCGCGGAAACTGAAGCTGTGAGGCAATACAAAATGTACTGCACGGCCCGTGAAAGCGTTGTTCAGTGGTACTGGTTGCACTGCTTTGCTTTTTTAAATTCAGCGTTCCCCATTGATCCTTGTACATATAAGGAACTTGCTGAAACAGGTAATCTCCTATGCTTGCCTCTTCCATCACCCAATAACCCCTTTCTCTAACCTTGCTACTCTGTCGATCAGATCGCCCCGAAATGCCGAATACAAGTTCATCCTAGGAGAGCACAAAGTCGACATCATCCCGTTGATGAGATGGATATAGTCGATAGCTGGCTAGGAACACAGTGTAGTAGTAGTGGCTGCAGTTCCCCAATCAACTACAGCTCCACTAACGAGTCTAGTTCGGATCATCTAAGATTTGTGTCCATCCCTTATTTAGGTCTGCAGTGAATTGCAATGCTCAATATACGTTTGTCTATAAAGAGAAATCACTCACGGATTGGAAGAAGATAGTTTTAGGGATTCCATAGCTCCCTGTGTTCCAATCACCCTGATCGCATCGTCGACTATTCATTACAATAAACATGCAAGGACAGGATCCCTCGACTACTTGTCCTAGAGTATGGAAGGCCTGGGGGTGTAACACAATGAGGGTTTAGAAGGATAATCGGAATGCTATGCGCAGCTATGTTCATTCACTTGCAATGCATACTTTCTTTCGTGCACATGCATTTAAAGACGATCATGAAGTCCTCGTGTCTCGGCGCCTGTGTAAAGTGCCTCCACGCGCAATTCATCTGCCTTTTTGGCCCCAGCTGGAAGGCAATCCACTAGCCACTGTTCGCTTCACCAGAATTCTCCTGTGAGTTTTTCCCAGTGCCAACTGAACATTGTAGGCAGTCCATCAAAGCATCCACAGAGTTCCTAGGCCCTAGGGTGCGGTGTGTCTATACACGAAACAGATTGAAGAACCGCCGACGAGCTACGTGTTTACTATACCAAGAGATTGTCGTACTTATTCCAAAAAAGAGCTGGTGGGCAAGTGTTGCAGGTAAGTACGAGTGCATAGGAATGGGCCTGCGATACATCGATGAAATCCACTGCTCCAAGCGTTTGACCCGCTTGCCGAGAGTGCCGAAATTGAAATTCCGAGTCTTGGTCATCACGAAGGATGTTTGTCATTGAATCGTCGTCCAGATCGTCCACTTTGTTGAGTCTTGTTTTCTTGCATTTTGGAGCCATTGTCACTTGTTTGCACTCAGATACGCAAAGACATAGGCTACGGACAAATCTTAATCACCGTTGACCATGGGACATAAGGAGTATACGGCGCCTTACAGACTGCGTTCACGTCTCAACGATTAATATTGTGGTCGGGCAAAACACTATGGTCTTAGCGTCTAAGAAAACGTGGAGCCCTGTGCATCTTCAATCGTTGTCCTACGTACTCGGCGAGTACCGTAGTGCGCCTATGGTACTCGCCACAAAACACGTTGCAGTCGTCACGAGAAAAGAGGATAGACGGCGGTCGATAACAGCCTCCGATTCATACTGACTCATGGTGGTTTCCGTATATATGGGTGGCCTGTTTGCATGGCAGTTCTATATCACTTAAACGAGCTCGCTTGAGTCAAATTGGCTATAAACAACCCATCTGCAAGCACGCTGATTCCTTCATTGGCCATGTCTCAACCCATTGATTCTACTGCAACCGAAATCAAGTACGCCTATCTCCATTATTTAACGTATCAATAGGCTTGTCTCATTTTATTCTATATTCACAAGTATCGTCATCAACCATACCCTTGCCGATGAGGATAACGTCCAAGAGGGCACAAGCACCATGTCAGACGTCGTTGACTCCGAGAGCTCCGACACATCCTTCTCGCGAGGGTCCACTCCGGACTCGCTGAGGTATGTACTCGTCACCCGTCGTCAGTCCTACACACACGCTCATGAACGCCCGCCCCTCCTCACAGCGAGGAAGTTCCGTCTGCGACCGACGGAAGTGCCGAGGCATTTATAGGTGGCGAGTGCACAAAGTTCGTTTTCATTTTATGTGATTCCGCAAAACCTGTGCTAAACTTTGCTGCCCTAGTACAAGTGCATTGCCTGTTCCACTGTTCAGGCCTAAAGGAAAAGCTACCTTGCCAACCACAAACAAGCCCACCAAGCCCAACAAGCCCAACAAGCCCAACAAGCCCACCAAACCCACCAAGCCCAAGAACGGAAGCACGTAGATGCCGGTTGAAGGCTGTCTGTCAAGTAGCGCAGCCCTGCTCTGAACCAGTTCTGGTTCTATGCGTAAATGATCATTTTCTCGTCTCATCGTCTTCATAATCCTGAAAGCCACCCATGTATTTAATGCATCGGATTGCTGATCTCATCCGTTAATCCAATGATACCTTATTTTCGACGCTTCGATCAGGTTCTGTCATGAATGATCTGCCACAAGACTCAGCCCATCTAGACACTTAAAAGGTTCTGAACGAGGAGTTTCTTTCTAGACTGAGTAGAAGGTAGGTGAAGTCTAACACCCGGATCGTCCTCGTCCTCGTCTGTTGCGCGTAAAAAGTGTTACACCATGTTGAACGTAAGTATTAGAACCAAGATGTAGCAGAGCTGAGGAACTCGTTGATCGCAAATTGTCCGTATGAAGGTGATTATTCGCCAATACTTTTGGATTGGAAATAACGAAGCAATCAGGTGAGTTCCTCCAAGGTTCCGTTATAAAGTACTAAAATGTTCCTTGTAGTAGTCCTGCACTGGCCACCATCAGTTCAGACCAAAAGGAGGGACCGGTTACCCGACGGACACGGAAAAATGCACCAAGCCAAAGCCATCACCACAAGAAGACCGAGCTGGCCGTCCGGCTCTAACACAATCGCCAGCACCACCATCGTTGAAGTCCCAACAGGAGTAAAATGTAACGTTCTGCGACTCGCCACGGATTCTTCGAATATACTTTCTCTTCTCTTTGAACACCATCATCGCATTTAATTGCTATGCAGCTCACAAAGCTTCTCCCTTTGATAGTGTCTTTGAGAAGTTGATACTTTATCCCCTCCCTACTCCGCCCACAGCTCGGGACTTGTTTGGTCCAATTTTGGCAAGAAGCGCGCTTCTTGAAGATGAAATATTAACTTTCTCGGAGACATGAAGCACGCACACTGCTGCTGGGCGTCTAACACTAGCATCTGATCCCTCTATTGACGCGTAGATCTAGATACTGATTTCCAATTGTTAGATCATGTTCTTGATGATACATGCTTCAAATGCGCGTGTCGGTTGAAGAAGATGGGTATTTGCTTTATGTTGAGATCCTCTATAATTAGAACAGGACTCATCCTGCCTGCCCCGTATATAAAAATGTGCAAGCTACCAAACCAAGGGATCCAACCGACGACATGCCCCACATCGCTGATTCCGATTCCCTTCCCACAGAAAACGAGTAAGGCATGGAGCATTACTTCCATTGGCCCAACTGATTTCAATCACTTTAGTAATGTCATCAAGCATCCGTTTGATGGAGAGAGAGGTGCTGAAGAAACACTGCTAGTTGGGCCAGACGGTATTGATTCCACGATTTCCTGCGAATCAGCCTCAAGAGAATCGACCCCAAACTCTATGAGGTTCGCATGCGTTCCTTACTGTCACTCCGCTATGTATTCATGCGCTCCATGATTAATATCTACAGCGAAGAAGTTCCGTTCCCTACCAACCTACTCAGTGCTCCCGAGCCTTTGGCTGCTCTTGAATCCATTGAGTGAGTTGCCTTTGATGCGATTTTCTTGTGGCTCGTGCTAACATTTTCGTTTTAGCGCATCTTCTCTACTTACTACACAGTACAGACCCAGAGGACAAATCGATAGGAAAAGTGTTACTCAACCGAAAAAGCCAAAAAAGAAAGATTCTCAAGACCCAGGAAAGCCGAATCCATCTAACCCGAAGGCACCTAAACCAGCACCTGCTGACCCAGGGAAGAAAGATCGAAAATAGACTATTTATGGAGCAACACAACCAGTTGTTAAATACACCGAAATTTCAAAGTCCTATAGTGCAATTAATAATTAGATTATTACTTACTCCCCTTTGCCTGTAAATTTATGTCTCTAATTGGAAGCCAATTAGCTATACTCGATGTATTGCCTCTTCCTCATTGTGCAACGATCCAATCACATAAGGGTAGGTATTGCCCTTCGGCGCTCATGTGCTGTGCGATTTCTCAAGTATACGGATAATTCACCAGAACAAGATTATCAGGTGCTATGCAAAAAACAACTCTCATAGCATGGGCATACAACATGATATAGTTCGCTAGTGTCACAATTAATCATATCCGACTTAGTGTATGAAGTGGAGATATTTTTGAAGTGTTATTTGCGCTGAAGTTCTTTAGTCTATTTATATGCATTAATCAAACTTTCACACTGTCGCTGTAAATACGAGTAATCTGCAAAGTATCTACAACTAGTACCTGAATATGGATTGATTGATGGACGAGCGATCATCACGCAAAGACTGAAGCTGTGAGACAATAGAACCTTGCAACGCCTCCAAAGTGTCTGGCAGTGGCACCGGTTGTACTGCTTCGCCTTATTTATCCGGCTTCTCGATCGATGCTTGTCAGTGTGCATATAAAGAGCTTTCTCAAACAGGTAATCTCCTAGGCTGACCCTTGCCATCACTAGATCGGTCCCTCCACTCACCTTGTTACTTTGTTGATTAGATCGCCTCGAAACACGGAATACAAGTCTACCCTAGGAAAGTACAAGGCTGGCATTGTTCAAATTCCTAGTGTTGATGAGATGGGCACACGCATGACTGTCAAGGGACACGATGGTCCATCGTTGTTGGTTGACTTCAACCCCAATGGATTGATCACAAACGAAGTCTAACCCGGATTATCTAATCAAATTGACGCTTGCTTACAGCGAATAGACCTTCACACATTGAAGGAAGCTATTTGCTGCAAAATAATTAAGGGACTCTGGATATCCCTGTACTGAAAATTCCCGAAGCACAGCAGCTGCACTCTCTACTATTCAATGTAGTAACTTACTAGTAAGTTAAATGTGTAAATCCAGGACTTCCCAGCTGAAATTCCAATGGTAAAAAGGGCTCATGTAGCGGTGCAAACCAACGAGAGGCCAAGTAGACCAAAAAATCATGCATAAACTCTGTCCAAGAGGCATTGCACTACATTTCTGTACATTTACAGACGATTGAGCCCTCGTGTTTCTACGCACCTGTACAAGCGCTTCCACACACAATTCATCCACCTCCTTGGTTGCAACTGGGAGGCAGTTCACAAGCCACTGTTCGCTTCAATTATCACTTCATAGTGAATTTCGTCCAATGCCAACTGAATTAGTGTTGAAGCATCATTAGAGGTCTTAACGTCCTAGGATGCGATGTGGCATGATGCGCGTCCACATTGAATGGATGGGGAAATCAGTGCTGACGAGACGCGCAATCATTATACAATAGAACGCTGTACCCATTCCGAAGGAATTCATTAATTGGCCAAATGTTGGAGACGGTACGAGTGTATAGGAATGGGCTTGAAGTTATCGAAATCCACCTAAGTCTTAGTCCGAGTCAAGGATTACCCGCTAGCTTCACGTGCCGAAATTGGCATTTGATCCTGTCACGAGTCCTGTGAATGATCGGTGAGTCTTGTTCTCTTGCTCTTTGAGTCTCTTGTCACTTGTGTATGCTTGGTTACACAGAAATATTGGCCACGGACGAATCTAGAGCACTGTTGATCATGGACAAACACAGGGAGCATATTACGTCTAACAGACTGCGTTCACATCTCGGTCGGGCGAGATTCTGTTGTTTGAGCGTCTAAGAAAACGAGGAGCCCTGTGTATCTCCACTCGCTGTCCAGCCTATCAGCGAACATCTTGAGGAGTCTCCCTAGGCCTAAGGTGCCGCCACTGAACGTCATCACCAAATCGAACACGAAAATGTATTGGAATTTACTGCTAAGACATATATTTTTTACATATTGTGGATCCTTATATTCGCTTATAAAGTCTACATGTAAATATATTGCCTTGTCAGACTCTGCACGTTTTGGTGATGGTGCTGCAATAAGTTACAAGAGGTGGGTCCAGTCACGTTACATAGACGCTGAACAGCCTGCAGCTATTCAGCTCACAGCGAGCTTCCGGATATTTAAAACGAGGCCCTATAAATGACAACTCCCCAACTTAGCCCACTAAAAAAAGCCATCGCCTAACGCACGAAAGCACCCACGCCGACTACCCCGTTAATACATTCATCTAAATGACCGACATTACTTCTGTTGCTGCCAACGTCCAGTAAGACCGTTCTATTATTACATCATACTGTCAGGCTTGCCTAATTCAAATTCAAGTGTCGTCGTCGAGCACGCTACATCAGCGGATGAAGAGGGTGTCCAAGAGGGTACAAGTACCATGTCGGACGTCGTCGATTCCGCGAGCTCCGACAAATCCTTCTCTAGAGAGTCAACTCCAAGTTCCCTGAGGTATGTATCCGTCTCCCACCATGCACTCCAGCACAAACTCTAATCGACACCCACTAAATGCCCACAGTGAGGAAGTCCCGCCTGCGACCAACGAAAGCGCTGAAGCGTTCAGAGATGGCGAATCCATAAAGTTCGTTTCCATTTTATGTGATTCCGCAAAACCTGTGCTAAATTTTCTCCTGGTGTTAGTACATTGTCTGTTCCTCCGTTTAGACCTAAAGGGCAAATCACTCTGCAGTCCACTACCAACAAGCCACCAAAGAAATAGATGCGGGATGAAGGCTGTGTATCAGGCAGCGACCCTGTCCTGGACTGGTTTCTCGTTCTTCTCGCAGATGGACACTTTGCTTCCAAAGAATGTCATACTCCGAAACCCATGCATGCACATTGACCTTTCCTGTATCGTATCAGACCGCTAATTTATACCACCTTTAATCTGATCATACACTTGTTTCATCACTTTAATTATGTTCTGTCATGAATAATCTGCTACGAGATCTGGCCCATATAGATACTTGGAAGGTTCTGATACACCATGATGAGTGTAAGGATTACAGTAGGATCATCATGTAGCACAGCTGAGGTTCGTCCCAAGGACCCAATCAATGAATCTAACAACAGTATTAGTCAGCTATACATCGCCATAAAAGGAAGGATTCGTATCACATGCTAGATGACGCAACACCGCTAATCTGGAATGTCGAAAGTGAACAAAAGATTTCTGGCCCTTTCAGAAGGTATAAGGCATCTGTCACGTCTGTTGCCTTCAAGCTCTCGCCTGAGGGAAGGCGTGTCTTTTCTGGCTCTGGTGACGAAACAATCATAATCTGGGGTGCTGGAAGTGGTAAGGAGCCTTGAAGGGACACAGAGGTACGGTTTGGTCAGTGGAGTTCTCACCCGGTGGCACATGTGTTGTCTCTGGTTCTGCTGACATATGAAACGATAATGGCTGGGCATTTCGAAGGATATATAAGCTCCGTTTTGTCAGTCACCTTCTCTTCCAACGGAGCACATGTTGTCTCTGGCTCCGAGGACGGGACAGTCCGAGTCTGGGAGGCCGAGAGTGGCGAGGCTGTTTCTGTTCCATTAGGACATACATCAGACGTCATGTCTGTTACATTCTGTCCTGATGGAAAACGAATTGGCTCTGGCTCTTCGGATCGTGCAATCAGAATGTGGAATGTAGAAGGTGGGAAAGACGGCTTCTCTATTGCTCAGCAGGTAAGGTCGGAAATCTTGTCACTTTTTTTGCTCTCGATATAGATCTCGTCTTTGGCTGGACATCAGAGGAAGACAGATGAATACATGCATGTGAAGGGGAGTTGCTCTTATGGATTCCACCCGAGATTCGTCCAACGCTTTGGTGACCTCGGAATACCGCAGTTTCTAGTTTATCCTCGACAAAATTAGAATTTACAGATGCCGTCAATGGCGAAATGTATTGGAAATGCTTTGAACCACTTCTGTGATGGCAATATCCGTCCCTTGGGACCTACCAGAACCTAACTTTCGCTATTTCAAGTCTAGCAATCAATACAAAGTACCCTTGAATTAATATCAATTTGGCTGATTCAATGCACTTGGCCGTGATCCATGGAGCACATATGCAACATATCAGACACACGTCATTGGACAATAATTTGAACGGGATTATTTTATGTGAATCAACGCGAATCATTGGGTTAGAAGGAACCTAGTAGTCGTGAGACTTCTGATATGAGTGATCCTGATTTGAATTTCATAGGGGAGGAAGGCTGGAGGAACCTGTCGAGTGCATCTTCCTTCATTAACACCAGCTTTATTTTCTTACTGCCTGCAGGCTGCAAGGCCAAGGTCGAACAGTATTTTGCCTTGGAGCGCCATAGGGTTTCGGGAGTTTGTAATGTGCGGGAGCAGGGTAGTCTTTGGGTGTATAGCCTGTGCAGAATAGAAATCGGATATCTCAATTAGTTGAGATGAGGATAAGAATGGGGTACATTCTAGGCAGTCTGTCGAGGCATGTCCAGAACCTCCAAGGGTACGCTGTGCAGTGAAGCAAGATGCGTGTATGCATTACTGGATTGAGAAACTGATGTTGATGAACTGCGGGGTTACTATACGACAAGACGCTCCACTAATTGATATTCCGAAAAAATTGTCGGTGGTCAATAATGGAAGTAGTACGAGTGCATAGGAATCGGCTTAGGATGCAGCAGCATCTCAGCATTTGGTTCGCTTGCAACCGAAATTGAAATTCCGATCCTTGGTCATCACGAGGGCTGTGAATTACAAATTTTGAAACCTCGTCAACTTTGTCCCAGTCCTCCCACTCACGAGTATTTCGTTTGCCTGCTTTCTGATTCTACGGAGACTTGCTTACGTTCAGTTCTGCAGAGCTATTTGGTTACTGGAAAATGCAGAGCCCTATAATCTTGAAGTAAAGACAATGCAGCAAATAGTGTTTCTCAGACTGCAGAAATTTCTCAAAGTTGTGCTTAATGTAACCACACTTTGGTTTGTCTTTGGGCGTCTAAAGAAAACGTGGTGCCCTGTACATCGTCAATTGCTGTTCTCCTATACGGCGACTACCCTGAGTAATTCTATAGTATCCACCGCAAAACACGTTGCAATGGGTACAAGGAGCAAGTGGAAACTCGGCATTCGGAATAGACGCGGAACAGCCCAGCCGATTCATACTGAGTCATGGTCAGTTTCCACTCTATATATACTCGAAGCTGTTTACATAGCTCTTCATCCAAACGAGCTCGCTTGGCTCATCGGCTATAAAGTACCTGTCTGCCAACTCGCTGGCTCCTTCATCTAAAATGACCCAGTCCCTTGAATTTGCTGCAAGCGACGTCAAGTATGCCAGTTTCTATTATTGTCGTATCAACAAGTTGTCTCATGCTACTCTCTAGTATCGCTATTGAGTGTACACTTTCCGAAGATAACAGTACCCAGGAGAGTACGGGTAGCATGTCGGACGTCGTCGACTCCGCGAGCTCCGACAAATCCTCCTCAAGGGAGTCCACGCCAAGCTCGTTGAGGTACGTATCAGTTTCCCGCTAGTCAATCCAGCACGTACTCTAATGGACATGCACTAAACCCCTACAGCGAGGAAGTTCCGTCTGTGACCGACGGAAGCGCTGAGGGATTCAGAGCTGGCGAGTCCACAAAGTTCGTTCTCATTTTATGCGATCCCGTAGGCCTGTGCTGAGATTTCTGTCCTGGTACTAGTTCATTACCTATTCCCTTGTTTAGGCCTAAGGGGAGAATCACTGTGCAGTCCACTACGCCCAAACCTAAACCAAAGCCCAACGGAGGCAGATAAATGCGGTGTACAGTACTAGGCAGTGCAAACCAGGCCTGTGCTAGTTTCTGATTGATTCTTCCGCGGATGAACATTTTACTTCCCAATAAGGCATTTCCGTACTTCCGATACCCATCCATGCACTTTGACCATCCATTTATCGTATCAGTTTGCTGATTTTGTACCGCCTTTTATCTGATGATACCCTTGTTTTCACCACTTTCATCATACACCGTCATGAATGATTTGCAACAAGATCCGGCCCATCTGGATGAAGAGGCTCTGATACACCGTGATGAACGTAAGGATTAAGTAGGATCAAGTTGTAGCACAGCTAGGGCCCTTAGAAGCACAAGGAAGTCTGGATGAAGGTTATCGCCGAACGCCGGAGTAAAGTCACTGGGCTCGCTTAAAACCATCCTCCGATATGCCAGTATGCCTTAATTCCAGGGCATCACCTCTCCCTTGTTATTTAATATCTCTGTCCTCCGCTCTCACACCTAGTCACTTTATCTGTCAAATCATGTCCCAGGCTGTGGAACTAACGACCCATGACGAAAGTGCGAGCAACGTGCCGGTAATTGAAAATGTCAAGGGCGAGAAGACGAAGCCTGAACCTGAACCACTCAATGACGTCCTTGCATCTCCTGCTTCCGAACAGGCCAATGGGTGCGTCTTTTGTAACCCCCACGCCCTATTTTAGAGCTGAACGGGCGCGAATAGCGGAATTAACGGAGCTGTCGTTGATGAAGAGCACGTTGAGAAAGCATCCAAAGCTGAGCCTGCCGCCGCTCTAACCGAGCAAGTGGTTAGCAGCCCGGTTCAAGAAACGGTGCAGCCTGAACAAGGGGTTCCTGTGAAGGATGAAAAGGAGCTGAATGGGAATGCACTTCCCGATGCTGGTCAAGCAAATGGTGATGCTAAGGGACATGTCAAGCTTCCTGAAAGCGACACCGTCCCTGCTAAGCCAGTGTACGCAGTTACCCTCTCGTTCTAACTGACATTGGATACTAAGAATTTATATCAAAGGGACGAAAAGGATGATTGTGTTAAGAAGCCTGCCAGGAGGACGAGTAGCGCACTATCGAGCATCGTGTACGTATTTCGAGATTCTAGGTTTTGATAATCTCGGGGTGCTAATAATATTCACGCAATTTACTTTCTTTCTTTTGCCTCAGTGAAAAGACAAAATCAACAGTGATGTTCCTCCCAAGAGGCCGAACCTCCAGGAGGACTGCGACTCCCCATGGCGGTGGTCATCATCAAAGCAGTAACGGAGGTTGCACTATATTCTGAATCATTTGACTATGCAGTTTGGTTCACACACTCATTACTTGCTTTCGATTCGCTATGTTATCAACGTTTCGCATGCATTCGCACCTTTTGACGCATTTTCGTCTGTATTGTTAGATTTGTTATCTCTTTATGCATTCTGATTTATTTACTTTTCATTATGACGCAAGTTGCGCGTGGAGGTACTATTTATTGTGCAACTTGATCTGCATATTCTGCATTTTACGATTTTATTTTATTTTATTTCCCCCATCCTACACCTTGTTACTCAAACGTCCTACCAAAACACATTGTCATTTCCCGAAAGCTCAAGTTTGTACAGAGCTTGTAGCAGATACACCTAGATAACGAGTATGTAGCGTCTCTAAAATGATTATTTTACTTGTGGCAGAGAACTTGTGGTACAGATGACTGATTAGACTATGAGGTTCTCTCCAGGAGCACAAAATGGGCTCGAATATCTATCTGGGAGGGTATTTTGACAGCGGAGCATTCTCATCACTAAAGCCCAAATCCTGTAAGAGCAGCCAACGCAGCCTTGATACGTCCTATAAACTCGACAAGACGGAGTCGACTTTGTTCTATTCGTTCGCAAGACAACACAATCAGCTCAATCCAATACGGCAGAAATTAACATAGCCGAGCGGAAATTAGGAAGTGAATTAGGAAAAGCCATATATGCAGCATGTCTTATTCGAAGCAGCGAGAATACAAGCTCGCATACCGAAGGAAAAATTCCACATGCCTTGTTCCTCTTCCACCTTCTGTATCGAGCGCGCCTCTTCGAAAAGCGCGTGGCCAGTAACTGAGGATTCGTGATCAGGCCTTGACGTAGACCATGCGTGAAATTCTAGTATGAGCTCGAGTATTTGTTGGTGGAGTTCTACACAATGAAAATGAGCGCATATATCCAGCATAAATAAATTCATTGTCCACTCCAAGTCGTTGAAACGTTGTTGTTGGTAGTGGTAATGTTGTTCTTACGTTCTTGAAATTCCATGTCACGACGAGACTCATCTTCGAATGGGTTTTCTAGTACTTCTTGACGCGCGAAGGGAGGGAATGGCTCTGCAAGTGCTGCGTCGACACCTGTGCCAACGTTGCCGATACGATCATCTTGTTTGCTTGGTTGATCACCACTGTCCCGCGATGCAGTCTTGCTTTGTTCGCGATTCATTTGCCCAGTGGCCGAAGACGATTGAGGCGACGAGAGCATTATTTTGAGGTAAGGGAGGCTATTCCAGTCCAGTTAAGATAGAGAGGAAGACGCGTCGCGACGCGACTTTGCTCTCGTCCAGCGCGTTCCTTTCCGGAAGACCTTACTCACGCTTGTCAAACCTAACACAAGTGAAGCATACACACACCAGAAAATAAAGCAGAACAAAGAAGAAAAATTATACCCGTATATAGCGAAGCTTTTTACAAGGTAAACTGTCATTGTCAACGACACCACATGCAGGTCTCTCTCTAGAAATAGGTCCCAAGCTCAAAGGCAACGAACGATCATCGTGGTGCAGGAAGGCCCGACACAGCCGCGCCAATCTCCGTCAATTCCAACAACGGGTCGAGTTTACCCTTGTATTCGGGGAGGTATGAAGCACCGGTATACGGGCATGTTACGGACGGTGAACCCTTGTATATGGGAGTGAAGCTGGCTGCGCAGACCCCGAACTCTGTAAACTCGTCGTAGTCGATTTCAACTGCGTTGCGTGGGTTCCTGTCACCAGCAGCAATCCGTTGTCGGGCCTGTAAAAATAGTTGGTCTTTGTCTGCAAGAAATAGTGTAGATGCATTGGACTGACCTGTGCCACGATCTTCGGATCCGGGTTGAGGTCCAACAACCGTCTCGCTAACTTCGCTGACGTTGCATGATTATTTGCCTTTGCAAATACACCAATAGCACTTCGAAGGGCAATTTGCAGATGTTGAGGCTGCAATTTGCAGTTCGTGAAGTACGCTGCTAACTCTAAGCTGCGCTTGACGTTGTTTGGCTCTGCCTCTGCCACTCTGCGCCGTTCTATCTCAAGCGATACACCAAGCAAGTATTCACGAGTAGACGTTACGACATTACGCCACTACAGAAAGCCTCAGCTGATGATTTTGATTTTGAAAAGCTATTTTACACACCTCTGCTGCTTCTGAATCCGACGTGATCGGTACCAAGAGCAAACTATGCAAGACGGATTTGAATGCGGCCTTTGCATCTACTAGCCTGTTACCAGACACCGCTCGATACCCTTCCTGCAATTCCGGCTTGATGGACTGCAGTGTCTTGACGGCAACCGGCAAGACCCGACTCGCCGAGGATTCCTCAATATTACGCCGAATGTGGAGCAAAAGAGGCGGAAGCGAAGCATTAGGCGACAAGTACGTATGCGAAGAGCGGTATACGGAAAGGAAAAGCGGTTTTAATGGCTCGAAATTGACAATGCCTTGTTGGCGGGTAAGTAACTAAACAAATAAATTGTAAATCATACGCATATAATTTGAAAAAAAGAGATAAACGTACCTGCATTGCAGTCTCGAATGATCCAGCTGCAACATGATCTGCAGGGAATGGTGAGTTCCGCACCCAAAGCTCCGTTTCTTTCACGCCTGGGCTCGCGCCAGCGCCAGCATCAAGCGTCTCCTCCACCTCCGCCTCTACAACAGCTTCATCAGGCTGTGCATCAACTCCCTCCGCATCAAGATCCCATCCAGCTTCTTCCGGGGCCACATCATCTACTGCTTCTTCATCTCGGGCCCAGTCATCTAGAGCAGAAGATGCTGCAGCACCGCCGATGCCGTTAACGTAAGGTACGTCGCCGTCTGCTTCGAGATGACCGTTGGCAAGTGCACGATCGAAGAAGCTTTCGCCCTTGCCCAGCGATGGCCATGTCAAATCTGTGACTGAAGTGACGACGGGAGGCGGTTTCAGTGTTGAAGTTCCAAAGTCTGGAATATCGTCTACGTCCGCTTCGTTAAGACCAGCCTCTTCGAGAATCTCTTGCGCAAGATCGGACAAGCCATTGGTCTTCGCCGTGAGATATGCCAAGGGATCTAAACAACCAATTAACAGGTTTACCTTGTTTCAACAAAGGAAATAGACATACACATCCCAACATCACGGAGGACAGCAACTCGGCTCTCCACATCTCCGGCATAAAGGGCGTTATGGAAACGAGACATGGGATCACTGCGAGACTGAGCAATCTTCTGCATCTTTGATAACTTTTCCGAACTACCCGTTGCAAGATACAGGAAAGATAGACGGTCAAAGTTCTTGGTCTTTTGATACGCTTTCTCAACAATCTAGCACACTATTAGTTCCGGATCCTCACGCAGGAAGTTAACACGCTCAAACTTCACCTTGTGATTGCCCTGTTTGAGAGCCTGCTGCGCAAGGCGACTCCAGCTTTCTGGTCTGTCAATAGCGGTTGCCATTTCAAGAGCCACGTCCAAGTTTCCACATTCTATGGCGAGATCGAAGCGCGTCGTCTTGTCCTCAACGAAGTGCAATGCAATCTATGTCGCATGTTGAATGCTCTGCAGTTCAGCCAGAAAAGCACATAGGCATACCTCTGGGAAGCCCTTCTGTTGAAGGTACGCAATGATGCTCTGGCCGACCAGGTTCGAAGTTTTGATAATATGCAGCATCTCCTCATAGTTGTGACGTAGGAGAGCAAGCTTGAATCGATACTCGGTTGGATCGATGGTTATCGTTCGCGGGCGGGCAGACCGATCGAGGCAGTGAACGGTAGGACCTTTGACTCGAGTAAGATAGACTGGGTTATCAAGAGTGCGGATAACGCCGGTGTCGCTAATAACCGACGGGTCAGTTGTGGCATCGCAAAGTGCAAGACATCGCAAAACATACCCTTGAGGCAAGCAATACTTTATGTGGTTCAACGTCGAGTAGATTAGCACACCAGAGTCATCCCAAGCACCAGACTTGATCCGAATGGTCTCGTGAATCAGACTGCTTTGACTGAAGGTTTTGTTTGCAATGGTGATGGCTGAGCGATGGTTAGAAACACTGCCATTAAAGTAACTTAATACAGGCGACGTACTGTGCTTGCTCAACAGAGCGACCAGAGTTCCATCGTTACTCCACACAACGTATTTAACAGGCGGCGTAGTAATTTCAGCAATCTTCTTTCCTTGCTGAATGTCGTATAGAACAGCCGTACTTGTGGAGCTAAGGATTAGACTAGCTGTACCGCCGTAAAAGATTTCGTTGGTCTGGACCGGAGGTTTGACGGTTTTGACAATGGAATTTGAGAGGTCCCGGATTTCAATCACCTAGAACGGGACCAGTGAGTTTAAGTCAACGAACAAGGTGGAGGTAAATTGGCATACTTGATTCGTCTTATTGAGGACCGCAAACCTGTTCCGAGCCACAAAGATCGCACTTGACCCAGAGCCTCGCTTTCCGTCAGTCGCTGAATCCCTTACTTCACTTCCACCGTCTTTCGGCAAGTGCGAAAGCTCGAAAAGACCATTATCAGAAGAGATCGTAATTACGACAGCACGTTCCGCCGGATTGAAGCTCAGAGTCCTAGGTGGGATATACGGGCTCCCGAATTTACGAACGCTAAGCACACCAACGTCTGCACCAGAGTTGAAATCGTATTGGCGAACATATTTGTCCCGTACGTAATAGAGTGTGTCGCCGTGAAGAGCGTAGGCAGGGCGTTCGCGCTCAAGCTTGAATACGATCAAACCGTTGTCATGACCGGCAGCGAAAAGGTTGAGTTCCGGATGCGACGCTAAAACCCAGAAGCGGTCATGTTCTCGTCTAAATGTTTGAACAGGTGTACGTTTTGCCATATCCCAAACGCGAATTGTCTTGTCCTCACCGCAAGAAATTATTAATTCATGGCGAGGATGGAAAAGCGCGCTGGAGACGTTGTTAAAATGTCCACGACAAGTATCCACCTCCCAGGCTTTTGAGTCGCTCATACGCCAAAGCTTGATCTGGCGATCATCTGCAGCAGACACGATGAGGGGAAGAGTCGGATGGAACGCTGCCCAATTTACGCCGCGGTCGTGGCCCTCCAAAACATATTTTACAGTGGAGAACGTATCAAATGTCTCGAAGCCTCCTGGTGCTGCGCTCGGCGTGCTCTTGCGGAGGCCGGAAATATCCCACACGCGTACCGTTTGATCCATAGATGACGACACGACGAGATCCTCTTTCGGGTGGAAGAGGGCCGACATGATATAATGCGAATGCCCTGTCAGGATTGCGACGCAGTTTCGCGAGGTACTATTCCATATGCGAATTGTTTGGTCGTCCGAACATGATATCTAGAATGAAATTCGGTTAGAACACGGTTGTGAAAATAAAGATGTAGACTCACGATCCATGGCATTTCATGATGGAACATGACTGTCCGGACATAATCGAGATGGCCATGAAGTGTAAATAGACATCGTCTGGTTTGCGGTCGGATATCTTGTACTTTATTAGCATGCATTCTCAAAGTCTAGGTATTAACGTATGCGCTTACCCCACACCTTGACTTTATAGTCGTCTCCACCTGTGACCAGTAAAGGACGTGAAGGGTGGAAGTGAACACCTCTGACAGGGCCTATGAGAAGGAATTAGTGGATATACAAGTGTAAAAATTCACACTACTACACACCGTCGTGTTCTTCGAATCGATCTACTAGCACACCCATGCGATAATTCCAGAGCTGCACACTCCCATTATGCAACGAAGCCGCCAGCAATGGCCGCGTCGGGTGGAAGGCAAGGCCTATACACGATTTAATGAGGCCTCAAGTAACCGAATATGATAGTGAAGTCTTCGTACCTTTCACCCTGTTGCTTTTAGACTCGAACTTCGTGAGCATCACCGACATGATTGCAGACTGCCCTCCAGTGCGCTCAACACCAGCTTAACACCAATAACAGGTAGGTATACAACAAAAGGCCCTCAAGCTTTACAGCTCTATTTCTCTAACGTTGTGGTAAGTGGTGGATCCTGTTCAGAGAGGCAAGGATGGCGGGCGTGCTGTAGACCTTGAGCGCGACGTGGACAGTTGTGAGATGTGCAGCAGAAACGCGTGACACGAGTACACTTTCCATATTTGGGGTGTCAATCACTGCAAAATTTCGTTCCATAGGTTACTGAGATTACACCCGAAGGTCATACATGATACACACCATTAGTACGACTTTACTTGTGTCACTCTAATCATGGCCGGTTTATACAGATTTTTTTTCACTGAAGCCCGGGTAGTCTCAGTTTTTATCTTGGCTTCTCTATTTTTCTTTCTCGTTTCTGCCGATTTGTACTGAATAGCAGAAGCCTGCCTCGTGGGCGAGCCATCAGCATAGCCATAGCCTCAATTGCGTCCTCAGCGGACCCGCGAATGCACTGACTCTTGTCCTCTTCAAGTACTCGTTCCTCAGAGGCACTCCAGGACAGCGCCATCCTGATACCCATGGATCATCAACTCCTCTCGACTCTATTGCGGAGACTCCTTGATTTGTGTCGGCGTTTGGCACGTCGATCACTGCAGTGCTTGTTCCGCGTCTACTCAGCTCTGTTAAAGCGTAAGACGTCTTTGGGCTCAACTAAGGGCGATGGAGAAGTGGAAGATGCACAAAGGAAGTTTGGGTGCACTTGCTGTATGGGCTCTAATCATGAAGAACACTGCCAAACATCTGGACAATCGGTAACTCTTGCCTACTCCTCGACACCGAGAAAGCCACCTCCAGCGCGTTCATACACACGACATACATCGATCGAATCGTATGGTATCGGACAGACCTGTGCATCTCCCACAACTACTAGTACTCTCGAGGAATCTCCAACTGCCGTGTCACATTCCTCTTGCTCAGGATCAAATCAAAGAAACTTGCCTAGTGCTTCGCCTCAACCCGTGGAACGATACATTGCAGAGCTTGCACCAGCCATCGCTCCACCTAAAAAGCCAATCAAGCCTGTTTTACCATCTCTTTCTTCAAGATATGATCGAAATATAGCTATGTATGTGATTTTTTTCAATTACTGTGATTGTTCAGCTTATCGCTTTTTTTTAGTCGTAATGACCAGGGACCTTGGGTATTTGGCCCTTTGGAGACTGTCACGGTTTACGAGTTCGTTATTTTGCTTGCTCGTATCTGTACTCTAGCTGAATGTTAGTAAAGCGAATTAGCTGTTCCCTCCTGGACGCACTACGTACAGCCAGAAGGCCAACTATACTTCCACAACACCTCACGAAGATTCAATTACCTTACAGAAGCACATCTCTGTGATCCTCGGATGCTGGCAGAAGCCGAGCTCTTCATATCCGTCTTCGAGCGCAAGGCTGAAAGCTTCAAGGGCCTACCTGTCAACCTCGAGGTAGTTTTCGAGATCAATGACGAACATTGGCTTTACTACATGGTGGATCTGGAGCGGAAATGCCTTCTGTGGTTAGATGACTACGAAATCCCCGATGAGGTCCTCCCAGGAAAGTTTGGAGTGGAGCATCGCGAGCATTTCCGTGAGTCTTCCAAATTACTATATTTTGGGATTTGCGTGAATTCATATTATGGTTTACATAGGGCATATGTTCGATTTTGAGTTCTGGCAGCATGTTGAATACTTCCCTACTCATCGTCCACTACAAGAAGGTTTATTAGAGGAGTTGATGGGCTTGCTTGTTCAAATGCATATCGGTATGCTTGTTTCTCTAGGTATTGGCGTTTATCACATAAGTTGGTGACTTTATTAGATGTTGTAACGTCACTCACCTCAACTTCGCCATACAACGACGGAGAGCTTCGTTCGATGATAGGTTCTGTAAAGCAGTTACAAGGTGAGGATTAATGTCATGTTTAATTAAGGGACCAATTTCAATACCGCGTTTGTCGTAGCTTTGCAAACAACGAAAAGCGCAAGACCTTATGTCGTACAGGGGTCAGGTGAGTGATATACTGACTAAGTATCGTGCTGTGTGATAACACGTCCATTAGCTAAAATCATGGGTCTGATCGGTAAGTTCGATTTTAGTTATGGTGTCGTAGTTGTTAAATGAATTTCGTCTTCAGCGAACGAACGCTACTACAACTTCTTCGGCTTCCACGGCGCTCGTTTATCCTGCGATCAAAGTGTTCGCGGGAACGCCATGAAATCCCGCTCTCTCCTTATCACCTTACTCTCACCCGCATTATTCTACGCTCCGGAGGTACACTTGCTAGGACTTGAGAAAGTATGGATGGACGGTCTCGTCAAAGTACGCCACTGGAAGTCCTTCCAGAGTAAATTGGAGAGAGATTGGGAGGGGTTCGTGCTTTATGTGCGTGTGCCATTTTGATTTGACCTTTTTTTTTTTTTTTTCGAAAAAAAGGGAGTTGCATGTTCGCTAACCACTGGCACATTTAATTTTATGTGTTTGTGTGCTTTGAACGGTAGGCCACCGTGCTCTTGAACGCAAACGTCGCATTCCTCGGCATCCCAAGCGTCATGTCCGATAACCTCGGTTCGAAACTACTCGTATCGCCAGCAGCGATTATCAGCCAAGTATCTATCATCGCGAGTCTTGGAAGCATCATCATCGGCTTGTTGCTTGTACGACAAATGCGAATCGGAGCAAAAGAGTCTGTTGAAGATTATGTGAGTTCGAAGTTCTTACCGTGTATGCGTGTATGTGGAAATGGAGATGGCTAACCAACGTTTTTCCCAGCTTGCTTTCCTCGAAAATAGGACTCACGAACAGAAGGGTCTCGAAACGTTAGCTATATTGTTCAGCTTACCCTACGCTCTTCTTATGTGGGGGTGCGTCCAACTCCCTTCCGTCCACTTCCAACCCACAATCTAATTTATCTAACCATACGCATACGCATATATCCATTGGATTATTGAAATGCTGTAGAATGGCAACATTCCTAGCAGCAGTCGCCATCATCTGCTTCTACAACTTCAACGGCAGCGCCTCTTTCCTCTCTCGCATAATCTACGGAGTCATCTGGCTCTTCATCTCCTTGTTCATCCTCTGGACGATCGTCACTGGTTGGGAGAAACGACATAATGTTAATTGGCGGAGTCTTATACCTTCTTGGTGTTATTCCCGCTTCCGCTTCCACCAGTCTGAAGGAAAGGATGGGGGTGCGGGGAAGGTGGGTGACGAGGAATCGGGAACGGGAACGGGAGAGACAGAGTTGGAGTTGGAGGATGTAATTGATGTACGTTCTGTGCGATCGAAGCGCTCGGTGAGGTCGAGGTTTACGACGACGTCGACTATTGCGTCGAGTATCAACAAGACTTGGCGTTCACGAGTTCGTAGGCTTGCTGGACGGCATTCACGTTCACTTCCGTTGATGGACGTACGAGTGACACCTGCTTCACAACAGGCTGCATCATATCTGGAGACTGAGGCAGTGGCACATCCTTAAGTCATGTAGACCAAATCAGTGCTTAATTACGGTTCTGGCGTCTTCCCTATTCTGCTTATGTATCAATAGCCTCTCATCATCTTTGTATCTTCTTCGAATATACCAAGCTAAACTTTTGGATTTTAAACATTTAAACAAAATGACAAGTCACACTAGAACTTCCAAGAAGCCGATAGTATCGATATTATAAATATGAATACATGTAGTGTGGTAATACATCAGTACACAAAACCGTTTACTTAGGGTTTGCGCTCGAGAACTTCGTTACGGACTTCGTACCCTCGGAAATAGCGTGCTTGGCGAGTTCACCAGGGAGGATGAGGCGGACGGAAGTTTGGATTTCTCGTGATGAGATGGTCGACTTTTTGGAGTAGGATGCGAGCTCTGGACGAATAAATCAGTAAAACTTCAATAGGAAGTCGTGAAAGGGACGCGTACTGGAAGCTTCGCCTGCAATGCGCTCGAAGATATCGTTGACGAATGAGTTCAAAATAGCCATCGCCTTGTTGGAGATACCAGTATCGGGGTGGACCTGCTTAAGGACTAATTGCGCGCCAAGTCAATATCTTGAAGTTCAAACAAGTCGAATTTGAGGCGACTTACCCTTGTAGATGTAAGACGAGTAAGTCTCCTTACGGACCCTCCTCTTCTTTTTCTTGTCGCCATCACCCGGCGCGGTCTTCTTCGCGGTCTTAGTCGCTGACTTATCTGCGACAGGCGCCTTAGAGGCGGTGGATGGGGCTTTGCCAGCAGTGGAAGCAGGTTTGGGTGCCATTGCGAATGAGTTGGGTTGGTAGGTGTTGAGAATTGGCGAGCAAACTCTGTGGCGGGTACGTGGAGGATGTGGTTGGGAGCGAAGATCGAGTGGGAGCTGCATATAAGCTGATACGGAATTTGTATGTATTTGGTCAAGTCGCGTTACAGGCACGGTGTGACGCAACAATCACGCTCTGTTCTGCTCACCTCCAATTCTACACAGCCACCTTGTGCGCCTGGACATATAAAGCCCACGCGCGTCGAGTGCTCACCGTCTTCAACTCTCCTGTTATCCACCTCGTACGTCGACCGACGCTCAACCAATTTTCACTCAAATCACCGCCACCAACAACTCTCATCAATAATGTCTGGCAAAGGAAAAGCTGGCAAGTCCGGAGGCAAGTCTGGCGACGCTTCCAAATCGCAGTCCCGCTCTGCAAAAGCTGGTCTCCAGTTCCCGGTCGGTCGTATTCACCGTCTTCTCAAGCGTGGAAACTACGCGCAGCGCGTTGGTGCAGGTGCTCCTGGTAAGTTAACATTCGAATGCGTATCGAGAATTGTGACTTACGTGGATGTATGCAGTTTATCTCGCTGCAGTGCTCGAATACCTTGCGGCTGAAATTCTCGAACTCGCTGGTAATGCCGCTCGCGACAACAAGAAGCAACGTATTGTCCCTCGCCACCTTCAACTCGCCATCCGAAATGACGAAGAGTGCGTTAATTTATTTCCAAGCTTTTCCCTCTGACTTATCGTTTGCATTCTTAGGCTGAACAAGCTCCTCGGCAACGTCGTCATCTCACAAGGTGGTGTTGTACCATTCATCAACCCCGAGCTCCTTCCGAACAAGTCGGCGAAGGGCAAGAAAGACTCGCAGGAGGTGTAGATGTGATTGCTTGCAGGGTTTCTGGATTCCGTGTATTAGCTATTTATCACCCTCTGTATTCTGTGCCTATCTACGCTTGTAATGCCCACAGACATCTAAACTCATACCGTGCGATTTGTACTCGTGAGAATGCGTGACTAATTCGCGTCGAAGTTCAACTCTGCCATGACGCGCTTCTGGGAATCTCACCCCTAGCTTTACACGAACCAAACACCGTCAGTTGCGAGCTGCGTGGCAAACGACGAGCATAGCGACGGACAAGGTTGTTGAAGACGCGTAATTCTGCATGAAATAGCCAACTATGAGCTATTACCAACAGCAACATTATGGGCCGCCGACACCAGCCGCCCCTATTAACTCTTCATTCTATGCGGCCCGCCAACACTTTGAGCAGCAGCCTCAGGCATCCGTGCTGCCTCCGCATCTACGTGCAAATGCACCTGACTATCGAAATGCTGCTCCACCACGACATCCTGCACAGCAAGGACGGATGGGCGGACAACACCAACCCACCATGGCTGGACCCAGCCAGGGGCGTCCTGTGCAAGCGCAAGTTGGCCAGCAATACGCTCGTCCACAGAGTCAGTATGGTCAAGTACAGCCATACCAGCCGCCATATACACAGACGCAGATGCAGATGCAGGGAGCCCCACGTCAGCCGTCGTACATGCCTCCCGGACAATATTCACCTCAGCCGGAATTTAATATGGCACAATATACGCAGAGGATGTATGGTTATCCACCCATTCCTATGCAACCTCAAATGATGTCGCAGCCTAGCCCAGCACGAGCGTTTGCGTTGTATGAAGCTTACAATGCTCGAACCCAACATGCAGCGGCAGCGCAACAGCAGGCGGAGCAGCAGCAGCAGCAGCAGCGACGTCAACCACCATCGCAAGCGCAGTCGCTGCACCAAACTCCTCAACCTCAAACACCGCAAACACAGTTTGCGCGACCTGTCGTTTCGCCGCAGATGGCTCCATCGACATCGGCTCCTCCAGACCCTAGATCACCTCAATCCCAGCCTCAGTCGCCGAGCGGAACGCGTCGGCCTTTGCCTCAGCCAGGACAACAATCCCGTCCACGACCTATGTCCATGCCACCCCAGGCTCCACGGCAGATACTTGGACCGCAGAAAAATAGCTATAACCATTCACCTTCAGGACCACAATCAAATATAGTACCACAATCTGTCGGTGTACCTCCGGCATCTTATTCATGCTCTTCATCTTCGCCTTCAGCACATCTTCCTTCTAATCAAGACACGCGTCAGGCAACGGACATACATGTTCCTCGTACCCTCAGTCCTGAAAAGATGCCAGAGAAATCATCAGCAGAAACAGAGACTACAAATATGCAAAGAACTCCAACACAGCGACGTGCTCTTCCTCCATCACCAACTGCACCTCCCGATCTGACTCAGCTTCGAAATCGCAGGAGTGTGGTATCTCCAACCCTGTCACCCGTTAAGCCCGTGTCATCTAACTCGGTACCTCAGCAGCTTACCCAGCAAGCCACGGCACCGTCACATGTAATGTCTGATTCAGAGGATGATGATCGACTATCTGCTGTCAGTCAAACAGAAAGCCAGACAAGCGAAGTAACTTCTTCACCTCAATACGGCATATTGGACCTCCCGAATCGAAATTCTCGTGATGTAGGTACGAAGGTTACTCCTCAGTCGCCACAGTACGGAATTAAAGACCTTCCGAATCGAACTCCGCGTGTTATCGCTGCGAGGCCTGACCCTCAATCACCACAATATGGCATAAAAAACCTGCCTACGCGAACGAAGAGTGTTGTCGACAGGCGGAAGGCGTGGGAGCGAGCTGAACAGGGCATGAATGAAGCGTTGGCCCGATCAAAACCTGCTTCACCTACGAAGCAGTCCTTATCAAACTTAACTCGCTCTACAGCACCAGTACCAGCTCGGTCACCGCAACCTCAAACGCCTTTACAACCGCAAAAACTACCTATGCCCGTCGTTCGTCAGCCACAACCGTCGCGCACGGAACGAACTCCGTCATGGACCTTGCCTACTGCTGATCTTGACAAGGTGAATGAGAGTAGTGAGAAGAAGACGTCATTGGCTCTTCGGCTTGCGACGATGTCCCTTGAAGAGGAGAACGGGAAGACGAAGAGTCAACCAGTTACCCCAACTACTCGGACGGGACGTCCCGTAACGCAAAGGAGTGCTACATCCCAATCTACTTCTCCTACGAAACCGTATCCATTCCTCGCGAACGGATCACGACGGAGAGTGAACATGGATCTGAGCTTGGATGATGCTCCACCGCCTTCCTTGCGTCGAACACCTTCGCCTTCGGCTTCTACCTCGTCTTCCTCAGCACCGTCAATTCCTACGATCAAGACGCCAGAGGATGTCCCTCACAGTTCAGCCCCTTCCATACCTCAGATCAGTTTACCAGGCGGCCTTGACCTTGATGACGTGGTGAATTCTACTCCCAGTGTGAAAGTGCATGTGCCAGCCGTTGTGGTGTCGCCTAAGCCCACAAGCCCACGGAAGGCGAACATACCACTAATTAATTTGCCTGGCAATGACGAGGACCTCAATAGTTCTGGTCCAGCGATTTCAGTATCAGCTCCCTCGCCGTTGGCACATGCTGTATCAATGCCGGTTATATTAGATGACCTGGCGAACCCAGCCTCCCAGACGAATTCACGAGGACTGCCAAAACCGCCGGACGGTGATGGACAAATTCCTATGAGTTCGAGTTCAAGCCGTTCCAGGGGTGGCGGGTTGGTATGCGGCGGTTGCCACGAGAGTATTATCGGGCGCATCGTGAGCGCGATGGGACTACGATGGCATCCACAGTGTTTTAGGTGCTGTGTTTGTGGCGAACATCTTGAGCATGTAAGCTCGTACGAGCATGAGAGCAAGCCGTATTGTCATCTTGATTATCATGAGGTAAGTATCTTCACCATAGACTTTTTGTCTCTGGCGTATCGTCTGACCTTTGTTACAGCTCTTTGCCCCGCAATGCTACTCCTGCAAGACTCCAATCATCGACGAGCGGTTCATCACACTCGACGACCCAGCGTTAGGTAAACGCACCTACCACGAACAACATTTCTTCTGTGCAGAATGCGGAGATCCGTTCCTCGCTCCGTCTCCAGCCAAATCATATTCAAAACGCTCAGGCCCAAATGAGATTAATATCAAGGGAGATGGAGCGTTTGACGTTGCTCTGGATGAAGACGGGGAAGAAGTTGGGTTTACTGTGTTTCGAGGACACCCGTATTGCGAGGCTTGTCATGTACGTTTGCGCGCACCGAAGTGTAAGGGGTGTAAGAAGAGTATAAGGGATGGGATGAAGGCTGTGGAGGCGCTGGGGGGGAAGTGGTGTTATGAATGTTTTGTGTGTGCGGTACGTGCATTTAAACCTCCTTCAATCCTTCTTTCGTCGTATCCTATGAGGTATATTCATTGTCGATTTCTTATAGGGATGCCAGAAACCATTCGAGGAGCCGTCGTTCTTCCAACGGGATAAGAAACCGTTTTGTGAACATTGTTTCAGCATAATTCTGAGAAATGAAGTTTAGCTTGGTTTCTCTTTCTTCTTTTATTCTTGAGTGCATCGGTTCTTAATTTGTTAATTAAAGCAAAGCTGTATTGTATTCGTATTTATTCATTTGTTATACCTTGTTGTGCATTTTATCCACCCATCTTTTATCGCGCACGATAATGTTAAGTACGGATACGTACCAACTTGGCCTTTGGTTGCTGCGCGCAACGATCATGAGTCGGTGGCAATTTGGCTTTCCCTTGCTTGAGGTTCCTACAGTACCGATGCGATGCACGTAGTAAGTCCTGCAAGTATTTGATTGTTACCCTCAGTACTATTGACATCATTCGCGGCAGCTTTCATTGTGTCCTTGGGTAACCCTGCCTTTTATCGTTATCATCGAGAGCCATATACTGGTGGACCTAAGAGTAGCTGGGGAACAGGGTTTTTGAAGAGGAGCGTGTCATAGAATTGCTAACGAAGATAGAGAGTGAGATAGAATTTGACTAATTGCAAAGTAAGTTCATGCTTTCTCTACTTTGGTTACCAAGCTGCCCATTTACTCTCTTAAAAGGCAAGTTTCAAGTGCCCGTCTTGTGCATGCCTGGGCCATTTTTTTCTGCACTCAATATTGCCTTGATGTTGTTTTAATCTCCGTCTTTCTCTTTGTGCTGGATTGGTTTATGAAGATACTTTGTTGCTATCACTAGAAGCACTAGAGAAGGATCAGAAGGTTATATATTCATCCTATTATTGGCTGCTCGGTATCAGGGCTTACACATCAAGACTCGAAGAAACGTGGTGGGAGGACTCCAGAGTGTGCCACGCAGGGATCGGTGCATCTGCAGCATGATCTACTGACTGTATGTCCGTATAAAGTCAATTCCAAGCACGTGATAAATTTTGTCTAGTCTCTGATCATCACTTTGCTTCGGTCAATTGATGTGTGATGTGGATACCATATCATCAAATGCTCCTACGTAAATGAGTGACGCGAGTACAAAGCATATAGGGGCGTCAGTAACAGGCAAACTTGATCAAACAGTGCGTATGATAACTTCTGACATCGCCAAGCAGTTGTGAGTTTGTAGCCAGCTTTAACCCACAGTCCGCCAAGGTCTCACAGAGTTAAACGGTATTCACTCTTTGTCTTGTATATGTGCGAAGTCACTAATATGCATTTTTCTTCGATATTGCTTGGAAGAGTCTAACAAGTCGGCGACCAAAAATTTCGTTCGTAAGCGTTGAGTTTTCGCAACAGTGTTCTGGGTTGTTAAATTCTTGAAGAACTAGGGATCCCGCCCCTGTTCCTTCGTCCCATCCTCTGTGGTGAAGTTCACTTAGCTCGTTTCTTATTGAAATGAAGGGTGGACCTGTTACCGTAAAGACGACATTGTCGGAGGATTCCGAGAATTGGGAGTTTGTTCGTGCCAAGGATAACAATCCAAGTTATCACATCTATACGGCACCAGTTCAAACAAGTAACAGAGATTACCGCAAATACGCTGTTATTCGTCTGAATAATGGTCTTGAAGCCGTGGTTATTAACGATATCTACCTCGACACCTCAGCTGCTTGGATGGATGTCGCGATAGGAAAGTTTAATGACCCAGTAAGTCAAATTATACACTTTCCTGTTGTATAGTGGTACACTCTTTGGTACATCGCACCATTTTTCTACGATGTTCCGCTTTAAATAGCTGCTGGGTGTCGTATCCAAAGTACCGCGGACCGTTCAACCAAATTTCACCTGTCAAGGATGCTACTTACTAGTTTTCGCAGAAAGACATGGCCGGTACAGCCCACTTTTGCGAGCACTTGTTAGCGATGGTAAGCCAAGTTCCCGGATCTAAACTCATCGCCGTTCTTTCGCACGACGCTCACTTCAATGGCTATGCTCATAGGGCTCGGTGAACCATCCTGAAGAAAACGCATTCGATGAGGTAAAGCCTTGAGAAATTAATGCTTCACAGACGTCTCTCACTACATGTAGTATCTTGCTTTGAACAACGGCTTCTATAATGCATCGTCGGGTCCCTCCAACACCGAATTTCACTTTGAAGTTGCTTCGGATGCCCTAGAGGGCGCGCTCGATCGCTTTTCCGCATTCTTTTACTGTCCACGCTTCCATAAAGGCTCGGCATTGCGCGAGGTTGAGGCGGTTAATTCCGAGTATTCAGGAAAACTGCAGGACGATATGCGGAGACTAGAGTATGTTGAATATTCACTTGCCCATCCCTCCCATCCTTTAAGAAAGTTCGGCACCGGAAACGAGGACACGCTTCTGGGGAAGTTTCTCACCTCGAGGGCATCACCCCTGCGTCATGAGTCTGACAAAAATGAAAACAGATGCATGAGCGGATCCCCGAGAAGAAACTCTGGTAGCGAGATTCCCGAGGGGAGTGATAGCTCCTTTAGTCGAATTTCCTCGTTCGGAAAGCACGTGAAGGATGAGCGAAATTCATGGAGTATGAACATCAGCGAGACTTCATTGGGAAGCGTCGGGAGCCGTGTTAGTTTTCCTCCTACGAAGCAACTAACGGAGAATGGTCGCGGCCATAGAAGATCTGTCAGCAACAGTTCCACTCAGAGTACATATTCCCCACCCCAGACACCTTCAGACTCAGAGAGTAGTCATGTTAGTAGGCAATTAAGCAGATCCCCGAGTAAAACCGACTCACAAGCCGCCAAAGAGGAAGCAAAGAAAGTAGCTGCCCTGAAGGCCCGAGAGTATTTGAAAAAGTGGTGGGAGAGGGAATATTGTGCAGAGAGGATGAAGTTGGCAATAGCTGGGAATGGTACGTTGCTTCATCATCACATTCCATCTTAGCTCTGATTGCATCGGCCAGAACCTCTTCACAAGATGATCGATATGGCCGTGAGATTCTTCTCGCCAATAAAGAGCAGAGGACAATACCCAGCCGATATCTCCTCTTCTAAACAGCCATACGGGAAGGAAGAACTTGGGGTACGTTTTCTGGACTTGTTTGTACATATGAATCATGTCTAAAAATGGTCTATTATGTAAGAAAATCGTTTATGTTAAGACAATCGGGAAAATGTACAAAATAATTATTGTCTTCCCCATCTCCTGGCAGACACCTCTATGGCGTGAAAAGCCAGCGTACTACGTGGTTCATCTACTCGGTCACGAAGGTCCGAGTTCGCTACACGCGTACCTGAAAAATAAGGGATGGCTTTTGAGACTAGTTGCTGGACAAGCGACTTACGGCCCCGGAATCAGTCTGCTCAAGCTGACCCTTGACTTGACGAAAGAAGGATTGGGTGCGTATTATTTTCTGTTATTCCACGTCCACTGTCGATGATGTCCGTATAGAGAACCATCGAGAAGTTATAGTAACATGCTTCAAGTTCATCAACCTATTACGCAAATATCAGATCCCAGAGTGGGTACCGAGAGAACGGTGGTGGATGGAATGGTTGTCTTTCAATTACGACCGGGAGCCAGAAGCACTGCTTCTGGTTGAAGACATTGTCGGTTCAATGAAGTATCCAACACCGCGTGCTCTTCTTCTGAATGGACCGTTACTGCCTTGGGAGTTGAACGAGAAGCTCATCGGGGATACATTGGAGAATCTGGATGCTGAGAACTGTTACGTTATTGTAGCGGCTCGTAATCACGATCATATTCCGACGGGAGAGACATGGCACAAGGAACGATGGTTTGGAGCCGAGTATGTAAAGAAACAATTTGACGCCAAGTTCATTTCTGAGGTGAGTATCTACATAGGTATTTGGGACATTCTCTCTAATCGGGGCCTGTGATTATCAGACTCGCAAAGGCAATGATATACCTGATCTTGCTTTGCCAGGACCAAATCCATTTATTCCTAAGAACTTTGCCCTGTACGGTGTACATGGTAATAAACCGAAGCAACGACCCACGCTCATTATGCGTGCACCAAACATAGAAGTGTGGCACAATCGGAACGTTCGCTTTCGAGTACCACATGTTTGGGTGCATATTGCAGCGCGAACGTGAGTTCGTCCTGATTCATATAATTGGATGTTATTCCTTCCATATATGCTCACCGTCTTTCTGAGTAGGCCAGTTGCTGGAGCTACTACCCGAGCTAGAATATTGACCCAAATGTTTGTAGCCCTTGTGGAGGATGCAATTCATGGACATGCATTCTATGCGGAGGTTGCTGGCCTGACATGCAAACTGCTCAGTGCTACGCGCGGCTTTGAAATGCAATTTAATGGTTTTAGTGACAAATTACATGATCTTGTTCAGGCAGTTCTAGAGCAGATGAAATATCTTAAGATCCAGAAGGATAGGTTGAAGATTCTGATGAAACAGGTGACACCTCATTTTATATTTGGATAATATGGCTGTGTTCTGAGACTGGTGTGCACTCCCAGGAACGACGAATTTTGAAGGATCGATATCTGGAGTATCCATGCGATCTCTCTGAGTCTCACTTACTCTACCTTATTGAAGATGACTATCTTAGCACAGAGGAGAGATTGAATGAGTTGAAAGGTATGATATTAGTTGTAATATTACAACCTACTGTATCAGCTTATATCACAGATATTACGGTCGAGGAACTTTCCAAGCATGTACAGCTGCTGCTGTCCAGACTAAACTTCGTAATTCTAACAAATTGTAATCTAAGAAAGGAGGCAAGTTGGTCATCATTTCAAGTGTTAAAGTGTTATGTGTTTATTATTACGTAGGATGCTCTCAAGCTTGCATCCCTGGTCGAGAAAACATTCGAGGCTAAAGCGATCCCAAAAAACGAAGTCCCGATGTTGCGTTCGCGGCTTCTTCCCAAAGGTACGTTTGTCTTGTGCTCTAGCTGGTCTTTTATTGTTAATTCCAACAGGATGCAATTATGTCTGGGATTTACCTGTACTCAATTCTAAGGAGGCCAATTCGAGTGTATTGTATTACTGTTATGTTGGCAATCAGTCCAACCCCTGCACCCGCGTTAAATGCCATTTGATCTCTCAAATCTTGGACGAGTCGGCATTTGATATTCTTCGAACGAAACAACAGCTTGGATACATAGTTTATTCACGCACAGTAACGGACATCGAGTTAATTGGTTGGCGTCTAGTGATAGAGTCTGAACTCGACACAAAATATCTGGAGTCGCGTATTGATGCCTTCTTGATATATATGCGCAAGGTTATTCGGACCATGTCCGACGAAATGTTCGAAAGTCATAAAAGATCACTCCGAAGACAGTGGACGGAAATGCCCAAAGGCATGATCGGAGAGACAGAAAGATTCTGGTCTGCTATTCAGGATGGATACTATGATTTTAAAGAAAACCAGAAAAATGCAGAATTGCTTCCAAGTATAAAGTTGTGGGATGTGCGTACGATGTTCGAAAAGTTTTTCGACCCATCATCGGCAACACGCTCCAAAATTTCAATCCATATGAGATCTCAGTTACCACCTAAAGTCCCTGAGCATCATGCCTCTCCGAATGTTAGTAGGAAGGCATCTCAGGAATTCCTCCGCTTATTACGCAAAGAACATATCTCTGTAAGGGAAGACGAATACCACCAGGAGTGCGACGTCGAACCAACTTTGCATGAAATGTACAAATACTTGAAGAAGACATGTTTCAGCGAACTGCTCGACAGAGATGACCGCAAAGTTAAGGGAACGTATCAACAGCTGAGAAGTCTTGTGAAGGACCATCCTGTAAAACCTGCCCTGGAGGTTAAACACGTTAAAGATGGTACGAAGTTTAAGTGTGGTCTTGACCTTTCTGGGGTTGCAATGTCAATAGAGACATTTGAAGAGGAGCACTAGTAGTTGTGCACCAGTCATAGGGTTGTCGTTACATGGGATCAATTGCACGGGGCGCAGTTGGTTTTGTACGAGTACTTTTGATGCATGTAAATAACATAGCAAACGACTGAAACTAAAAGACGGGTTACAATATTTCTTTTCTGTTGCTTATATAACAAGTACCCAAATATGGCAAATTGACTAGTCTTAACACAGTTCAGTCTGTCGTTGGAATCGTCATTCAGATATTCTCGCCTTACAAAGTTACATATGACATTGTAGAGAAATGTGCCACTGTCATAGACATCTTGAGCGCGTAAGCTCATACGAGCATGAAGGCAAGCCTCACTACTTTTTTCATCTTGATTATCATGAGGTAAGCATCTTTACCATAGCCTGTTTTGTTCCCGACGTATGGCTAAACCTCTGTCACAGCTCTTCGCCCCGAAACGCTATTTCTGCAGGACACCGATCATCGGCGAATGGTTTATCATGCTCGATGACCCAGCATAAGGTAAACGCAGGATGTGGCGATCTGCTCCTTGTTCCCTCACCCGCAAAAGTTAAAATCGTATCCAAAAGCCTCAGGCTTTAACAAGGAGATTAACATCAAGGCTGGTGAAACGTTTGACGTTGCTCTGCATGAGGGCGGGGAGGAAGTTGGGTTTACTGAGTTTCGAGAGCACCCCTATTGCGAGGTGTATCATGTACGGTTACGTGCGCCGTAGTGCAAACCGTTTAAGGAGAGTATACGAGATGAGATAGGTGCCGTGGAGGTCTTGTTGGGAATTGGTGCTATGAATGCTTTGTGTGTGCTGCATTTAAACATTCCTGTTATATTTTCTTAAGTTGTATGTTTATTGCTGATGACTTGTGTAGGGATGTCAGAAGCCGTTCGAGGAACCGTCGCTCTTCCGGCGGGAGAAGACGCCATTTTGTGAACATTGTTTCAGCATACTTCTGAGGAATGATATTTAGCTTGGCCTTTCTTTTCTTGAGTGCACCGGGTCTTATCTGGTTGATTAGAATATTGTATTTGCATTTATTCATTTATTATCCCCATATTCTGTCGTGCATGCAACATCCTAAACCCTGATTTTGCGTTTCGCCGTTTTACACCTTCTGACCATCGAGGTTCTCACGTGGGATCAACTTCACTGACGCTGTCTGTTGCAATTCAAGCTTCAATCAGATTGGACGATGCCTTAGCAACGTCCTAGTCCAGATGGTGCGCAGGCTTCGTTGTGAGCCACGCATCCTTTAATGTGGAGTACGGAAGCACATTTTCTGGCCTTTGGTTGATGCACGCGACCATCATGCGTCGATGACAGTTCCTCGCTTAAGGTCACTACAGCGCTAATGCGATGTTCATAGTGACTTCTGCAACATAGAGCAAGGGAGCATACTAATCTTTGGTTGATCCGCGTACAGCCATCATGTGAGTTCCTACAGCATTGATACAATATTAATAGTGGCTTCAGCCAGCGAGTGGACTCGTTTGATTGTTGCTGTCTGCACCACTTGGAATCGGAACCCAGCTACTTCCGGACTGAGAAGATGATGTGGGAAAAAAAATTCGGCAAGTCACAAATTCATCAGTTTTAGATTCTACGGGTGGACTTCATAAGTCTATAACTATGCTGATTCAGGTTCCGATCGGCTTAGATGATGCCTATTAACAGGAAACCTTCGTCAAGGCAATTAGCGCTGTCATTTGCATTTGATCCATTCATCTATTATTGCAGGAGATAATGTCATGGTGGAGGACGGAAGCGTACCAAGTTTGCCTTTGGATGGTGCATACAATCATCATCCGTTGGTGGCAATATGGATTCCTACAGCTCTGATGCAATGCGCATAGTGACTCCTTCAGTATCTGAATCAGATTGATTGTTTCCCTGAAACAATAGACATCGGACCCGAGTTATTTTCGAGCTTAGAAGGTGATCTCGACGAAAATTTGCAAGCGGGTTCACTGCTTAGTTTGTCCTGGATTCAATGGCTTCCTGTCGTCGTTTCGTAGAACACAGTGATCGGTTTTGTCCTTCCTGCAAGCACAGCATAAGGATGTCGTACATACCTTGACACCATCTACCTACTCAACAACTCGATTTTACATCAGATAAACGATGATATCTGTTGCATCCATCAAAACGGCCAGTTAACTCGAGAGCATTCCGCTCTGCTTCTGTGCACATTCGAGGACAATAAATGGGCATGTTGTTTTCTCAAGTCGCTAATTACTCTTGTCTACCCTCTCTCTGGTCTAACTCCCACTTACATTCGCCTGAGCTTGAACAGTCTACAACCCCTGTAATGAGACTTTCTGCTCGATCTAATCCTTTGTCCGACAATATTAGCTATGTTCAGGAACTCATTCCGTTCATCATCCTTTCACAATATTTCCAAGTTGCGTCTGTCACCGTTGTCGCATATGATATACGTACGTTCATTAGCCGACTACGCTTATCACATTCTCAAGAAATATTGGCGTCTGTACTAGTCACTACTATAGATAGCAAGGTGCGAAATATATATATTTTTTTAAAGAAAAATACAATGGTTTAATGAAATATCGTTCAGGTGAAATACTTTTGGGTAAGTTCCAATCCAGTTATGCATTAAAAGAGAGATACTAACAGGGCGTGCAGAAAACTCCGCTGCGCATGACCGGCTTGATGTACTTTGCAGTGCGTAGCCTCTCGAGTTAAACGTTCAGTCTGGACTCTGGAGCGTAACTGTCAATAAATGTCAGAACCGTTACATTGGATTTTTCGGAGCTGTGGCCCGTCTGTTTTGTAAGTGGATTGACCACAACAACTATCACAGCAAGCTCTGACTTTTGCTTTAGATAATTCGCTTGAGGTGACTCCTAGACTGTAAGATTTCCAGTTAAATCATTGGATGTCAGAGGCCAGAAGCCTTATTTCTATTTAGATGTAAGGTTTTTTTATTTTATTTTATTTTAATTACCAGAATTTGAACGAGTTCTTTAGGCAACTTTTCCAACTGGATCTCGAATATTGCTAGTAAGTCCTTTACTTATTTCCATTCAGGTTGTTACTTAAAATGGTTCAGTTTCTGTCTCAATTGTCTCAATCGACTGTAAGTATTGAATTCGGGCACTAACTTGTTACCTGACCTACATTCGCCCAGATACTCTTATAAATTGTGTTCGCGCGCTATATGCACAAGGTACGTTCTACAGTAAAATCATTTTTGTTGTTTGTTGATCTAGCAGTTAAAGATAGAGTTCTGTCTGTGATTTTGAGAACGATCTTGGCGATCGAAGTTGTATTTGAGGTCATCATGACTATTTACGGAAGCCAGGTATTTCAATGTAGGAGCTATAGATTTGATCAATGAGGAAATCACTCATCTAGAAGAAGCTTCTACAACAGAACTTACAGAGAACATCAGCATTTGTGATGGCTCTAATAACCCGATGCCTGCGGAGTTGGCTATAGCTTTCTGGTGAGTTTGTCTCGCTAATATGGTTCATTACTAAGTTGTTGGAAGGGCTGTACCTCTGGTGTTCGGAACTGTATTCATGACTCTGGCGCTTTATAAGGCAGTTTAACACTGGAATATGTCTGTGGGATTGTGAGGAACTACACTTGTCGAAGTCGTTATCTTAGGCCATTTCGAGTATTTCATACTGTATGTATGTATTTCCATTTTGATTTTTGTTCTCAGCGTGTTCATTTCTAGCAACCTCGTTTGCTGTGTGCTCAACATCTTGAGTTATGTAACATATGTATCAAATGATTTCGCAGCAGCTTTCCTCGTATTCCTAGGAAATCCTGCATTTTTCGTTATACTCGGGAGCCGTTCACTGGTGAACCTGAAAACTGCCGGCGAACAGAACCTTCGTGTCGGTGATAGTTATGGGATGCCATCATCGAAGGTAGTGAGTGAGATAGAGTTCACTTAACTGTAAAGTCAGTTCTTTCTTTCCCTTGGTTACCAACTCGTCCAATTGATTTCTTGAACGACCACTTTCAAGTGCTTGTTTTGCGTATGCCTAGGCTATTTTTCCGGACTTGACTATTGCCTTGATGTTATTTAAGCTCCCCTTCTCCGCCATGGATTGGTTTAAGTAGTCGTTTTGCTTCTAACACTGGACGCGGTAGAGACGATCTTTTATTTATGTTATTGTTACTTGTTCAGTATTAGGGCTTACTTATCTGGACTCTTGTAGAATTAAAGCAGTGTGCAGGGCAAGTTTTCAACTGGTCTTTAATGTTTTATTTATTCAGTTCTGAAGGGGCATAACGTTTGAAATTGTGGGCGAGGCGCCCGGCGAGCGATGTTCGAACTTCTACCTCCTGCTGACTAAACGTCATGATATTTTCCTTTATGCCTCAAGTGACGCGTCCGTCAGCCCGTCATATCCTGCTTTCAAGTTCAGAAATCTTGCCTCTTTCTGCTATGGATCCCATCATGAATACAATGAAGTCGAATATTGAAGCAGGTTGATTATTATGGTAATATGGTATGGTTCCCGCAGTCTCGCTGGAGCGTCCAAGCTTTCGGCCAGCGTCTTTGTCTTCCCTTACGCCACAGCGGTATAATTGCATGGCACTGGTAATACTTAGATTCTATTGTGATTATTAGTCATTTGAGCCAGCAAACGAGTGTTCCTTCTTACGGATCTTTGCTGGTGATAGTCCGACCTAACTCCATGGACTGTCCCAATTAGCGCAAGGTATGGGATTTACTACCATTCGCCACTAAAGAATACTGACTGATCGATACTTTAGGCTGAGGCGCGTTTGTGGTCGCCATGGATCAGAACGCCACAATGCATTGCGATGTGATGCATGAATGCCGAAGACTATTAATGTGATTTATTCGTCACATTACCCTAGCTAAACTTTGCCATACTGCAAATTCTCTTCCCTCCCAGGTAGACATGTCGGGTGGATCCAAAAAAGAATCCAGCCCTGGCAATGACCATGGCGTAGAATCGGTCCCAGACAAGCTCGAGTTCGACAGAGCCGTAACAGCATTTTTATTGGTAAGCGCAAAGCTGCAACGCCGTCTATCTAGCGACCTGTATCGAAAGGCAGGACCAGCACAAAGTATACCGCGCGTCCTACAAATGGGTCGGAGAACTGCTATAGCTGCACTAGAAGAGCTGCAGAAAGGAGAGGCTACTCTGTATGATACGCAAGGGCGTTCGACAGAAGTAAGGCACAAGAGGTTGTCCCGAATAGGCAGCGAGTTCGTCGAGAAAGTCCAAGCGGAAAGAAGGAAAGAGCTTGCGAATATCATGCACGGAGAGTTCACTATTAGTTATCACGCCGTGTGCCAAGACGTCGACGACGAAAAGTTATTGAAAACTGCCTTGACACACACATTTGACTTGATAGCGGGTGGTTCTGTCTCGGATGTATCCCTTGCTGTGGTTTATTGGTGCAAAGCCCTTGCAGAAGAGATGGTGGCTTTTGAAATTTATAATCCAAACTATAAAAGGATTGTTGAGTTGCAAAAGCGACTGCATAAGCTGGATGCAATTGTCTCGCAAGAAAAAGGGAAAGCCAACAAACTATGGTCCGAATCATCCAGTGAGTGGAGCGATTCAGATGATGGAATCTACAGTAGACAGAAACACAAGATCTCCATAGAGAAAGGTAGTATCCAAATTCCAGATCTTCAAGAGGTCAACAATGCCGCAATTGAGGTGTCGCACATTGACTACGAGGTCGAACAGTTGCGAAAAAGCAGGTGGAGTGCTCGGTCAGAAGCTAGGGCAATGTACAAGAGAAACGATGTACTAGAGGAAATAGAAGGTATAGCAAACAGGATGCAGCAGGGACCTAGTGCAAAGAGCACAACTTCAGACAAGGCAAGACGCCTGGTTACTTCTGTAACTAGTATTGGGGCTAGACACAACAGCGCTACGTGTGGGGACATTACACACTCGCTACATAAGATGGATAAACAGGCACATGATACTGAAAAGGTCCTAATGCATGGACTTACTGCACTGATTACTGCCTTGAGGCGGCTGCAAGAGAAAGAAGATGGGATATTTAAAGAATTGCAGGATACAGAAGATAATGAGAAAGTAAAAGCTTGGTTGCCTTCTCATGAAGATATTTACAACATCGTCGAGGGCGTGAGGACAGGCTTTACAGACGAATATGATGGCGTAGCGGACGAAGTGAAGAAGACAATTGATAGATCCCTTTATGTGATGAAGTATGGCTCCTTTACTGATTGGGCAAAGGCAGTGCATTACTGGTGTAAAGCATTTGAAGCGCAAGTCGAGGTCTGCAATACATATGCACGCTTTAGGAGTCAAGTAAGCAGTTTGAATAAGGCGAGTAATAATCATATCGGCACTAGTGCAAAAGGACACCAGGAAAGCAAAGAAGACGGAAGTAAAAAGGAACACGGTAAAGAAAGACAGGTCAGTAGATCAGATTCAAGCTCAAAAGATCGAATGGCACAAGAGTTGAGAAGACAGATAAAGGCTGAGCTAAAACGGCCGGAAGAGAGAGTAAAAAAGGCATTGAGGGCTATAGAGGGTCTGTCAAAGGAAACAGAACAAAAGATTAAAGGTCAGCAAAGGGTTCCACGGAGATTTCTTACCATTAGTAGCAAGACAGGGGTTGCTTCATCTACAAGAGGAAGTGAGACAAACGACACAAGTATTTCCGGCAGGGGCGAAACAGGGAGCACGAAGGGTTCCAATAAGAAGGAATGGATGTAACATAGGGTTTCACAAAGAACTGCCGGTTTCCAGTTGGAATAGTTTAATTCTTTCCAAATCTCATTGTATGCATCTTGAGCTGGCTCATGGAACTGGAAATATGTAATTTCGTTTGACTGACTCTGTCATCAATTAAAACTTCAGCTATAATGCCAAATCCACTGCAAGTAAACCACAATGATATCAGAAGTATCTTGTATACACTAGGGACAAACTTTAAAGTAAGTAGAGAGTTTGGAGACTCACACACCCAATTGTGGTGCACACATGTTCATATTTATGTACATAAAGTTTGCTTGACCTGTTTTAACAAGCATAGCAGGAGTGCCCCCAAACTCTCTCTTATTGAGACATGAAGCGAGTGTCTGCCTTATATACTACATAATGAAGTCTGATAGTCTGAGACATTCCAAGTGCAGTAATGCTACATAAGGCAATTGGGGATTTCCTAATCTAGAGCACAATCTAATACTCCCCTTCAAGCATTAATTAAGAACTAAGACTGTATGCCTAATAGTTTGATTAGATGCTTGATCTGTGGGACATGGAGAGCTTTTGTAAGGATGTCTGCTAATTGGTTCTGTGATTGGACATAGCATACATTAATGTAATTGTTTTGAATGTAACATTACACAAAGTCTTTTTGTAAATCAAGGTGTTTAGTGTAAGCATTGTACATTATTTTATCAGACTTTACAGTCTTTATTACACCTTGGTTATTGTAATAAATCATAATAGGTGCTGATTCAGTCTGCAGTACTTCTTCAGCGAATTGTTTGAGCCAAATGGCTTCTTGAGTAGTATATGCTAGTACTTGCAACTCAGCTTCATAAACAGATAGTGGTACCAGGTTTTGCTGTTTGCTTGACCAGGATATAGTCAATTTAGCTAATTGAAAGACATAACTGTTTATTGCTTTATGTCCTTCTGTCATTTGTCTGTCTGTATCACAATAGTCTTATAGTTTTAAGGCATTTGTGCTTCCAAGTTGAAGCCAGTAATTTGTTGTATATTTTAAATACACAAAGTAATGTTTCACTACTTTGTAGTAATGTGTTTAGGGTTTTTGTAGGTAGCACACTAATTGCCCAGTAATATAAGATATGTCTGGCTGTGTGCAATCTGCAACATATCTTAACAATCCTACCATATTCATGTATAGTATTGTTTCATTATTACTTTCGTTTGTATTGTATGTATCATTTGTATTGTTGGATAGATCTATTCCAGGAGTAATAGGTGTTTGTAGTGCCTTTTCATTTTCGAAGTGGTAATGCTTGATTATACTTTCAATATAATGTTTTTACTGTAAGCTAATTGTTTGTTAAGGTCTATCTCAGCTTATTTTAATACCAAGTAACCAATGTATTTTGTTACTGTCAGTGAATGTAACATATTGTCTTAATACATGTTTAAATGCTGTTATTATAGTAATAGTTTTGCTAATAATTGTAATATTGTCAACATGTATAAATGTTATAAGAATTGTATTATTATTTTATTTCTTATAAAATACAGTATGATTGTAATTAGCTTGTTCTAATCCAATCTTAAGTAGTAGTTTGGTAATCTTCTTGTACCATTGTCTACCTGCTTGTTTCAATCTGTATAATGCTTTATTTAAACATAATGCCTGTCCAGGTTTAATATCTGTAAGTAGCTTGCTTAGCAGCAGTTTCACATAAATGAGTTTGTCCTCATTTAGTTCTCTGTAAAGATATGCAGATTTCACATCTATCTAATGTATCTCATAGTTCTTAGATGCTGCCTAAGATAACAATAATGGTACTGTTAATAGTTTTGTTACTAGGGCAAATAAGTTGTCAGAATAGAAGTCTATTCTATTCTTTTGAGTGTATCCTTACACTACAAATCATGCTTTGTATTTGTCTATTCAGCTGTTAGCCAGTCTTTTGATTTTATAGACAAATTTCGTTCCAATTATATTTGTATTCATAGGGGGGATAGTATATATCTATGTGTTTTGTTGTTGAAGTGACTGTATTTTATCCTTCATAGCTTTGATCCACTGTTCTTTGTCTATACATGTTATAGTATTGTAATACATTAATGGATTGTTATAGATTTTGTTAAGGAATTTGTTAGATTCTGTTAGATACATAGCTAAGTTTATATCATCTTTGTAATTTAAACCTATAATTTGTTTAACCAGTCTTTGCTCTTGTGTAGAGTATTGTATGACAGGTTCTTTGTCTTTATTATTGTTATTAGGAAGAGTTTTATTATTGTTTGGTGCATCATCATTATGATTATTCTCCCCTTCAATCCTAGACATTAGTTTGTCTATGAATTGTACATTGTGTTCAACAGTAACTTTATTATTATAGCACACTAAGTGACCTTTACTGTCAGTATCATAACCTAGCTATTGTGTGTATTAGCCTCTAGGCTGTAGTTTATGTGTTTGTTCATTTCATATAATACAATATGTGCTGAATTCTCATATATTATCTATTTGATAATGTTTGTTATACTGTTTGTAATATAGTGTTGCAAAATTAATAGTAACTCTTAGTGTTCTTGTTAACATTTATTTCGGATAAATGTGTCATATGTCTCAAATCATACAAACATCTTGCAAATATACACTATTACTGAGACATGTCTTCTGAGACATACATCTAAGACATACAATATTAGATAGTATATATATTACTTTAATCTAAGGACAATAAAGCTCATTATGAACCACACAGTCGACTTGTATCAACACCTACACACTATGAGCAGAGTCTACTGAACCCCTACTAGTGTGACTAACTCTTAGTATCCTTGTGAGCAGTATGCAAACCTATGGAAGAATATTTCCTATTGTTTAGGAAACATTGTAACCTCAACACACTAACAGGTTATGAGCCTTACACTCCCTGCTCATATCTACATTGTTACTATGCTTTTATCTTACCCTCTACAAACACAACACTTTGAAATCATTGTCTCTGCAATTATGATTTCCCCCTCAGTAGTTATATGCATAACTATATGCACCACAATTGTCATCTCAAACACTTTGGTGTACTATACACCATAGTACAAATGATTTGATACACTCAATCATGTTATACTTGATAAGTAACATTAAACTACTTCATTTAACACTGAATCCACTTGATTCTACACATACAATCTATTCTACTTGTTTACAAACCTTTGGCACTCCCATCTGAGTATACTAAATGCAAATTGTCTTGTCCTGAAGACTACAATTGCTTTATACAACAAGACATGCTATGATACTTGTAACCAGAATGTATTATCTATAAGGACCTAGACACACCTGTCTGAGCATCCCAAATGCACATTGATTTATTAAAATAACTTTGGATGGATTAGTTGCTTTAAATGCAATGAATACCCAGCAATACTATATCCAAACACTGAACTACTTCATCTTATGCTTTGGAGATACATTATAATAATAACATCTCACATAACAAACAAACATTTGATATTATATTAATAATACAAATGATTAATACTATAAACAAAAGAATAATGCTAGTGAAGCATAATAATAATATAAAGAAATACTATTGCAAACATACAATCAATCTAATAATGATTAGACAAACAAATAATATGAAAACAAGAGTATAAATGCAACTAAAGCATAATAACTCAAATATAAAAATGATTTATACTATCACAAACACATGGTCACAATAAATAACATATATTTACCATATACAAATATATTGCATAGATATACAAACGTATACAATGAAATAATAAAATATATTGCATAGATATACAAATATACAAATGTACAAAATAATAATAATGTATTCAAACACATAAAACTATTATTTATTAAATAACACAAAGTTATATGCAAATGCAATTGAACAAACACATAATAACAATAAAAACAATTAATAAAACACACAAAACAATGTTGCAAACATTCTAAACATACAATAACAAACATATATACTTATACAAAGTATTAAATTAAATTAAACCATAATGTTACAAACAAAGAAACAATATAATGATGCATATATGTATAATATCAACATTATAAACTATATGGATGAATACATATCTTATACCTTGCACAATTACTATTACAATGCAAAAATCAAACGAACAATAGTTACAAATACATTGTAACAATATTATGTATTAATATGACATACATGATAACAAAGTATTAAGTCAATACAATTAATACAAACAGTTTAAACAATATAAACATATTTTGGACACATCAAAAAACTATCATTAACATACAAAATGTTATAAACAATTAAACATCACTTAAAAAAAACTTGACAAAATACAATAATACAGACACAAAACAAAATAACTAATGTCTCAAAAACATTAGAGCCTAACATCAGATAGTCTGAAGGGCCAAGTAACAGAAAGAACACTACTGTCAAGTACACAAAAGACAAACAAATGTTGGAACAAAATCCAAAAGAAACAAACATAAGTTTGGAACTTAATCAGACACTTCACTAATAATTAAATACAACGTGTGACGGATTTAATCAATCACTACAAACAGTAGAAAGATATTTATTCACAAAGAATATATTTATGATCAATACATAAAGGATATCATTAACTATTTGAAGTTCAAACAATATCATAACAGTGTATTCTTCATTAACAGCCTTGCTTAAAGCTTGCACCCATCACAAAAGAATAAAGATTAATAAACAGAAACGAAACACTATAGCTCAAATACTTTTGTCATCAAACAGAAGACAAATAATACTGAGCAAAACAAAATAATGTACTACTCAATGTATGCAAATATAACAAACAAAATATGCAAACTTAACATTACTAAACAATACAATAGATTATATTTATCCAAATAACAAACTATTCAGACGTATGCATAACAATCAAACAAAATACACAAGCATACATACAATTTATTTGAGTATAAACTTGAATAACAATCAGTATAATGCCAAAAAGAATTAATAACTAAATCAGACAAAGATAACAAATAACATCAAAAT